ATTTCTTTATTAGATTTCCATATTATTCTCTAATGCCCCTATTGTTCCATAACGATATTATTTTCTAATATATTACATTTTTATTCTCATATTTCGTATTTGTTGGTGCCAGCATGCGTGCCTACCATTGACCAGGTTACATGTACAAAAATTCGTTTGTGCTCGTGAATTATGGTAATTTTCTCCACGCTGAAGAAAGCAGGAAATAAAAAACGCACGCGTTAGAATATCCGCACAGAAATTGCAGCGTGTAATTAACCCGCATATTCCTCCTCTCAAGCACAACATTTTTTGTTTTCTATTGCTCGTGCGGCCGATAAGCATGTAAACGACCCATGATTCAACAAATAACAAACAACAGCAACCACTAAGAATGAGGTCAATGTTACGTTCGCACGATATTAAAAAATTATCGGATACGTTATGATACAATGTGTTTTGCTCCAAGTGGGTCTGTTGTGTTCTAAACTAAATAAAACTGTCGATAATTGTTTGGCAATCGGTGTTTCGTGATGAGATTTACACAATTTTATACATTTTGGTGTCCTAAATTTAAAACTAGAGTAAATAGTACAGTAAACTTGTAGTTTCGTGCTTGAATTTAATCGGTTTTGACGTTAAGCATTGTTTTATGGACTGTTTTTCAATCAAATCAAGTTAATTATCTGCCATGTATTGATTGCTTTATCCATTAGCCACGACTTCTACGATTTGGAGAATATTTTGTTGTGGGTTGTTTGTTTTATCTTCGGTTTTCTACGTCTTCCATATCGAATTATTTAGCAAGTTGTGCACGTAATCCAATTAGATTCGGTTTCTAATCGAGCGATCGCCTCCGATTTTCCGTCTTTTCGTGTGCAATTTAGTGATAAAATCATGAAATCAAGAAACGAATTTATATCAATCCAGAACTTTAATTTAACCTACCTATATTTTATTCAGTTTGGAAAATAGTTTGTAAAAATATATAATATTAAAAATTAAATAATGGTTTAACTTTACATTGGATATGGATTTTTAAAGTTTACTAGTCGATTTGAATGAAATAAAAGTCTGGACGTATTCCAAGTTGGGTAGTCGTGCGCGTTTGATATAAAGCCGTTCGGGCGTCTGAAAATGCTTAATGAATGAATCTTGATTTAATTAGGAAACTTTTCCTCGTCAGCGCCAGACGACGACGCGACGATGCACTCCAGTTGGAGCTATTGTTCGGCCACGACGGGCCTTTAATTAAAAAATTGTGTGGAAAACGCACGTCATGCAAACTGGGAAAAATAAAATAATAATAAAAAACTGACAAAAACATTCCAAACAAAGAGCGAATAATTAATAAAATGTTGTAAAATGTAAAGTAAATGTTACATTTACTAATTACTTACATATTACAAAACTGTCAGATATTGTTTTTTTGTATTAATATAGTTGTGGGTGGATGCATTCCAAGCATGACTTTATTAAATTCGAAACATTTTGATAAAATGCAGGACGACAAAATGTACAACGTGTATTGCAATTCGTGTCATGGGCTCATGGCTTTGTTTTTAATTAGTGTATTGATGCACTGCGATTCAAAAGCTGGGCCGGGATGTAATTGCACTAACATTTTGTATCTGTTTTTTGTAACAGTTTTACAAATACGGAAAAGACTAATCAAATTGAATGTTGTGTTGGCAATATTTGATTAAAATTTCATTTAAATTGTTTGTAGGTATCTACTCACTCTTTTGCAAATATAATTCATGATTCGTTAATCAAAAATGTAATGAACTGAATGCGATTTTAATAGAAAGCAAAGTGATTTTTTAAAAATTAATAAAGCATAAAAATGTAAAACTAAATTTTGTTTCGTGTACATTATTAACTTCAATCGTATTAAGCATGAACACCAGTATTGATTTATTAAAGAGTGAATTTATTATTCGTTTGCAGTAAGCGCAAGCAGCATTCGTAAGCAGAACCCGATTGTGTATTGAACTTTCATGTTCCATATTGACATTTCTCGCAATTGTAGCATTTGTCATCGTATTCATAAACTGTCACGAGATTCCATTGAAGTACTCGTGCACCTAAAATATTCAATATTCACAACAGGGCACTTCTTGTCGGCAATCGATTGATGTAATCTACACAAATAAAGTCCTGCAAGTATTATTGTAGATAATAATAGATTCGTGGTACTTGAGTTGTTATGCTGATGACATCGTTTGAAGAAAACTAGTATCAAGGCGTTCGATGTGATTATTTGCGCTACGATAAACTGAATCCATTAGGACCTAACAACTTGGAAGTGCAAATTGCGGTGGCGACAAATTATCATCTCACAAGTAAAGATAATTTGTCGGCTATAACATAAATGGAATGAGTACATATGCATGGAAACTATAGTAAGACATCAAATATCAAGTTTAGAGATAACTAATACGGCTGTTGGTTGAAAGTATTAAATCGTCTTTGTGCACACTGTATCTATGTGACGAGGATGAATAACTCAAGACTCTTGAATCCAGGTTGCAGAGCTCGCACATCCACTTAGTTAATTAATTATTCAATTACTTTGCGACACTCGGGGAATTCGGTGATGCTGCAGCTCAAGCGATAAGTTTTTATAACACACATTTTTTTGGATAACTTGATTCGAAAAACAAATAGAAATCAGTTTCCCGATAATACTATACCAAGAATTATATTAAATACTTGGTGTATTTTTATCACAAAAAATAATCTCGGCTTAATCACACTTATTTATTTCACTTAATCTATAAATATTTGGATGCCTCACACATTCGACCGATATATTTATTTTTAGCTCTCCTTGACTATTAATACAACGCCAGCATGCTTCAGTGCTTTACTTATTTATAAGGCACATACACACGTTTACTTTCTATAGTTACACATGTATGTAGTATGTACACATTACGAGACATGTTCCGCTTCAATTTGTTGTCATCGTGTTTCATTGACGTGGCGGTGTTGATTGATCGACACGGATTGCAACAATCACCACAACCGCTACTTGTTTATTCTTATCATCGTTAATTCCAATGAGTCATTGACGCGTTCGCTCTAGAAATAAACCTCTAGATTTTTTCATTAAAAGAAACGCAAATCGTGCGTAGTTCAGTTGGTTTCGAAAGCTTGAAATAATTAAATCTCGAATGGAAAAAATTATGTGCAGTTTCCAACTCGGAATAATTTTTTTAATCTCGACGTACAAGCATTAAAGTTGGTGCGTTAGAAATTGTTTCTGATTGCTTGTAATTGTTAGTGATTGTTGGTGATTGTTAATACTTCGTAGCGTTTGTGAAATTCGAGTGAATTCAAGTGCTTCGAGCTCAAGTTGAAGTTTTCAACCTCAACACTAAAGAGCCGTGTGAATCGGGTTCGCATCGTGTGGTGTTGTGTTTGATTCAAGTGCGTGTGATCGAGAATGATGAGCGAGCAAATTGTACGCATTGCAATGAGCGCGAGAGGACAGACTGGCGACGACTCGCGTGTGTGTGAAATGTGAAATGTTTAAGCCTGAAGTGTTCGTCGATTGTTTGTGCCTGGGATTTTTCGATTTTCTATCTGGCAGAGAGCAAAGTGCGCAGCTCAATACTCAGTGGCTTCTTGACTTTCTTCGCGAGCAAACGACTTCGAACAAATAAGTTTTGTGCGCTTAAACGAAAATAATCAAGTGCTATGTGGATTTAATTTAATTTTCTGTGCTTCAGCTATCTAAAAAATGAGAGATACAATGTGTGCGTTAATTTGCATCCAACGACAAAACAGCAGTTTTTATCATTCACAATCATTTAATAAGAACAACAATAATAATAGTAAGTTATTATTTCCATTTATAGATATAAAATATACATTGGTTCTAAATTAACTAAAATTCCATTTTCCGAACCGCAGAATTTTAATAATCCAATCAAAAATTCGATTTTGGTGTAGTTCGAAACTGGCTGCCTCCCAGTTATCAATAGTCGCAGCACTCTCCATTAATTATGCGCATTGAATTAGTATCTCCGATTACCAACTGAGCACTGACATCGGCAGTTCACCAATATACATACAGGTTCTTGGTTCACGAGTGTGCTCTTTGTGCTGTGCTCAATATAATGTAATCAGTTGTTCAGGTTTTCAATTTCAATGCGTCCTGCATTGTCATCTAGTCATGTTGTCATGTAGTACGTTTTCGTTGTATTCTTTATCGTTCCGTCGGTTGACCAACTGAACGCAGCGCGTAATATAATTGCGCTGATGAATGATAAATTATTTACACTGGACGATAATATTTGAAATGGAATTTATGAAGCGCGACGGTTACGCGCCGGAGGCGGCAGGATGCGGGGTAGGGCGCGTCGACATGAATAAATTATCGAACAATCATTAAAACCGCACGTTTGAACGCTTCCACTGTATTGTAATTTTCATCTGTGGGCACGAATTTTAATCTCACCAGATATGATAACAATAACAACTTTCGACTTTTAATATTGGGATCTAATTATACCATTCACTTTTTAATATTAGCATAATAATTGTAATGTAAATTACAGTGCAATACGCATATTCTATAAGTTAACTATTATAATATTATAAGATCTATAGAACTGGTCAAAATATCAAAATTATTTCACCATTCTCCTGGAATTAATTATTGAAGTTTGAGTAAGTTTTGTCAAATTGAATTCCGGCTCCTACGTGAACATGTAAATTAAACCGATGAGTTCGCGTAGATGTGGCAATTGCAGCTTCAGCCCGTCACGCTAATTAATTCGATTAGACGATTGTCTGACGGACTAATTGCGGCAGCCTTCAGCCTTCGAGTTGTCACATTCTCGTATTGTAACGATCGCAACGGTTCTCAACATATGGGTTTCAATTCGTTCCTAATCGAATTTAAGTTTCAAAATTAGTGGTTGCACTAAAGAAAATTATGGAAAGTCTTCGGAAGATTGTTGAGTTGCAAATCTTGTTACCAGATATTAATTATTATTGTTTGTTTGCAGCTAAAGCATTCAAAGATCTAACCAAGAAAGTGCCAGAGCGACCGTGTGGTCGCGAATTGCCGTGCGAAGATGTGAGGAAGATGGGAGCAAATGTGAGCCGCCACTCGTCGAAAGGTTTATCCGGACGCCGTTCAGAGTCCAGCGGCAGCATCTGCAAGACTAAAAAGGGTGGTTCGGCCGGAAACGGCACTCAACCGCAGCCGGTGTGTGGCAGCTTGCCCAGCTACTTGGAGGCTTCCAACAACAACCACGACTATGAAAAGCAGCCAATAAATGATGTGAGTGCCTATTTTCAAAATGCTTTTTTGTATATTTCTGGATGGTCCTCTATATGATTTCGTCCTTTCAAAATTTTTTAATAAATTGGTAGTAAAATTAAATCGATTATACTTTCGGTTACACAAATTTTAATCGTTTATTTAGTTGTAATATGTTTTGGTTATAACTTTTGAATGTATTCTTTGGAATGATTTACTCGTTGTTCCGTTTTTGTCGTTGTGCTAGACAAAAGACACGTTGCACACTCGGCAGAGAATTAGAGAGGACCCTTTGGAACAGGTTAATGCCCATTGCAACGATTGCGAGATCGAGTACGAGCACGAGCACGAGAACGCGCCAGACGTTGTTGAACGATGTGGTTCAATCGCAAAAGCAAGCAGAAAGCTGCGTTCAACAACAATCAGGATCCGTTTCATACGACGGTACAGGCATTGGTCAAAGCTATTCTTTGTCAACCAGCATTACGCATATCACACGATGCGTGTAATGTTGGTGGTATTCTCATGATAATGCTCTGAAGCTTTGTGCTGCTCTGAAAGACGCGGATGGAAATTGGAATCATCGTTGCAAGGGGTCTTTACCTGTGATTTTCTGTTGCAGGTCGACCGCATCCCGCCCCTTGGGGACGGTGCGCCGCTACATTGGAAGTTCTCGGATAATCAGACAGTACTCTGCGATCAGGGCTACGGCTCGGAGCGTTCGCCCGAGGACGAGTTCCCGCCGCCGCTGCCCGAGCACGACAACCAGTGCAACCATCATCTGGACATACATTCCTGCTATCCCTTCATCACACCAGGTATTGCACTATCACCACCTTTCGTGAACGAACACTCATCTGAATCATTTTCTCTTGTTTCTCTCCGATGCCGCGATCACTGAAAATCATGGACTGACTTTAGCGGACTTCGCAATGTTTCAAAAGTTGCTAGGTACATAAAATTTATTTTCCTGGCCGTAGCAAGTTGATGAACAAAGTTGTAATTGATTGTGCAAATGTGGTTCTTGCTTTCATTGGAAAGTGGTGATAACTTGCATTGCATCTAAACAATGGGTGCTTTCCACTTATTCTACTTTTGAACTTTTTCTCATTCGATTCCATTATCTCGCTCGCAAACAAGAAAACTTTTCTCGTGTGCGTAGCGCATGAATATATAAAATCCAAGTTTCGGGTAAAGAAAACAACTGCTTAAACCGGGGTTAAACAAAAAAATGGGATATGTAAACGAAAGAAAGCTTCGGTTAATATACGAACCACTTTTGCAATTTTCTAAAATATCACAATTTTGGACAACGCAAACGTGTACCATCTTCAGTATTTCCACAAAAAATGAAATAGCAATTTTAAGATTTTATATGCTATAATAACCCGTTGAAACTCGTTTTCTGAAAACTGTAAATTGCTATTGTGTGCATTTACCAGAAGTCGAGTTTTTGTTAAGTGTGAAAAAATTTATTTGCGTTTAGTCTATTCGTACTAAAGCAAAGGCGCTGTGTCCATCTTTAAATATTGAATGCGCGTGCCGTTGAATAAATCAACAAATTCTAGGACACAGCAACGTGGATAGTTTACGAGTAGCAGCCGTTGACATTTTGACTTGTTGGACTTTTAAACTTTTTTGTGGTTGAAGTTTTACGAGGTTTTTCTATTTTGCATGCAATTGCAGAATTAAATATTTAAATTAGTGTAGCTTACAACGCAGGAATGCTGAAGGACATAAATTATGATGCGGCTTACTGAATTATACAATTTTTTTGTGGAGTTTCGAGTTTTTTTGTTTTTGTTATTTTGGGGGTATTTTCTCCTATTTTGAATATAGCGACCCGTCCTACCACCATAAAACGAAATTGCATTGCTGGATTTTGGACACATCAGCAAGGTCCTTTTGCGTTCCTTTATCGACAACCGGAATAAATTTGCCGAAACGCCGGATTCGCGTCGGCGGAGCCGAAATGGAAACCATTCTTTTGTATTCATTTTTTCTCCTTCTTAAAGTTTTTCGTGTTCTTCTTGTTTTTGCTCGGATCTGATTCGGTGGAGCAAAGCGTCGCGATGCTATATCGCGGTCTATCTGCCCGCTGATGCTCTGATGCTGCTTGATAAATGTGTTTACTCGCGCTTTAAGATGCTATGCGGGAGCACAAAAGGGCATCGAACCGTTTCGCACTCATCGATCATCTTCAACCGCGAGGCATTTACGAAAGCCTAGCGAGCCGAGCGACTATCACAAACTATCATAGAAATGCTAAGGGCATTGAAACTGATCACCCGAATTGCAAATTATTAGTAAATCAATCCACTAAGTAGAAATATTAGAATTATCTACAAATTATATGCTAAGGTAATTTTGCAACTTTTTTAATTCAACTTTACGTTAATATTATTCGTATGGCTGCTATTTCAATTAAGCGCTTACACAAGGTAAAAGTTTAATGCGGAGTTTCTCTTGCGCTGTCGCAGCATTACCTCGTTGGTGGTGTAATCGCACATCTGTAACATTTCTATCCGACCGCGGCAATTTTCGGAATGCGCAGCAAATTGTCGTCGCCCGCACGATATCGTATTGCAAGTACCACTGTGACCCGATGCATTCTCGTATTCCAGAAACTGCCGTCCAGCAGCAAATTCTGTCAGTAGGTAGCTGCAAAATATTATGAGCCAACCGTTTGGCCGGATCCAATTCCGTGCGCACGCCGCTTGTCTCGCTTTGTTAAATTTACGGAACTACAAACTTTCTGCGCTCATAACTCCTAACTTCCAACACCAGCAAACCACCAACTACATACAACAACTTCAACACCTATCCAACGTGCGAATCGTACAAAGTTCTTCATTTTGCAGTTACCAATGCAATAACTTCCAATATTCCTATGCTAATTTATAACTAGTTTTGTGTTTAATACTCGTTAATGCACCTGGGAATTAATTGAATACTTCAAATTGGTAGAAATTATTCGATTCTGAAGAGTTAGAGAAAAGTGGTTTGCTGAAAGTATATTTGTAGTGGAAACTTTTAATTCGTTGGTTTATGAGATTATGTTCTCTTTATTGTAAAAGCATAATGAAGAAATAATTATCTGAAAATTAACTATGCGCAAAACTTACTAAATTGCTTCTGGTCGAGTGAGTTTCTAAGAAATCCGTGCAAGCTGCTGCTTCCATGGCGCTGGTAGAAAAAAGCTTTTAAAACTGCAAATTTACGACGCCAGCCGTCGACGTCGTTGTTAAGCTCGTCCGACGAACTTCTCGCTACCACTTTGCTACACTTCTCAATCCGTGTATGTACATTACTGCTGCTCATCTCACAGAACCTTGTAGTTCCCGAATCTGTACGTGGACTGCAGAAAGAGCGAACTTTAGCTGGCAAAACCTTCAAGTTTTCTCTCTTTGTCGGTCGCCGCAGCATAAAGCAAGGGGTAGAAACAAAAGAAAAGAAGGAAAGCGGATGATGCTAATGCGCGGACGAAAGGCGCTTGCTAACTACCCTCGCGGGAGATACACGCCCGGGACGCGGAACACCAGTTATACATGCTCCATGAGGAGGAAAAGAAAAATTGCTGCCCGGGGTTCGCTTATAGAAAATGCGAAGGAAGACTTGAAATAGAAAATAGAGTTATTTATTAATGCGGGTATTGTTCGACCGAAACATTACTTTTTTGGGTCCGTGGTAGACGTGGTTAAACCATTGCAATTTACTTTAAGCGAATTTTGTTAGACTAAAAAAGGTCTTAATGATCTTGTAGGCTTACCGCATCACTTGTGGATGATTGATTTTCGACCATTTGCCCTTTTCATTATTGTTTTTTGCTTGCGGCCTCTTTTTGTGGGGCATTTTTGTGGTCATCTGAAGGAGAAGTTTGATCACTTTCTGTCTGTAACAGAAACGACGTTTGCCGTCTCCTTGGCGAAGGGATCAAGGGGGCTAGGCCTGAGCGTCACCGGCGGCATCGACAGCGGGGGCTCTTGGCCGGGTCTCATCCGTGTCAAACGCCTCTTTCCCCACCAGCCGGCAGCCGTCTCCGGCGTGCTCAACGTCGGTGATCTCATCTTGGAGGCCAACGGAGTAGCGCTCACTGGTCTCACGAATTACGTAAGCGAAAATAAACCACCAAGCTGTGGGTCTGCCAGAAATGCTGAGGGATGCTAAGACGTTGGAGAAGTTGGGAGAAGAAAATAAAGCAAATCGCTTTTAATCGGCGCACATTAATTTCCGGGAAGACCCTTCTCGGGTAACTCGTGAATCAAAAGTTTGGGCAAAGTTGTTTCGCATTTAAGAAGTCGTTTTTCTTCTCCCAGCCCAAAGTCACAGCTTCCAGCCGAAAATGCGGGATGAGGTTCTATTAATCATATTTTAAGGCGCGGCCTAAACGAAAAGTTCTAGGCTCATTTTGTCATTTTTTGTTTGTTTTTGAAATGAGCGCAGGAAGCTCTGGAAGTGTTACGAACTTCGGCCAGTCAGGTCGAGCTACGCGTGTGCCGACCACCCCCGGACGTGCTGAATTGCGTCAGCCCAATCTCGGAAGTACCCCCACCTCCACCAAGACGCGAACTTGCACCCCTGCCACTTACGCCTGATCAATTAAACATTAGCGATGATGAACTCAATGGGGTAATAAGTTTAGATTCATAACTAACAACAGTAATTATGGTTTTTTGTATGCATTAGGAGTTTGAAATCACCATGCGTAAGATTGGAGGGTCATTAGGTTTCACGCTCCGTAAGGAGGACGACAGTGCCCTGGGTCACTACATCAGGGCGCTGGTACGCGATCCCGCGCTCAATGACGGGCGTATACGACCTGGCGATAAGATTATTGCCGTGAACAATGTCGAGATCTCGTCGATGACCCACGACGAGGCCGTCAATTTCCTACGAAAATGTGGGCAATTGGTCAAGCTGCGTCTTTACAGAGATGCTGCACAAACACCAATCGCCACTCTCTCTCCAACGGAAACAACCCCAAGAACTTCATTTACTAAAAAAGCTCAATTACGGTAGGTTATAAAACATAATTAATAAAATATAATTTTTTGGTAACGGTAGTAATTTAATGGTAAATTATTTCAGTCAAGAGGCCATGGACATGCTCAATGACATAGCGGTACGCAAGCTGTTGCCAAACTCAGACTCTTACAAGTCTCAATCCCCTTTGGCCTCTCCACGCCGCATACGCAGTCGGATAATGACTTGCCCTTCGGATGCGTCTGGTGACTCTGCAGCTAACAACCCCAATGTCACCATGCACTACTATGTTCCTGAGGAGCAATTCCACGAGGGACTACTGCAACGAGGCGGTTACTTACCATTTGACGAAGAATCATTCAATTCGTTGTTTATCCAAGACGAAGAGGACGGTGACAAGCCACCACGTCCTCTGTCCTTGGAACTATATAACCCCAAACAAACGCCAGTGGCGTGCCGGAAACCCAAGTTCAACTTCTCTCTGGCACATAACGCTTACGAGCTAAACAACTTGGACGCCGAAATCCTCGACGCTCCTAATCTTACCTACAACATGAACGAGGATGTAAACAGCACGGAAGTAGAGTGTGAAGATAACTATCCCAAGGAACCTGCTAGTATGCCACACATTCCCCTGTCAGAGAACCCTGGGTTTAGTTACAAGAACCCGACGTATCAAAGCGCCCATCCACCTTGTGGTAGTGGAGGAAGAGAAAACGGGGTATCTACATTGGAGCACAGAAAGAGCAACAGTACCACTCCCGCCCAAAGTAGCAATACTTTGCTCAGGGAGCCTGAGAAGAAACCCAGACGGAAGAAGAGTATTATTAAAGAACCCAAGCCACCTGTGCCCGACCAACCAGAGGTAGGTTCATTCAGTTAAAACAAAAGTTTGTGGAATTTTCTTAGAAAACACTTATAACCTGGTCCTGATTTCAGATCGTTGCCATTGAATTAAATAGAGGGTGGAACAGCCGTATGGGTTTCAGTTTGCAAGGACCCGTGGGTCAGACGTATGTTAGTGCTGTTTATCCGAATAGTGTCGCCTCTAAAGATGGGAGAGTCAAGGAAGGCGACGTGATAATTAGGGTTTGTAGATTATTGCTATTTTAATGATTCAGACTCTACAACTATTTTTAAATTGACTGTTAATTCAACTTGAAAATTAATTTGTTTCCGATAGCTCTCCATACAACATGTAAATTGATTATTAAAACGTTTGTTCTATTGGTGTATACAGGTAAACGACGAAGGTGTGGAACACATGACGACCAGCTCAATAATAGACCTGTTGAGGATTCTGCGCGGGCCTGTGTCGATTGTGATGCTGCGCGACCCCGCCAATGCCAGGCGTCTGATGAACGCCCAAAATGTATATAAAGACTGCACTTCAAAAGCGAGCAATGCGGTGAATTGATGTAAACTTAGTACAAGACATATTCTATTAGCATGTAACTAAATAAAATCGCTGAATTGAAGCAAAACAAAAACTAACATTTAAACGGTTTGCATTGAATCACATTAAATTTACAGTATACCTATATATTGGAGCGATCTATCAAATATTCGAACGAGAAATGATTGAGAACAATACAATATGTAATACAATTATTATTCACAATTCCATAAATTCTAGTTAATCAATAATCACACCAGACATTGATGAAATGTTAACACGTCAGCACCTAACGCAAATATTGAAAATTCTCACATCGTAAACTAATGGAAACTGTTATACAAAGTTTGAGTATGTTAAAGACAACCAAAGATTAAATGAATAATTGATCAATGTCTCGATTTTAACTGACGTTTGTGTTGTTTAAAAATGTAAATCAAAGATAAAATCAAAGAAGATATATTCTATACATGAGTGTCTAGACATATATATGATATTACATTAATCTATAGATTAGTGCAACTCTTGTGATAGATATTAGTTTATAAACAAATATAACGGTTGCAATGAAATGACAATTATATTATGCTCTAAATACTTTCACTTCTGATTTATGTTTAATTCTCATTGCTTTTATTAAAAATGTTCCATTTTACTCCAAATTAAGTATGTACATCAACTAGTCCTCCAAATGTGACACAATGTATTAGTTATCATCTTCATACGATTTGAATGAATCCTGTAAATTTTAGATTAAATATTATCAATGTTATAAAGTGTTACGTCGATGAGGAGTAAACATGAAAAGCAAACTTAGCAAATAATACAGTATTCAATTAATTAAGGGCATAAAAATTATACATGCATATGTAATTATATGATAATAACCTAATTGATGAAACATAAAGATACATAATGATTGAATAACTCATTTGAATTAAGAAAGTTTAACTATGATTAATAAAATGAACATGAATTATAAACAAGTAAATTCTAAAGTATTTGCCTGAAGATTAGTAGGTAACTAAATGATAACCACAGAGGAAGAAACTTATGAATTTATGACGACTTTGATTGTGACGTTTGTAATAGCAGAATAAGTGAACGAGGCAATTTGTGTATAATGAAAACTTCATAAAGTTTCTCTTGCAGTTTATGTGTCAATTTGAACATTTGAACGGACTGCGGCAGATATTGTTATTTAGTTTATGCGTACATTAACTTTTATTTTTGTAAGATATATTTGCATTAAGATCAGCGTGAGGAAAATTACGTCGTGGTTGTGTGTTGTGTATTTATTATCAGTTGATTGATTGCTGGAAGAAATTTATATGATAATCTAAGGATATATTTCATTGATATTTTCATTGGAAACCAAAGATGCTAAAAATAAAATAAAAGTTAATAATAATACACCAGGTGTTTATATAAGGTGACTCTTATAAAGGAAAACATTCTCTATCTCCTGTTGAGCACAATCAATGCAAATAATTGAAATACGAGAACGCTTGCACGATTATACTACAATACAAGCTATGTACCACTTTCCTAAACATCTCCAACATTACCATTCACGACTTTTCCATTTTCTAAGTATGCGGCCTCTATATAGGGGAACGTGGCGCAAAATAGGCCCCTTAAGAAAAAAAGCCTTAATACTAGGTTTTTTTCTCTTGTTTTATTTATTTTTTAGTTTTAGTTATACTTGACAATTTGGCCTTCATTTACTCTGTTCATTAAAAATAATAAAAATTGAGAAAAGTGGGGCAAAGTGGTCCCAAAAAAACTCAATATTTTAACTCTATTTTCTCATGATCTAATTCATCTCTTATCATGCAATTCTTCAGTCATATCTATAATACAAAAATTTTGCAAGCCACTGGTTGGTTGAACGCCGTAAAAAAGTTGTTTACATGCTGCTAAGCGCCATAAGAATCCAACGGCAGCAATTCCAGTGTACGAGCATGTGCAAGTACCGACGAAAATTCGAAAAGTCGAAATAAGGCATGGAATATTGTTAATTATCTCTGTGCAAAAAAAATTAAGCACTACAATGGTCCTTCAGGATAACGAAGGAATTATAAAGATTTTATTTGATAATTCAAATATGAACTTATCCGCAGACGGTGGCGAACCTTTAATATCCCGCGTGACCAATACAGTAATATGGCGAGTCGTGAGTTTACCACTGAGGTATCGATAAGTGCGAAGATATGAAAATATTTTTAATACGAAACTTGAAAAATAAATGTTAATTTCATCGAAACAAACACATAGGAAACATGGCGCGGCTATCGAGAAACGCGTGCGGACAAACCAGCGACTAGACTCGAGTGAAGCTGCACCACGCCGAGAGCAAACTTAATCTATGAATGCGTGCTCCGAAAGGACTTGTGACGTCCAGGTAAAATGCCGTACGCGATTATACGTAAATATGCGCACAACATTAATGCAATTCAATAAATTCAAACAAAGAAAAGTTGAAAAGTTGTCAGGGCTGCCATCTACCGATCACTTTTGTTTCTACACCACCTAACCGCACTATTTTGTTTACATCATCTACAACGAAAACAACTGTTTAACTTGAAGTACCTATCATTTTTTTTAATATGGTAAGCATCTCCTAATTTATTTCTTCTTGTGATAATAATGCAAATATTTTAAATTGTAGTCTGTTACGATTCACACCGACCTGGGTAACATAAAAGTGGAGTTGTACTGTGAGGAATGTCCAAAAACTTGTGAAAACTTCCTTGCTCTCTGTGCAAGTGATTACTACACTGGTTGCTTGTTTCACAGAAACATAAAGGGTTTTATTGTTCAAACTGGTGATCCATTAGGCACTGGTAAAGGCGGTACATCAATCTGGGGCAAGAAGTTTGAAGATGAGTTCAAAGATGAACTTAAGGTAACTATTGAATACTAGAAATTCTGTAAAAGTAATAATTCTTGTTTTCACTATCTAGCATAAAAGCAGAGGGTTACTATCAATGGCTAACAATGGACCAAATACAAATGGCAGTCAATTTTTCTTCACATATGGCCCACATTCTCATCTAGATTTGAAATACACATTGTTTGGAAAAGTAATAGATGGTCTAGATGTGCTAGATGAATTGGAGAAGGTACCAGTAAATCCAAAGAATTTTAAACCTCTGAATGACATAAAGATAAACAGTATTACAATTCATGCTAATCCAATAGCAGGTTAAACACAGATTTTTAAATAAATTAGATTTAATTTTGAATTATGATTCAACTTCTTTGTAATCTTCTACAAGTGCTTCAATATCCTCCAAAGCATCAACAAACTCTGCCTCTTCCATTCCTTCTGCAACATAATGATGCACAAATGCACGCGTTTGGTACATTATGCGGAATTTTTCTGCAACGTCTTGCCAACTTGTTTTGATTGCTGTTGTATTTGAAAGCATCACCACCGAGCGTTGCACGTTAGCTAAATCTCCACCGGGCAAGCAAGTTGGTGGCAAGTAATTTATACTCACCTACAAAGAATAATTTTAGAAATCTAAACTTTAGTATATAATTTACGTAGCATACTTTAAATCCCGTTGGGCACCACCCAACGAACCAGTTTTTCTTCTGGTTCTTTACATTGTATATTGCTGTGTTGACATCGGTGGGCTGAACATTTCCCCTGTAAAGCATGCAGCAACTGAGAAACTTTCCTTGCCACGGATTGCACACTATTAATTGATTCGCCGGTTCAAAGCATGAGTTTGTCAGAGAAAGTATGGATCCTTCTTCATAGAATGATTGTGAAACTGGTATGAATGGTGCGTATGTGATCAGAGGAAAATGAAGGCGCGGATAAGGCACCAAGTTGGTATTCATTTCTCGAAGACTGACATTCAATCCACCTTCGTACCTCAAGGATGCTGTTTTATTGGATACAACCTGGAAATTTAATATATTTTATCTGTTTCCTACCGGAGAATATATATATATAATGCCAATACCTGTGCGAGAAGCGTGTTAACATTTGAATAAGTCGGTTCTTTTACTTCTAACTTGCGTTCCAGAATATTATAAGCAGCTTGATTGTCTAGCAAAAAACTGATGTCTTGATATTCGAGTGCTCCATGAGCACTAAAGACAGTGTTGTAGGGCTCGACTATAACAGGTGACAACTACAAGATGACTTATGTAATTATTGTTAAAAAATGAGAATAAGTCTTTTGTTACACATGGCGATGGATAAATTCCGTATTCCATTATTGTGCACTTGTCGAACTCATTATGCAACCGTTCAGATAAAATTGTGGTAAAACCTGATCCTGTCCCACCGCCATAACTCCTATAAATAATAAATCCCTGAAGATTTTCACATTCGTCAGTCGTTCTTCGTATAGAATCTAATGCTGCATCTAACATTTCTTTTCCAACTGTGTACATCCCTCGCGCAAAATTGCTCGCAGCGTCTTCTTTTCCAGTCAGAAGTGACTCAGGGCGAAAAAGTTGTCTGTATGTACCTGTTCTAATTTCGTCTGAAATAATTCGGTTTAGAACAGAAAATTGACCAATTCATTAATTGATTTGTACCAATTACAGACGGTTCAAGATCCACCATTACGCATCTTGGCTGGCATCTAGCCTCTCGACTTGAATCCGTCATATAGTAAAACGTTTCTATGTTATTCACACTTTCGGCATTTATCGACATTGGTTTGATGTATTCATGAGCTAGCATTCCGTTGGGTTGAACGGCGTGTTCGAGATTAAATAGCTCCCAACATGCGGAGCCAATTTGGACACCCGCTTGTCCTACATGAATTTGAACAATTTCCTTCTGGAATATTATTACATCATTAAACTGTTGGTCATTTATCGCGAAAGTATATCTTTGTAGTAATACCTGAACCATGTTGAATGAAATTCATACTATGTATAACACAAAATTTATGAAAATGGCCGTGAAATGAATTTGAAACGGTGATGAGCGAAAGTGTTAATTTGACATTTTGAATTGAATGAATATGATATGCGATCGGTCAGAATGATAACGATGACAATACAACTTATGCAAAATTTACAGCTGCCACAATAAGAGGCCTAATATAGATGATTTATTAAAAATTACAAATTACTTTAACTATATTAAATTAACTGCAAGGAAACACCGAAAGCAAGTCATAATCAATTAGTTATACAAATTTTCCTTTACTTTAAATATCTCAAATACAATATTGTTTAAATTTTACATATCACTGAATGACCTGGGATCAATTGATTCACGTGACTATCATTCAGAAGGAGTTGTTGTTATTATAAGAACTGTGTCTTTATGAAAAATCTGCAAAATATGCATGTTATTTATAATTTGCAAAATAAACATGGTATTTATAATGAATTACTATTCATCTAATGACCTGGTGATAATCTGATTATTTGGATGACGTAATTATCAATAAACAAACAAGCAGATTCGTTGTTATTCTCGTTGTATTTCGACGTTGAGAATAAACTAATAAGTTTGCCTCTATGAAAAATCTGCAAACAACAGTATTTTAAAATAAAATAACAGTTATTGATATACTTCAACCTACACTAAATCCTGTCATAGCCAATTCATGTGCTCTAATAATATGCGAGAAATTATTATTTTTCAAAAAACTAGACGTTGCTGCACAATTAAAAACGTGAGCAGTACCACGTTTCGGATTTTGTGCAAATCCAAAATTGGCCGCAAGCTCAATTTGGATTTCTCTGGTAATATCTGATGATCTATAAACCAATGTAATAAAATTATTAAATTGAAAAACAAAATAGTAAATAGTACTTGATAGGATCGTTCCACAGAATTTCCCACGCCAGAGGACTTTTTAGATCAGGATGAGCTAATGGTTTTGGAATTCTATTTATTGCTTCTACAGAGGGACACAGCCATGGCGGAGGAATCCCTCCATGACAACAAAACAATTTTCCATCGATTACAGCAGCTATTGGCATATGATCAAAAACAGTGTTTACGGTTTCCCACACTATTCGACCTTGTTGTTCACCAAACTTAATAATGCATTCACTAAAATGATTAGTATTAAATTTGAGTGCATAGGATATATGCGTATACCTTAAAAAGGTAAACATCTGCTGCACTTCGCGCACTTCATGATTTCCTCTCAACAGAAAAAACTTAGTTGGATGCAAAATTTTATTTGCAAATAAATATGCAACAATTTCAATACCATAAAATCCTCGATCAACATAGTCGCCAAGAAACAGAATAGATGAAGGATTGTATCGGGGTGAGAGGGGCCATAACATTTCTTCAAAACATAACAAATCTCCAAAATTACCATGAAAATCACCTATAAATCTTCCAATTAAAAAAATTATAAATATTTTTTAGTAATCAAACCTAAAACAATTGATGGAGTAGATATCTTTAACAATCGAGGCTCCTTGATCAAAACTTCTATGGCCAATTGACAGACCTGCATTAATTTTTGTGCAAAAACTACGGAACTCATTGGACTCCAAACATATTCCCGTAACTTAAGTCCCTGATTGCCGCTTTTTATAGAATTGATATTAGCTAATTCTTTAGTCATATCCACAACCTCGTTGCAAATGTTTTTCTTGGAAAAGCTGTCAAGTGAAGGGCGTCTATTTTCCAATGTGATATTTGCACGATCCAAGTCTTCTTTCTTAAAATTATCTGTAAAGATAAATCATTTATCTTGTGGCTGTTTTATTAAATTAATATAAAGGCACCTGTATTAAAAATGGACTTGACTGTTATTTCAGTACCACTGTTACTGATTCTTAGAGAATGCGTAGCCACCTCCCATTTCGTAGTGTTTTTCACAGAACGTTCAATAGAAATAGTTTTAGAAGTCAAATTTGAAATAACTTTGGTTTCTGGTTTACTAAAAATTGAAATACAAACGTATAACTTTGTTATATTTTTGTTGCATGGTACAGACCTTAATCTTGAAGCATTTGCATTGGCAATCACAATAAGAATGCTTTTAGAACTTCTTAAGATATTGCTTATACCACGAATACGAAGGTCTTCTGCATATTTGACAAATTCTGCTCCATCAATTGCCTTGTCCGGACCAACATTCAGTATTCTATAAAAATTTGAAATGAGGTTGTTCTTTGTGTTTATTATGTAAAGAAAGTTTTCTTACGTTGCAATTTCTCGTAACTCTTTTTCTAGATTCGCAGCGTCTACAGGTAACAACCGACTTTTGCGTACTAGAATTGCAAGTTCTCTTAACTCAGTTATCGTAAGCTTGCCGGTTCCGGTCACATTCATGTAGCGAAAGATATACGTTGCTCTTGCTTTTCCACAGTTGCCGGAATGTTTCGCATCGGGTTCCAAAGCACAACAAATGCCAAAGTATTCGTTGAAAGTGAGAAATCCTCGACTAGTTACATCAGCCGCTCTTTAAATCAATAAATTTATACTTGCTCAAAATTTAAAAAAAAGTATAATTTTTGTACCTGAATAAATGTGCTCCTTCTAAACGGTTAAAACCCATTTGAGTAACCACGTTCATAAAGTTCCCGCCTGACATCACAATATCCGGAAATACCAGTTGCAGAAAATGAATGTAAACTACTCTTCTTGATGTTGCAATCGAAGATTCCTCAATCATTTCATCAATACATGCGACACCCGTGTTTTTCTTAAAAGCGTAGTTATTAAGCTCAGCATAGCTACCTAATTCTTGGATTGCACTAGGATAGGTTAAAGTGTATCGTCCGAATAATTCTGCTTTAAGTTTTGGGAAAATCTCAAAGAAAATCGGCGATCCCACCATGTACAGATTATAAAACCGACTTAGATCACGAATGTTTAACCATTTCAATTTAGCATACTATAAATTTAAAATATGCAATTTTCAATTATATTTAAAAACATTAAAATTACCGTTCCTTGGGTTGGAACCAAAAAAAAATTCATGAAACCTGCAGAAACTTTAATCCACATTACGATGTTAGTAATATATGTATCACTGTTTCCAATTGGAATCCAAACTCTCGTAACTTTATGCGTGACTAATGTTAAGTATGTTTGCGTTCCCATCAACTGAAAATTTATATAAATGTTAATTTAAGTTGCAGATTCCTTTTTAATTTTACTTCAAGTAATTCTTTCTCCACAACATCTTTCCAGTCACGGTGTTTCCTAACTTTGATCGTGGGAAGTGTGACTACGTTCAGTTCTTTCAAATTTACAAAACATAATACGTTGTTATCATCTGCTACTACCAATGTAATAGAATCACTAAGATTTGATTCATCCATTTTTTACATTTATCTTAAACAGACCAAATCTAGAACAAGAAAAAAATTACCGATGCCGAGAAATTTTATTTTAACTTGTCAATGTCAAAATAGACATTTATTGACAGATTTTTATATATAAGTTGAAGATTTGCTTATATTATAAAAACCATAAATTAAACTTTACAATGCTTTTAATCATATATTCTGTCATTGTTGAATAAATTGAAAAAATTGGAATGCAATAAGAAAACAATTTATACATGTTTTATTCTTGACTGTTTTAATTGTTACTACGAAATTATGTCTCATATTTCCCAAAATTCATAACACTATCAGTCATCAATTTTTTAGAAATCAGAATAAAATTCTGCTTTAACAAGGTTTCGCTCTTGTACTATATTTGTTTGTAGTGTACGCGTTCATACCCATACCCATGGTGGCGGCATGGTGGTTTCGATAAACACAAACCGTCGGCGCTTGCGTCCGTTTAAACAAAAACTGGCGGTCATATTACCCTCGCCGCAACTAACGTGTAGACGATAAGTGACTTTTATGCGCTTTGGCGGCATCGGTGCGCCGTTAAAATTGAAGAAACATGCGTTGGACGCGATGTGACATCCATCATCGGCGATGAGCAGCGATTCGTGATAAAAAATTTCATTTAATAAGTATTTCTAACAGAACTACAGTGTTAATTTAAAAAAAAGTTTTATGTCGTTTTGTGATTAAAAGTTTGAATAGGAAGACACCTTTTAAACTGTAAAAGTGCTGTGTATTTTTATGGAAAGTTGTGTTGCAACGTGTTTTGACAAAGGTAATATTCAATGACTTTGGTATCGGTTAAAAGTTTATGTAATGATTGGGGATGATTGAGTTTCTTAAATGATTTAAAAGCAGGCGGTATAAACATGCCTTCCATCTTAAATATTTGATAAACATGTCTTATAAATAGTAGTTTTTAATGGATTTTTAAACTTATGTGATTAGGGAAGAATTGCAATAGTTATTTGACAACATTTTATCAATGGAATAATTATGTTGAATATTAACTTACGATTAAAATATATTCGTTATTATTTTTCGCTGCACTCTTCAGAGGCTTAAAAATAAATCTCACAAGTATATCTTCTAGGGGTTGTCAAATTGTTTGTCTGAATGTATTTCTTTATCCAACATTATTCTCGGTTATTATAGCAGTTAACATTCATTTGCATTAAATTAGCACCTTGCATAAAAAAGTAATAAAACCGTGAACCGGGTTTTGTGATTTATGTTCTGTAAATAACATTTATTGCAAAACACAAATTAAATTAGGTTTAATCTCAGGTTTTATTGTGTTTTAAATTTTATTACAATACAAATTTTCATTTTCCTTAAATGTTTCTTTTAAAAGATTTTTTAAATAGTTGAAATTGCATAGGATTTGTCGAAGCAAGTTCGAGTACTCAAATCGATATAAACAATAATTTTCATGGTGCTCGCCGCAGTTGTGGTCATAGAACTTTACCATACATAAATTATTGATTCGGAAATTGTCTGCCCCGCATCGGTCATCAAACGTGCGATGGCCATGCGATCCGCCCCAACTCTTTCCATTCACGTATGCAAGAGTTTCATGTGGCGGTACACAACAATACAATCTACAGGCCAAATCAAAACTTAAAAAACACATTTATTTTATTTGACCAAAGATAGTTTTTATCACAAATAAATTATTATTTTTTACTGTTTGAATTAATCATGTAAATTTTCATAACTTATATTTATGTTGTATAGTTAACAGCTACATAAACTATTCTATAAGTTAGTAGCAATGTGAAGTGTGTACGCGTGCATTATTTTTATGCTTTTTACCCTTTCTTTCGGTGACAGTACGTTGCTCGTTACATGCGGTACGTGTTCATGCACGTACTAATGTGACAATAAAAATCATCGATTTTTTGTTTTCAAATAAAAGCACGTCACAAGTGCACACGCACACCGCCCGATTTTAATGTCCCTTCACGCATTCGAAGCCAGTTGGTGAGTTTATCGAATATTCTAGTATAAACCCAACTTGTGGACACGAGAAAAAATCATTTGCACCGATCTACAAGTACATTGGATTACATGCTACAAACACATTCAAATACAGAATACAAAAATATATACAAATAGAAACAAATTACCAGAATATGAAATCAGAAATAAGAAATACTAATTTGGATATCTTGATGAAAAAAACTGAAATTAAATTTTTTATGACAAATTTTTTTTTCAAATAGTTTTTGCAAATTAAAATTAGAAATTTGGAATGTCTCGCTGAAATTATGATGTAATAGATCAATACAAATGATATATTTTTGTAAACTTTTGTCCTATGTCCCTTTTTCAAAGCCCTATTATTCAATATGCTTCTTCAACCGACAAAAATGTGATTTTTTTATGTATAATACTCAGCAATGAAAGAAATTAATGTTGTTTTAGATAAACTAATTCACTAGTGGATTATAAATTAAAATGGGCTGTAGCGCAGCGAAGAATCTAACCGTAGAGCAATTAAACGGCGACACAGGAAACGAGAATGGCACCGAGACGCGCAAAGTATCCATCACAAGACGCGCCTCGGAAGTACCACCCCTTCAAAGTGACGAACCTCCGGAGGAAGTTCTCGACAGTGGGACGTTAAATAATTTACAAGAACATTGTAAGTTGCAGAACACGCAATATTTATTTAATATTAATAGTATAATACCTAATTAAGTCATATGAAATTCTATGAATATTAATCGTGCTGGTAATGATATGTAAACCTGTCTTTGATTGGCGCGCTCGGAATAATTATCGAATTAATGAAAGTGTTATTAATGGCACGCACGTTGCGGTTTGATGGGTTCAACGTGTGACGGCATGTGGGCGGCCATTATCACTACCTCACCCGTACACCGCACCCGACCATTGCGCGTCATGTAACCTTTTCTTCATTGTTCGTTTATTTTACTGTTCGTTGCCCTTTTCGATGTCATGACACCGCCAACACATCATGCAAAGCCAATGTTGATTTTGTCACACATTTTCATATCAAAATTTCCTAAACTTGTAAATTTAAATAAATTTTTAGCAAATGGTTTATCATTTGATATAGCGTTCGAAGAAGATGCGGAAAGCATCATACAGAAACATCCGCCCAAGCGCTTCCAGAAATTGGAAGAGCAGGAGCAGACCAGCCCAAATTTATCACTCCAGCGCTTGCAGGAGAAATTGGATGAAGCTGAAAAACGAAGGCAACAGGTACGAATTGCAAAATTCCTATCCTTAATATATTCACACATTTTATACGAGACATTGACTTCATTACTAAATTTACAAAGGATTGTTTGTTGTCATGATGTTATCACTAAAAAAGTTTAAAAGTGATAACAAAAAGCTGCATAAAAGACAACAAGGAAATAATACTTAATATAAAAAAGATTTAAGTATAAAGGGGAGAATATACGAAGGGGCACATTGAAGTACTAAATGACAACAGCAGGCATAACACATAAATCATAAACAATGGCGCGCACGTTTTTATCGCACCGCCCGCGAAGTTTGTAAGATCATTTGTTGCACCGCGCGCACAAAGCCGCCGCCGCGCAATTAACGACCGCTTAATTGTGATTTATGGCGACAACCTAAACATAGCTGCGTAATTAAATTTCTTTTTCATTATCGAATACAATTTGATACAATTTCTGCAATACTTAAATCACACTCAGGAAAAACTTCGAATTATGATTTAAAATATAATTTTAGATACTGCAACAACGTGTGACATCAGCGAAAGTACGCAAAGGTATTAAAAAGCAAAATAATATCGATGGCGAAGGCGATGAAGATGGGGACGACGAGGAAGAGGATGAAGGTGAGGAAAATCCCACAGAATCTCCACCGGATATCCCGCCCGAGGAACATGCATAAAATAAATTAAAAACAACGGCGGAAAGTACCAAAACTTATTATTTGTTATTGTTGAGTTTTTTAATACAATATGATGTGAAAAAAATCGATAAATTACCATAATTTAATTGTTTGGGCGTAAAAACAAGCAACTGTAAATAATTAAATCGATAAATGCCGCTTGTTTACTAGTCTAGTTTTTGGTCTAGCCTTTAATCTGGTTTTTCATACCATATATTTTTTGTGGCTTTGTGTATGTGTGGTAATTGATGGCTGAATCGATGAGTAAAAGCAAACACGCATTGTCACATAAAAAGATTTTGAAAAGTACCTAGTACATTTCAAGAAAGTGGTTGAAGAAAACCACGAGTTAGCAAAAAATCTATAAATCTATAACACAGGTCAAGCGGTGAGTAGGAATCAAACTTACTTATTTAAAAGTTCAACCTATATAAAAATAAACAAGGAATTGAAACACGCACTGATATTTTATAAAAAAAAAAATAATTATAATCATTTGTAACGGACAGAAAGTTTGGTGTGATGTAAAATAATAAAATTGTTTGTTTGACTAGAAATAGACGTAGTGAAGGTATAAATAAACGATTAGCTTAAATAATAATACAGATCAATTATAATCATGATAATAATATATTGTGTTTTATTTATAATTTGGTAATTACACATATTGATGTCAATGAACATAAATGTAATTATAAAAAGAATACCCGTATGCGTTTTGAATTGCTTATAGTTGGTTATGATGTATTTTTGGCAAAATAATTTATTTAGCAATAATGGGTAGTTGAATATTTGCATCGTTTTGTCATCAGTCCATCAAAAACATGATCAACAAAAGCATTTGATTCGGTTTCATAAAAATTCTATGGCATCTGGAAAACTTATCAGTTATAATTTTCACCGCTGGTTAATTTTTAAATTATGTATATTATTAGTAAATATTAAATATATAAAACAACATTTTATTTATTAACATCATTTACAAACCACTATCATTTATTTAAATATATTGTTGTCTTTATTAGCTTGTATTATTATAGTATTTATAATAACTTTGTTAATTAGTGTTTTTGTTTTCATTAGGTGTTAATTATAAATTCATGTTACGGTTAATTTAATATTACAAACGATAACTTTTAAATTGTCGACGAAATTAAATAAAACTAAGTTATTAAAACTGTCGTATGTTTGTTGTCTGTCGAAGGTCAGAGTCATGTTTAATCGTCCGAATTTGCCAACAAAATATAATTATTAATACATAATTAAAGCTTTTAATGTTTGTCAGAACTTCCCAAGTTTTCTACATTCACAACCAATTTCCCTCTAACCTTTAATCGTTCATATCAAATTCTTCACTGCAAATGATTGAAAATATCTTCGTCGGTTAATGTCATCGTCGTCAGGTTGAATGTCAAAGGTCAATCATTCTCGGATGCCCTCCCAACGTGTATGTATTTTTTGTATAAGTACTTATATTACACATTAATATCATATTTATCCTTAAATTGTACCTAATGTGCGTAAATAGTTACATTGAAAGTCCCCATGGGTTTGTTTCATCTTAATACCTCATTAACCATCATTACCATCGTTATCATAATGTATATTCTTATCATATCAGTTTTTAGTGTTCATATTTCAGTTTTACGTTTGCAATTTTACTTCAAAATGATTTTCCTTTAAATTATATATTTATGAACAATTTTTCATTTACAATTTACAATGTAATTATATGATTATTAAATTTACCAGAAAACCAATTCAATTTTTATATAAATAAATAAATAAATCAATATATATATTTGAAAATAACAATGAGTCAAATGTCAGTATTGCTTAACAATAACAGTTTTACTAAAATTCATACATTTTTTATAATTTATTGCCAGTTAAGTTTAAGGCAATTAATTAAAATAATATTAAACTGTTTTCTGGTAAATTTTATTCAAACGTTCAAATATTTCTGACCAAATATAAGAAAGTAATTTACAATAATTTTATACATCAATATCAATCAAGACAAAGTTAAAATTTATTGGTTTAGACGGTTATTCGCATCATTTACAATATTTTTTGACAACTTCATTCATTTCTGGTATTTGTTGGTAATTATAATCTATGTTTCACGTTTAATCATTACAATTAGTTTTTCTCCTTGTCTTATGTCATTTAAAGGTTACAAAATTTAGCACCTATAGTTTCTTGTACACCAAATACACATCCTATATGTAATTAGAATGAATTACAAGTACAAATTACTCAAAAATCACATAGAAACATAAGATTTATGTGACGTATTTATGCTTAAAAATATGCCAAAAACACACAGTGTTCAATGGTAGCTCCGCCGTCGACGAGTATCGCTAAGTAACTAATTAATGTAATAATGTCATTGTTGTTATGTAAATTGTTAAAATGTCATAAAACTTGCTTTTGAATTTTTGTCATATAAACATTTCCTCCTCGAGCACTTAAAATACACTTTGTAATGAATGACCAATGAGTTATCATAATTAATATGTGTTAATTGAATCAAAAATAACGCACTTGGATGAAAGTGAATTTACAGACTGTTTGTGTGTCACATGGATCATCAACTTAATAGTTTTAGGGTAAATTTCAGAGTAGAAGTGAAATAAACCTGGATGCGCCGGGTGCAGGTGTCTGCAAGGATTCGGATGAAAATGAGGATAGGCAGAACGAGTGGAAGTAATTCAGTCACACCTCGCGAGCTTTGAGCCGAGTCCTTCTGCTTTCAATTACGTGCTCAGCGTTCACAGCATGAACATGGAGATAAAATTGCTGCTTAAAGCTCAAATACCTTCAACAATTCATAAAACGAAGGGGTGAAAGTGCGTTGGTTACCAACTAAGTCAACAAAAACTGAAAAACGTTTGTTCTTGAATTGAGTGAATATTTCAATGAATGTGTATATATAAAATGTTATTATTTTACAGAGCAAACATCCAGATGATTAAAGATTGTCAAATTGTACACGTGGTAGTTTAGTTATTCATTTGTTTCCAATAAATATAGTATTTGCACATTTTTTATATTCATATAGTTTTTGTTTTCGTATATAATATAATTTCATATATTCATATATTTATTCATCAATATCCACTATTAGTACGCAATATGTATATTTGTTTACTCATGATCGTGTGTGGTTTTGGTCGCCGGTTCATGCGACTTGTTGCTCTTGCTCGGGAGAAAATCATAAATACCCAACAAAATATGACATTTTTATTACGTTAATATTTGGCACCATGCGTTCGATTTTCTGCTCTTCTTCTATGCTTTATATAAAGAGGCGTTGATATTAAAACATTTATTTGTGTGTATCCTTCATTATGCTCCTCTGTTCATATATATATATATACAGGATTGGGCAGAGAACAAGTTATTTATTACACGCAAAGTAAACGGTTTGGCAACACTGTGTTGAGTTTATCCGCAACCGTAAATGCAGCAGTGCAAAAAAGGTTGCGTAAAACAAATAAAATCATCAAACTAAAGAAAATTATTTTGTATTTAAATTTCTAAAACAATGCAATTTTGAAAAATTACTTGTTTTGTGGCCCGGTCCTGTGTGCATATTACATATTTCTGTTCATTCTTCACGTGGAGACAACGCACAGAAAAAGAAACGTCAACGTTTGTTATTTTTAATTAATTATTGCTTCCTAACACAATTTTCGCTAGACATTGAGGCGCTACGAAGCGATTGGTGGTTCAGTACGTAGTTTGTATTTGCAACCGGACTGAACGGTAACATTAAAATGGTGAATCTATAGCATCGAAGTTTGTACGAGTACGTTGACACATATTTAGGCTCGAAACTTTGTTACTTTGAGTTGAATTCAAGTTTCAATTCAGTTTCGTCTGATTTGATCGATTCATCTGTTATTTTGTGGAAGACGGGCTTGAGTATTTAATCATCCTGTTTTATATATCTATAAATTGTATGTTGTTCTTGTTTACGCATTATGTATCTGTATGTATGTATGTAGAATGTATAGTAATGTATCAAGAGTCCATAGATTGGTCTTGCCACGACATTAAAACTTGTTGGACTAAAACTAACACACAGCCTCTAAATTTCAAAAATCTTTATATTATGTATAAATACGTTTCTCCCTCGTGTTGTTTGCTCTTTTTGGTATTTTGTGATTTCTTTTTAAATATGATTTACTACGATTAGTCAGTCCTCTCGCGCACGTTTTAAAACACGATTTGAGCGGTGTACAAATATAAAAACTTTTGTTCTTACATATTTGGTTACGTCTCCAGTATATGTTCCGGTGCATCCTGATCTTGGCTTCTTCTAATTCTTCAGCATGCCGGATTTGGTGGGAAATACGTTAGAAACATCGATATAGGTGAATATTTAATATTTTATACTTGGTTTTATTTTGATGGTTTCGTGGGTTGTGATGCGATGGTTTAAATAAGAACGGTTTAGCCACTGAACGCAAAAGATGTCATGTTTAGATATAGGAGGTGTATTTGAGGTTGTTTGTTAGGTATCGCGTGATAACGTCAGTTGTAGAAACCGCGGTTCATTGCAGCGCGATTCCGATTGTGCCACTTGCATCGCAGGATGCGCATGTACGTTCGGCGGAAACTCGCATTGCAGAGCGCATAGCACATCGGATTAATGGTCGAATTGATGTAGCACAGCGCGTACACAAAGTCCCAAACGATGGGCGGGATACGCTGCGTAGAGGTGACTGGTTTGAGTAGCACCAGAATGTTGTACGGCGTCCATGTGACGATGAACGTGAGCAGGATGGCGGAGAGTGTCTTGGCCGCCTTGCGGTCAGCTTTCTTCTCCTGTGTTTTCTTCTTTTTCTTGCCCTGGTTCTTAGTCGCATTCGCAAGCAGCGTCTTGCCGGCCAGCTGCTTGGGGATGATCTTGGCGTTGAGAGGGATCCGGATGTCAGGCATAGCCGACGGCCGCCGGTTGAGATGATGGTTAGCTTGGCTGGTGTACTCTGTGGTGGGTCGCGGCGGCGGCGCGCCGTCTTCAGGGATCATTTTGATCGAAGGGCCTTCGTCACAGCTGGTGCCACCTGCGCTCGGCTGGTCGCCGGGTAGCCGGATCAGGATAGTGTAGACGCTGTCAGAGGACATCGACTTGCCCGCAAGGCGGTTGGCGGCGGGGAGGCTACGGGAGTCACGGGCGGCCATGCGAGTTGGCGTCATGTTCGCCTGCACGACAGCCAGCTCCCGGGACTGTGCCGTCGCATATGGGTCCCTGGATGGTATCAAATCAGAATACGATTACAAGTTAATTATTGATTTATAACTAGCCAATTTTACGATTTAAGTCTAATACTTTCGTTATTAATTTATTAATGTACGGGTCACAAGGTCATATTATACAGGGTAATCAATCAATAAAGATTTTACTATAATTCCAAGAGCAATAAAACAAACATGTACCTTATTACGTTCAGCGAAGTGCAACGTGAAACAGAGCTCTGTAATGGTGTGTCGAGGGACACGGGAGTGATGCACCCTTGGCCCTGTTCGCTGGGGCTTTCTTCTTCGGTATCGCTATCCTCTCTGCCCGAATGCCACCACGCCACACACCAAGCGCGAATTCTATAGAACCATGCGAACCAACCTACGCGTCGTTGATATTGTGCTGCTAACTGTAAAAGTAATAACAATATTTTTGAAAAACTAACCAAAAACCAAAATTTGAGATTTATTTGCTTTTATTTGGATAAATTATGTATAATTTGTGGTCATGTACGAGTGTATAATAATTAACCCGCTGTGTATTTGTTGTCTGCCTGTTTATTGTCTTACAAACCGCTGAGCGATGACGTGAAGATCTCAACCGCTTTGTACTCAGCATCGTAATTAGCGTCTCGCGATATCCGCGTATCAATTAACGCGCTTCCGCGGCAGCCTTTTGTGCACTGACAACAACTCATAATATGCGCGCCAACACAAACGTTCACGTTCTCGCATTACTTAAATTCAATTTCGGTATTAAGCGCATTACGCTATAAATACGTGCCGCGTGCGTGCGGGTTCACAGAGTAGAATCAAATTGCAGGGATACGGGCGCCGGTAGGCGGGTATGCTTTGTGTTCCGCGCCGAGGGTGTAATTTCGTGCGGGGTGTGCGCCCGAGACATCATGGATGAATCCACGCGCGCCGATAATTCTTCCACATACGCTCCTACAAGTACCCACTATACAGAGACTAGTCTCTCCTATATATATTCCTCGCTAGAGCTTTCCAGAAACTAGGAACGCACACGCCCGCTACTAAAACCACAATCGCTTTGGAGGCAACTACGCGATTTTCATATAATTCGATTTTATTGTCGCATAAAACTTATCGCTCTTCACAGCAATTTAATATATTTAAAAATTGCGGCGCGCTTCTTCCATGGGGCTGGAACGATTGCTTTTATATTTATCCATCTTTGCGGGGGATAAAAATGCGCGTGTGTGGGATGAGAGTTTAACGACGGAATTGAATCTGCCATATTGTGCTAAGATATTGAAGTCGCCAAGCTGAACTGCTGCAGATTTACGAGAAGATTAAAATTTATATTAAACGATGATTTAATTTCGTTAGAACGTTACTAGAACAAATATTGCATTTCATGGGTCTCTAGAGTAAATTCTACCGAATTGCAGCAGTACTTCTTCTTCTTGTTCACCTTTCAGACAGATGTATTTCCGGACTGCGAAGTTCACCTTCTAATTGCGTTGCAAGACTAATTCACAAACACTCCACCGACAAGAGAGACTGCTTACTTCACGCGTGCCTGGGAACCAAACACTCGGCCTCGCAGTGTAAACACCTCGTCTTGTAGTTGGCAAACACATTACCCGTATTAACTGGACTTCCTACAGTTCCACCATACAACCTGCTAAGCAATCGAGTACGTCACGCAGTAATATCACCGTCGTCAGTGTTGATGTTGGCCAGCCGTGGTGAAAACGATTATTTAATGTCATACTCGTCGGGTGGCAACTTGTTGTTCTCTGCTCCAACAAAACCCTATATAAATAGCACACGCCGCTGAAGTTTTCATCCGCATGCACAGCATGTGAATGTGAATAATGAAAAGTTGATAGTACATATCATCGGACATGTCAAGATGTCTCCGCGGCGCTTCTTGTCGGACATGCCTTGCTAGGTGTGCGATTGTGCGCATATGTAGGAATTTTCATTATACGCGATGCTATTCTCGTTGACAGTTTCCGCAGATAGACGCTTGACAATAGCTTCCGTTCGCATGCTCACATCCTGACAGTCTTTCCTCAGTTCTCGGTACAGCCTGACAGAAAATGGAATAGAAGCGTACAGATCGTACGACAAATTCATTACATTTAGTGCCTTTTTTAACGTGAACTTGCAACCTGGAAATTTTACTCGCTTTGAAAGAATAAAGCAAAAAAAATGCATCTGGCAATTGATTGCTGGAGTTCATCTCGGCAAACCTCAGTTATTTCTTGCTGGGATATTTAATTATCGTTTATTCCGTCCTGTGATAGCTGCACGCCGGGGTTGATTAATATGATGGCAACGCGTTCGTGCGGCTTCCCGGCGCTCTAATAAAATTTCCTTTCCACTTTTCTACTTTTCCGTTTGAATGACTAACGCAGGACGCTGTCATCGCCTGCATCATCGCTGATGTAATGCAATTTATGAATTCCGAGCCGGATATCGGCGATATGTAAAATTCGCTTACGCGACAAGTTAATTAACGCAATTATAAGTGTCCAACGATTACAATTACGATTCTGTGTTATCATTCCTGTGGGTTAATACTTGTTCATTGAAAACAGAGTTTGAGTGAGTGAATTGATCGCTTCTATGCAGGTGTATGAAAATGTGGTTAGGGCGGGTGAAGAGTATTGGGGGATGATGATGGCAATCGATGGTTCCTCGATTTCAATTTCGCAAATGAATGGCCTACAAATGATCAATAGTCCGCGAACGGAAATTACGCAAAGTTATTCATAATGGCCACTTGGGCTCACTTTACATTCACAATCGATTTAAATATTATAACCGTACATTATGTGGAATTTACGAGTTAACTACATTTGCGTAATTAAACTCAATCATTTTGAAGTGTTAAAATTTAAAAATGTGTGTGGCTGGTTTATTTGAGCAACAAGTATCATTTAATTTGTGTTTCCTTGTGTGTTTAAACATTGAGCACTTGTTGAGTTGATCAAATCGCCCGCCGGCTATAAATTTCAGCCTGGAAACTTAGGCTTTCAAAAGAGTTGCGTTGCAAAAAGTTAAAAAATCAGGGTGTATTACATACAAACGACCTAAACAAATACCAAAATAAATAAAATGTAAAACCACTGCTTTGACATCAAAGCAAGTATGTCATCCTAACCTTTTGCCATCTGAAGAGATTTAATAAAACAGACTCGTCTACTCTGGCACATCAAAGCGATAAAATTCCTTAATCTAATAAGTAAAGCGCAATAACATATCAGTTATTGGATATTTCGTATTCATAATCATGCCGGAAATGCCTGGTGGTTTATGACGTTTTTATGTCTTTAGCAATTTAGGCGTGTCATAAGGCAACCGCACCTAATTTCATTCCAAGTCTAAATCGCTGTGTTTATGCGTGTGATAAATCTTGCAAGCAAAGCAAATATAAAAAGAGACGTAGAAGTTTATGTTAGTTTGGCAGGTTATATTCATTTATTAATACAGCTACCCAAACTTGTGTTATTAAACACGTTTTTAATCTACTAAAAATCCAAACACTCCCAGCTCGTTTACCCCAATTCCTGCCCGCAGAAAGTGAAAATAAATCTCGAGTTATTTTCGTTCGCAAGGAGCGTGTTTGTGTGAAAGTATAGATTATTTGTTGTCAAACACACCCTCCATTATCGTGCGTGCCTGCAAAAAGTTACGCGTAGAAACGCGTCATGCGATTGATAAAAATAAAAGGTGTCGGAGTATAAGAAGTCAAGTCAAACGCGCTGGTAATGTGAAGCGACTGAGGTGGAAAGAACTGGGCGAGAATCTTCTGATGTTTTGACGCTGCTAGCTGAACGTTGTGGTTTTTATTCAATTTCCGATTAGATTTTTCCTACCCGACGAGCAAGCGTGCGACATCGTATCGAGATCTTATCGGTTCTTTCCTCCTACTTATTGTAACTACGCATAGTGGTTGACGTACATAACACTAGCACATGAATTATACATAAAAATAGAAGTGTTTTTTTAGATAAAAACGTTTATTTAAAAATTATTAAAATCAGACAAACAGTTTAAGATATTTCGATTTAAATTTTATTTGCACCGCCCACTTATGTAGCTGCGCATGCGTAAATAACTTTACAATGGATGGGCGGAGCAAAAAAATGATAAATCTATCATATCTCATGAACTACTCATCCGATTTAAATTTTATTTTGATAAATAGGTATTTCTTACCGTGCGCCGTCGTTGAGTGTCCACGCAGACGGAGCTATGCATGTAGACCGAGTCGTTGTCAGCTCCCGTTGAAGACTCGGACCGGGGGCGTCGCCAATCCTCTGGTTCCACCACCGAGCAAGCATTATTCGCCTCGTCACTGCAGACATACACACTGAGAATGCCAGGGAAACGCATTAATCGTAAATCGTCAGGGTACATCAAACGACCACGAGTACAAAACGACCACACATGCTATAAACTGCCCAATCTGGTCCGTGTCCAGGATGCAGATGCAAATTGCAATATGTTAAAATCGTTAAACCCGATTGTTTCTTGCTACAACAAGTAATTTACCGAAAACACGATAGACACTGTCCAAATATGATCATCAAAGATGGACGATCTTCTGATATGCAGAATTTTCGATCAATTTGCAATTTATCGCCGCGCATCACACACCACAACATCAAACTGTGTGCCTTGACCCGGTTTGCATATTCATCATTTCTCATCGTCATCTACCAGATGCATTTACATCTACATCTATATTATGATTCCTAAATGCGCTTGTAGATATATGTAAATACACGCAGACATCATCAAATATTCATAAATTGCGTTAGCGTTAAAAATTTGAATGCTTCCGATCTACCGCCTTCCGCTCCTGCGTCGAATATGGATGGGGGCTGTAATAGAAGCAAATAGCTCCAAATCGATTCGTTTACCGGCGAGCATCCTGCTTTTTGCCTCTTCTACACGTCCTTACTACCCGACATACTCAACCTGTAACATTTATCTCCCTGAAGGCACCTGGGAGTAGAGTGACTGCTGGGATGTATCTATAGGTTAATCAAAACTCCAGAACTAATTATGGTTCTGGCGGTGTAGCCTTCGTGCCTCAAAAGCTAAAGACACGAGTAAAATGAAAATAGAGTCGAGGCTCCTAGTTGGGCCCCACCCTTCAATTACTCATCTTTATTAATTAAACTTCTTAGCGCACTTTTACGAGCTAGACGTTCGCGACGATGAAACACTATTTACTCGGAATCGAGCGTGTGCGGTGTGCAAACGATCCAATAATTTTTCTCCCGCCGCCAACCCTTAACTATGTGAGTAATACAAAATAATCCGATTGAGGGCGTGAGTTATAAGTTTGTGGTGGTTGCGATGCGCGTCGGGAAAACTAATGAAAAAGTTTATTAAAAGTTGCCCATTGTACCTGGAATTGCTGCGTTTACTGCTGTCCTTCTTGCCCGCTTGCAAGTTAGGCAGATCTTTCTGTCGCTTTTCCGTCTCCCTCCATATCCGCCAGTAGAGGAAGCACATGACTGTGACGGGCACGTAGAAGGCGGCAATCGCCGTGCCGAACGTGATGTAATGATTTGTCTCGATGAACTGAATGTAGCACTCGTTGTTCGGCACCGTGCGCTCACCCTCAATATAGGGCCAGCTGTAGATCCACGGCGGCCAAAGCAGCAAACTTATCCCCCAAGCCGACCTGAAGCATGCAAATAAGAGCAGGCGATAATTTCAACCAGTCAAGAGGGCTTTTAGTGGTATTCTCAGGAATGGAATTGAAATTGGACGTGGAGTTTGACTTGGACTTGAGTTATATTAAATTTTCCATACCCTATCATGACCGCCGCTTTGTTGGTCGTGCGCTTTGCACGATAGGTGAGCGGGCGGGTGACGCTGAAGTAGCGATCAAAACTGATGATGAGCAGGTTAAGCACCGAGGCATTGCTGGCGAGGTAGTCGAGCGCTAGCCACGTGTCACACACGTGAGGCCCTAGCGGCCAATAGCCCAGCAGTGTGTAGACTGTGAAAAGGGGCATCGAGATGAGACCGATGGCAAAATCAGCGACGGCGAGCGAAAAGAGGAAGTAGTTGCTGATGGTCTGCAACTGCTTGTCGATCTTGAACGAGACCATCACCATTATGTTGCCGACCACGGTGATCAGCGACAGTAGTCCGGCGACCGTGCCGATCAGCACGATCTGAGTGACGGTGTAGGTGTGATCCTCGGTTCGGTTCAACGCCAACGAGTTATTCATGTTGTCACGAGATTACGCTGGCTGGTCGCCGCATCTCGAACCACCCCCTCTGAAATTAACCAAAAACATCCATTAAGTTAAGTAAAGAAAGAAAAGAAAAACATTTTCATTTCAATACAACGTGGAGAAAACCATTTAAATTATTTGTTATATTCACAAAACGTAAAAATGAATTCCCAATAGAATTTACAATATGCAAGTAACACAGGATCTCACTTTCTCATATTTTCATCTCCTCAGCTTTCAAGGAGCTTTCCTCCACACAACCGGAAGCAGACTAAAAGCAATATTTTTATATTTGCATTATTAAAGTAAAAATATTTCACGAGCTAAAATGTTTGAAACTATATACGTTCTAGGACTATACATTACCAACAAAGCAATTATTCATAACATTTCATAAGTTTATAGCTTTGAGCTGTAAGTAGCACTATACCGCTGTTTAGTTTGGTGCTTGTTGGGGCATTTGGTACGCCGTTTAGTTTCGGAGATTCGCCATCGCGCATACAACGTTAATAACTGCATCATCGTGCGCCGCATTGCAACTGGCCTACAATGCAACGTAATTCAATTATAAAGAACATGGTTACGGGTACCTACAGACTCTCACGGCTTCGGAAACTTATCCAATCCAAACAACTGCATCTAGACACGATGACCTCATTGTTGATATTTCAGTACTATTTAGTGTTTCTAACTGAATTTAGTTGGCAAATTTCAGGCACAACTTTAAACACAAAACAAAAATATTGCTGCAGAATTAAAAACTGTTTAAATTATTTTGCTCTTTTTTCTTAAACTTACAGAAGTATTTTTATATTCTCAGCTTGAGTTAACGAAAAATAAGAAACGTTTCGACCAAATAAACACGAACGCTTTATCTCTTATTCTTCGTCCTTTCAAAGTGCGAGATATACAAAATTGGAAACGAGATTGAATCGTTTCGGGCGTTAAAAGTGGCATCGTTGTTGCTTCCTGGGGAAGCACGCCCGGATCAGAAATATATCTTTTCGCTATGCGATGATGAATAATAGTCCTTGAAGCGAAGCGGTTAGGCGCAGTCTTGCTGATACTAAATTACGGCATCGTCTCGGTAAGCTTTGCAAGCGTCATCCACTCATCCTTATTGTCCTCTTTGATTCAATCACGTATTATCGCCGAGGCACCCGCTACGTGTTGGAGTGTCCGAAAAGCGGCGATCGAGCGTTTATCGCGGCTACTTGAGTGCTTCCTTTACTCCTAAAGTGGATAAAATTGACTGGCGATACATCTTACATTTTAAAGTTATCGTATTTTTAAAACGTGATTTTTTAATATTTCATGTAATAATAAAATTGCTCACTGGGTGATTTAATAAGCGTAGCTAACGCTTTGAAAAGCTTGTTCCAGTTTCAGAACTACTAGCTCAACTTTTTAAATTTATATGCAAATAAACGTTTGTTGCACGCTCGTAAAAATCACAATGGAAACCATTAAAATACGAAATTGCATCCTAAACAAGCGCGATGAGCGTCGTGCGCTGGAAATATGGAGAAATAAACTGCATTCGAATTGATGCTACACAAGGTGTGCCATGAAATCGAATACAATTCCATCGTTCACGTACTTTACACAAATGTATACATTTCATCAAGAATACAGCATAAAAGCGGTTTTTATATAGCAATCTTTTGTGCTACGTATTTGATGAGAAATATTTTTCGCTTTCGACAAACAGTTTGATTTGCTTCAAGTTGTAGAAATTTACAAAGGCAAGCGACTACAAATAGAGTCGATCAGAAAGATTTTAGGCCTTTTCATCAATGCATGTTTGTAATGCTAGATTTTATAGTTTGACCATTGATTCAATGTTGATAGAGGGCAAGTGTGTGGTATTGACGGATCAATCTTACTCATGGTTTCCTTTTTATCCGTCTTTTACCCTTTTGATATTGACAATATTGGAAAGCGTGACTAGAAAAAGCATAAATTTGTTTACTTATATTATATTGCATCTGCAATACAATAAACCTAAACATAAATAGCCTACAATCTAAAAGCAAAGCTTTTTGAACTGAATGGTTTTTGCTTCTTAGATCCTTTTATCCGCTTTAGAAATCAACATTTTTGCAAAGCAACAAATATGTAAACATCTCAACAATTTTGATTTTCAGATTTAAATCTGCTTTCAACTCTTCCCTTCCAGCGCCTTGATAGCGTTGCTTTGGTAACTTTAACATAATAAAATCCGCAATGTGCGTCGAACTTTCTTTGGGATTCCAAGGGAACACGCCAAAGAGGAAAAGCAATTAAATCATAAAATCATATCTTTTACGATTAATTTCGAATAAAAGCCAACGTAAACGGAAGCTTCCACATTCCCCATCTATTCACTTTCGCTCATTCTTTCTTTTTCCATCGTAAAATCTTCTTTACTTCTGTGTCCGCTTCTTCTTTACAGAAACATAGAATGAGTTTGGCTGATGGTCTGGGCATGGGCGGCGTTAATGTGCGGCCGTTCAGTGTTTTCATCCTTTGGGGACATTAAGCTTACCCCGAGATTAAGACGTCATCAATTTTATCTTTTTTAACACACTTTTTTCTACTAGGGAATTCAAAGTATCTATATATGTCTAGTTTGTGGCTATGGGTATGATATAATTTATGTTTGCAATACAAATCTTGTCCCAATTGAATACAATGTGTTCATTCAAAAACAAAGAAGTTTAAGAACATATGGCAACCTTTGTTGTCTTTTATTGCTAAAATTTTAAGCACTTAAGAAATGTTTATGATGCTATTAGATTTTTAAAGGCCGCTTAAATATCGACTGAAAGTTATAAATTGGATCAACAACAACGTTTTATTATTGATACCTATAACTTAATGTACCTACTAGTTCTTCATCTTTGTAACAGGTTTATATTCGACATGAGAAACTCGAAGGTTTTAAGTTAAAGTGTATTAGTGGACTACTGTGTGAACGGTCGTCATAACAACATTTTCAATGGCGAGGGTGGCCTGAATCACGTCCACGTCATTTGGGACACTTTCAGTAATGCGTTTTTAAAGCTTTCACGCGACGTCTGTTTCCACACTGCGTCTGCTTTTATGAACTGAAAAATGTTGTACCTATAGCGGATGATATTGATCATAAATAATGAGGAGTTTAACTTTAAACACCGACACTTTATTAGATTTTTATTTATACATCACTAACGAATAAAATTTTTAACTTTTTTAACCGTTAAAACCTATCCTGAAACTGAAATTCTTCAAATTTTGATGTAATTAATAAAGTTAGGAATTTTTAATACCAAGGCTTATTATACATTTAACTTTTTCTAATTAAATACGTATCAATCAATAAATTTGAAATTGATAATGTTTAATTAAATTTAATCAATCAATTTTTATCCCGGGCAAATTAATTTTTAGCTTGGTTGAATATTAAAGGTTTATTTATTTTTATTTATTGTTTATTCATTGTAAACAGAACAATAACTAAAAATATTTTTATTAAAATTTGATGATTTGACTATTTTACACGGTCAAACACCAAAAAATGCATACCTCAGCACAAACAACTATTTTGTAAATAACAATCACAGATAGTGTTGTCCTGTGATCTCTTCTTATTACCATTGTAAAACGCTGACGCAAAACCACACAAACATACAAATAAGCAAAAAAGCGAGGATAACTTCAGCTACTCTCGCTCTGTAAAAGATTGATAATATTGCACTTTAGTTGGTCGTGTAATTCACTTAGCCGTGCCCTTTTTTTCCAATCGCCTTCCGGCATTCGCCAACTCATACAAACCAAACAAACAAGCATACGCGCATGAACACAATCTACAAGCGCCACTGTGTACTAGAACAGTGTTTAATGTACTCGAATCTTTATAGGGACTTGTATACACACATCTACACACACACACACACACAAAAGCATTTTATATGTTTGTGAGTGTGCTGGAACGCACACGGATGTATTTTATCGAGCCGTGCGAAATGGAATTGAAATCAAATAATGAGAGCACGATACACACTCCTGGCTCTCCCGGCGAAACTCAGGAGGGAAAAGGAGAAGCATGAAGTGTTCCCGAGCCGCATACCTATATAATACTACACGTATTTACAATGCACACCCACTCGAACTCCTACAGCCAGACACCGTTTGGAAAGAATACTAATTCACTAGAGGAATGAAGGATTGAGCAATATAAGCACTTAGTAACTTTTGTGACGTTTAAAGGAATAAGTTATATGATAGAAATAAAATACTTTGAACATGTTGTATGATAAAGAAAATAATTTTAAGATTTTGGGAGTAAAATCAAGAGTGATTCAAAGCAATGTCGTTGTCGACGGCGGCGGCGACGATATCCTCTCGGCATCAACAATAAATGCTTAATTACTCAACGCTAATTAGGATAAATGAAACGGGATAGTTTAACCGGCGTAATCATATTTGTCCTTAACGACCGCCATCTAGCACGAGTTTCCTGCAAGCGAGCATTGCCGCGAGCGGATGAGCGTTGGCAAGACCAGCCACCCCCAACACCTACACACACAACGTAAACTCACCTCCGGATTAACTAAACGCAAAAGGTTTTTTTTTAGGTTTTATAATAAAAACTTTTAATTTTAGTTTTTATTAAAATTTTTTAGTGTTTTATGTAGTTGAGGTGCTAATAGGTATGTTTGTCTACGTAAATCAGGTGAACACACAGATTTCCATACCATTTGGCGTGCGTTTACTTTTACTTTCATTTTAGGATGTAAAAAAGTCACCGCAAAATGAGAGAAAGCCGAGGAAAATTGCCCGGATTTTATCGCTTTTTTTCAGGTTCATTCACACTTTTTCCAATGCGCGGTGCGCTTAAAAAGAACGCCCGCCACCACCGCCACCGACAACTTTGCGCTGCTGATTCGCAGCGATCCCTTCGAGAATAAGAAATTGTGAAATCTTGTTATAACTTCAACGAATTCGTCCGACGAGGATTTCACGAAAGATTTCACGATTTTCTTCGTTCCTCCAAATGTTAAATAATGTTTTGTCTGCGCGTCGTTTTTCTAGAATTTGCGGACTCTCACAATTACAAAATTAACTTTAACCGAATTATAATTTTGTTTAATTATCACGTAAACCCGCGCAGAAATTGCGAGTTTACGAACATTTAAATGGTTTTCGGTTGATTTTCAGCGACATTCAACTCGGTGCGAATATTGGACTCGCAACGCAACAGAACGCCGATCGATGAGCGTTGAATAAACGTTGAATAAACCAACGCGATTTACATTCATTCATTCGTCGGTCGCGCGCCGGCTGCTCATCGCCAAACCGCGAACGAAAAAGCAGGCAACAAAATGCGCGTATCGTAAAGCAAAAATTTCAATTTCCGTTTGAAGCATTCGACCAACGACCAGCAAACAAGCGCCGACGTGTTGGCGGCAATATCGGAACGCGTGCGCGAAATAAAGTGCGAAACTGAATTAAATTGGTGTGTAAAAATAAACTGCCAGTCGATAGTTGGAACAAGATCCTCTTCAAAGCTAATAAAGAGGGTAGAAAACAAACATAAAATAATCTTCTATCAAAAACATTTAAACATTTTTTCCTCATTGCTCTAAAAACTGTTTTTTGCTTGTTTACGAACAAGCTGCTAATTAAAATGCAGGATACCGTAACTAAAACTGTCAAACATAACCTATTTTTTAGGTTTTTCTCATTCCATGTTGACGTAAGTAACCTTAAAATGCGAAAAACTAGTGCAACCCTAAACACTGACAAATGAGTTATGTTTGTGCAATGCACCGAAGCAAACAAACATCCTTTACCTATCTCTCCATCCAGGTTACAGCCGTCGTACCGGTTGTTAGTCTATTCCATTCATTTGCCCGTTTTTTGCCCTCCTCGGCACGAACAAACACTCGTGCCGCTCGCGCCAAGACGCGCACACATTAACTGCGAGTCTTTTCGCTTTAATCATCCCTTCTGAACGGCGTTATCCGAACGCATTGTTTACCAGAGCATTGTTATAAACTCGGCTATAGTTTCGAGTGCGCTTTGAAGTGTCCTCTCTCCTCGGTACATTTCCAGCTGCTGCTCGCCGCACAAACGTCATGAATCTCTTCGGCGTGTTGAGTGCTCGTCCTAAATTTACTACTCGACCAAGTCCTGGACTCAAATTTACCCTTCAAGCAGCAAGTAAATTTAAACGTTTAGGGCTGCTTGAAATTACGATATCTTGGAGCTTGTTTGCTCTATAATTGTCACCATATTAACTTTGAAGGTTATTAATTTGATTTTTATGCGTATTTATTCGATATCGTAAAAGTCATTTTGTGTCCGCGTTGGAAGTGACAGCCGTCGATACTGGTATACGCAGATAATGAAAATCGCATAATAATGAGTGACACGTAATGAACAAGATAGCGGCCAATCTCGCCGACGCCGCCGACGCAAGTCTAACATAAAATGAAAGCACGGTGGCTCCCACTGCCGCCGGCGTCCACGTGATATTAACACTGAAATTAATTTTAGACGAGTTTTAACACAAACAATATTATGCGCTAAGCTGGAAATCCAACAAATCCCAACAGAAACAAAAGTTTCCAACCTACGAAATCCCATACTCATCAATCATACTTTAATACTAAAATACTTATAATCATAATCATGTAAAACGAGGCCGGCGTTTAGCTTATAAGTTAAAATTGAACAGGACCACAATTATATAATATGCAAGATTAAACAAAGAAAGTAAAATTTTTGACTTGACTTGGCTTCAGCAATCGGTAGTAACTCAAGCATTACTTGAGAAACGAATAACTGAAGTAGGAGTATAGTCTGCAGCAGACGAAAGTCGTCTAAACTTTATTGTCATTTATTCAGACCCTTGGAACATTCGTACAATGGCCGGGCAATTATTTCCACTTTCCCGTGCCGTGCAATTCTTTTATTCTCTACAGAAACTTCTGGTTTCAGTTTCACCTGTTTGCATTTGGATATTGTCTTACGCATTTCTTTATATTAGGACTACTTGTCTTCATATTTACGTTTTCAATTTATTTACAAGAGAAATTACTGTACACATGCGTGTTTTTTTGAATTCAGTAATGTTTTGTCTTTATTTGAATCCTTTGATTAAAGTGAGGTTATGTGTAGTGTGACTACAAGCTAACACAATAAATGGCGCTGCTTTGTACGTCGTTTCCGCTGCTTTAATGTGCAACTAATCCTGACTTTCCCCTTAAAGCACCTTTGTAAAACTTGCACATCCCTTACAACATGAAAAACTTTTCCTCTCGGCATCCGCATCGATGATGCTCCAGGGTTTCACTGTGTTTGTGTAATACGGCAAACGACCACGTAATTTATTCGTATTATACATTTTGAATCGCAAAGCAGGGGCCAGGTCGATGCGTAAAAGTATTGCGATTTGTGTTTTGATCAGAAGGAAAAGTCTGAAAATGCAAAAGTTTTCTTTTGCTGGTATCATGCGCATTCTTTGTCTTGATAAGAGTGGTTCAGATGAGCACCGAAAACGAACGTTCGATATGGTATGGATGAAATCTTTCGGTACTCTTAAATTGCAAGACAAACTCTAACAAAGCAAAGAGTACACTGCACGTCTTTGATTAATGAAACTTTCCCGAAGCGTACGATGCAAATACTCGGCTTACTGGAGAAAATTTCCACGAAACTTTCAATAAACAAGCATGTTTTATAAATTTTATGAAAAATTTTATTTTATATTATTAAAACAATAAACTTTCATTTACATTTCAATTTACATTCATTATCGGATTATCTCGGAATATAGTTGCAGTTGATGCTTTAGGGGCTGCAAAAATAATAGTTATTGTTAAATAAACGCAACACCGTTAAACAAGCGATAGAGAATTTTCCTACACCGCCAGCAGATAAAAGCTCCCGGCGTACGCAAGCGAGCTTTTCAAGAAGTAAAATTAATTTGCATTTTAAGTGGTTTTATGGAGTAATACACGCTCATACAAAAAGCTCTGAACAAGCTGCACAGGACGAGGATGAGGACGAACAGGACATGGGAATTTTGCCGTGTGTTCATCATCCATTAAACATAATAAAAAAATTGCGCTGAATCAAGCAGAAAAAAACGTCTCATGATACCGATGATGATGATATTATGTAGTGTACAAGTTACTGTCATCTCTCTCAGACTCTCCAAAAGCTACTTTATGCTATGTTGGTAAAAGTTGCTGAGGCGAAATTCGGAAACCTTTGTACCAAAAGTTGTATCAGCAAGTTGGAGCGTCCGTGTGCATTATTTAGCCATGTAACGCCCGAGAATGCTGCCTTGGGTTTGCGCCGCGTGAAAAATCCGAACTTAAGGGCCAACTTGGAACTACTCAAAGTTTCATGCACCGCGCGGGAAGAGAGAAAAGTTCCGAAATGGCGCTGCCGGCCCCGACCGGACTTCTCGTTCGATGATTATGAAGAGAATCTCACGTTGATGAGCAGCAAAAGCCAATAGAAACTCCAAAGGAACAGTAGTGTGAGGAAATCAATAAAAAACTATGTACAAATTGTCAAAAAATATTACTACCACATTACACTATTATATTCTGCTTTGTTTAAAACCAGATAATTTGATGAGCTGCATCATGAAGATTCAGGTATCCACGCATGAAATATAATTGTTTGAAACAGCTCGTTAAATGTTAACAACTACTGCTTTAATGATTCCGGGTTTAGTTACATCATTAAAACAAATCCCAGAAAACTGCAAAATTTCAATAGTAATATTTTTTAATTCCGATAATATTTGCAGAAATTCTTCTAAAAAGTATAATTCTTAGAAAATGTATTTACATAACTTGCCAATTGGGAAAACTGCAAATGTTTCCGTGAAATTCAAACTTTTTTGCTGAAATGCTTGGAGAATATTTTTCGCACAGCAAGAACAGTATATAAGGTCTACAAGAAGAGAGGCATGTTTCGAATATGTAATGTCGTTTGTTTTCGCCGATTTCGTGTAGGATGGGATGACTTTCGGCAAGGTTATCATCATTGCAATGGGAGGATACCTGTGCACATACGTAAACATGTTCCAGCTTTTACTTTAATAAACATCTCTTGCATTCGGTCTAGTTTTAGTTTTAAATTTTATTTATGGAATATTCTTGAATTGCAAATTTTATCTTTTTGAAACAAGGAATCCAATTATTAAATATAGTTTCGGAGATATCATTATTATATATAAATCCTGTATTTTTATATATTTTACAAATTATAATTAAAGATAAAATCTATTAAAACTTTTTTAAAACGCACACTGACTGCACACATATTCGTGTTTTTAATCTTCCGAACACAAAATTACGAAATTTAAATCTGAGGAATTCAATTATGTTATAATAAATTATGCCTTGATTGACATTATGTTATTGTTCCGTCATGCGAATTTATGTTCGTGATCTTAAATTTGTTCCGAATTATAAAAAACGGCTTTCAAGGACATAATGCGGTGTATAAATACATAAATTAGTTTATTTAATTCGTCAGTTTGTCTACGCATTGTAAAGAAATCACAGCGACATGAAGTTTATTTCATTTATAAGTGTACTTCTTGCAATTGGAGTTTATTCGGCAAAACTACGTGAGTTTTAATTTATTTCAATAAAATATTTTTACCTCATTTAATTTTTTAATTTATATTCGTTTTTAGCGGAATATTTAAAGAAATGCAAAAAGGGTACTGATAATGGTGATTGCGTTGCTGTAAATGAACAAGCTGTTGTTGATGCACTTCTTAAAAATTGTAAAATTTACTTATTATTATGTTTATTATTCTGATAATAATGTTTGTTTATATTAGCTGGTGAACCAAAATTTAAACTACAAGGCTTGACACCGATTCACGTTAGTAGAATTGATCTCCAAGCCACGCCACAATTAAAAGTAGGATTGTCTGAAGTTGACTTTTTTGGTTTCGAGCATCTTAAGCCTACTGGCGGCAACATCGACGCTGACACATTGCACATAAAATCATTTCTACCACATGTTGAAATTATCGGCAAGTACGACATCAACGGAAAAATTCTAATTCTACCCATTCAAGGTCAAGGCAATTGTAATATCACACTAGGTAATATAAAAATACTTAAATTTTATTTTATGTATTTAATATATTTTTTTCGGCCTCAGTTGATTTCGATGTGGATTATATTGCAAAACTAGTTGTTGAAGAGCGCAAAGGAAAAAAGTACTATCAAGTTGCTGCTGATGATAATACTACGCTAAAGATCAATAACATTAAAAAAGTCCACTGGCAGTTCAATAATCTGTTCAATGGAGATGAACGGCTTGGACCAGAAATGAACCGGTTTCTGAACGAGAACTGGAAGGATGTTTTTAGCGAAGTTCAAGTGGCCATCGAACAAACCGCAGCGTATTCGATTGTTAATTATTTTGTTAATGGATATTTACATTTTATTCCTATTGATGAACTTTTTGAAGAGTAATTTCTTCCGAGAATAAGTTTTTGGCAGTGCATTATTAGTTTAGATTATGTTTAAGGGTAAAACTTTTTTTTAACAAAATAGATGTCAAAATACAATATTAACTTTGGTTTATTTTTAATATTATACAAATAAATCCAAATCAAATGATCTGTCAATTACGTAACCTCACTTGTCAGCTTTCGGCACTCCGCACAAAAACAAAACGGCTCCTAAACAACTCACGAGGGTCTTATCCATGCCTGCTGCGGATTTTATACAAGCATAACGCAAAATAACGTCCGCGTCATCGTTCTCTACCGTCGTAGTTGCAAAAACTTTCCGAAAGCATCGTGCATGCGCACGCAAAGAATGCACTCTGTTTCCGCCGCCGAGCATCCGAGTTGTTTGTCCCACGGCGGGCGGCACGCCTTGTCAGCTCCGGTTAATATCTTTTCGGGAGTTACACGCTAGACGCGCCGCCGCTGCCGCCGCTTGATGGCAACGTTCCAAACACTAATTTCCTTATTGCTTCAACGCCGTGCGGCCCGCCAGCGACAAAATGCATGCGACTCGAATAAGGAAATTATTACTTGCCCTGCACTGTGCACAACTACAAATCGGCGCGCATTGTGTTCTCGGCCGCCAAGCAACAACGTCGAAACAGTGAACAAAAAGCGGCGGTTTTTAAAAGGCCGTGTGTGCGAGATATGAAAAACACGATGTCGTAAAAACGGTTTGTTTGCACTCGGTGCAAAGGACCGACTATAAAAGCATGGAAACTGAGGCATTTCATGATGTCAACTGTAGTTAACTGCTCAAAGTTTTTTTTGAAAATTATACGGATCACAATTGGGCTTACAATGAAAAACTAAACAGCGCAAATACATAAATATACTCATTTGACTAAAATAAGCGAAATAAAAAGGGAAATTATAGCCATCTGGATAAATTTTAGTTTTGAAATGTTCCAAGGGTCAGAATAATACGCAATTGATGAATGGGGTCATATATAATCCAGGGTTCTACGTATTGACTCCCCAAATATGCTCTACTTCAACTTCCCAAAAGAAAAATCATCGGCCCGAATAACCAACAAAACAGTTGATGCACACAGCTCGAATTACGCATTGACATTGAACTATTGTGTGATCAATCTTCGGCCCTACACCACTGCTCCGCGGTATATCCACATCAACATTTGCACTTTCAGGAAAGTCAGAGGGTGATTTTGGCCATGGCTGACATGTCCACGCTGTACGCCTTTTTGAACGTTTGAGTGCGTTGTCTGAACGTGTTTGGACGCGAACGCCGACGGTTAACACACGATACGAGCCTCGAGTGGTTGAGTAAAACGCTTGACCCACATGAAGGGGGAGCTGTCTTGCCACCGCCGTGCGTGGCGTCCTACATCCCTAGATTTTTCCCCCTTGAAATGGCTCCGTATTCCTGTGCGTTGGTGTTCGTTCAACTCCGCCGCTTTTAGTCGACTTCGTATTTTTGCTGCCGCCGTTTTCATGAAATCGCCATCTTTTCGTGTCGTGAATGTCGCGACTTGCGCGAATGTTCCGTGCGTGCGCGCCGAAAGCTTCCAGCTCTGAGCAAATATCCGTCCGTACATATTTGCGACGGGAGCGACGAGAGTTTGTCGCATAACATATGAAACTTTCGCATAGAGCGAATATGAAGTTTTTCCACGCGCACACGCAAATATTATTTGGAGAAAAAAGTTGGAAATAACAAACATGTTTGGGAGGAAAAGAAACAAAGGTCATTACAACAGGGTGTGGCATTCAAAAGCAACTGTTTAATAAATTACACCTTTAAAATACTATTAAAATCAACTCTATATCTTTAGTTGCATTTTACTAGGGCCCAATGAATTTTTTAAAACTGAGATCTACAGGTTGAGTATACCCGGGAATGTATATTGTTAGAACATAAAGTTATTGTTTAAAATTTTGTTAGATTTTGCTATATTTTCAATTTTATAAACAAAACAATGCAGAAATGCAGTTAAGAATGTCATATATCCACAAAATGTGCCAAGATATGACTGAACGACTAACTAATCACAATTCTAAATGACATTTTACAAACAACATGCCTGTCTAATATAATGGTCGGTAATATGTTTCTGCGTTTACTCACATGGAAAATGTACTTTATATGTTTTATTATGTCCCATTTCTGAATGACCCTGTGTATTGGCTATTATAATTTGACCTAAAAACATTTCTTTGTCCTCAATTTTGCATTTATTGCAAGTTATTGACAACTCATACATATAAATGCCAAACATGTCAACGATGCTTTGATAAATTTGGCAAAATGTCTTTCACGAATCCAACATCAAAGGCAAAAGATCAAAACAATGTCGCTAGGCGAATTGAAATTTCTATGCAATGCACTTTGTACTTTTAAATGTTCCAAAATAATATCACATTACGAACATATTTCAATATTTCATTCAATAAGCTTAGATTTAATTATCTAGAATTATAATTTGTTGATTGAAATAATAATTCAATAATTATTTCAGCTGTAAACAGGCAAATTGATTTTGAAATTTAAGTTCCAATAACGTCCAACACGAAAATAATTTGGTCATCAGTAATAAATGTTCACTTTGCAAAACTAATGACAATTATGCGAGAGTCTATCAACTATTTATCCATATTACTGGAATCAACAATCACACGCGCGTTTTATAACTGTGTTACTGATTAACAATGGCACCGTTTCAAATTGCACGCCGCGAGCAACAAAATGTGCAGCTTCAAACCAAGCAATTATCGACACATTTTCCACGCATTCCATTGCGGTTGTTTTCTAGTGCGGCGGCGAAAATCGATGGATAAACGCATTAAATATGATTGGTCGATGGGTCACTAATTGGGCAAACAAAATATAATTACGACTTTGTTTTCACTTTGCAATGCATTTTATTCAATAACACTTGAAGCATACTGTATTTAAACTGTACCTCTGCTTCCTACTTCTAGCTAATTACTAGTTTTCCGAGTTTAATTCAATTATTTAAACCTATAATCAAACCCTTTCTTCTAAAATCAGTACAAAAATATTTACTAATTGACTATACTATGAAGCAATATATAGTATTGTGCTCAGATGCTATCAGTTTGACGCTCCATCCATTAACACAATTTTCACACTGATTGCATTGCATTAGCTGTACTGTGGCATTAAATCGTGACCAGAGACACAAGTACAATGTTGATTACGAACGCAATGCAACTGAATATGTGCCCAGCTTAACCCTGGTCAGATAAAGTGTTTATTAGACAGAGAAAACATCAAATATATATCCAGATTGAATCAACCAAGTTAAAGGGTTAAAGTGGGTATAATGTTGCATAGTTTTGCAGTATTATAGTTTGGGGGCATACCAGAAATTCGATAATTGAATAAATTCGTCAATATGCTTTGTTGGTGAATTCCTTTGGATTGCATACGTTTCATGCCCGTTATAATATGCCAACCTCAATAATTTTCATTAATTTGCAATATTATTCGAATATCTGCATTCTATAAATTCTTAAAAATAATTTTTATTTTAATATTACAAAAAACGTAATAAAAAAATAATCCTTCGAAGTAATAAAACGTTGTGCAAAATGCATTTCCCGACTTCCTGCTGTGTGATACGTTGTAAAATGTTTTCCTCTCTGCATTACCTCGTTTTACTCCAACCCTACAAACATAACCTCCAATTTTAATTCACGTACTCCTAATACTTGTTTGCGCTGCGTGTAAGAACACACAAAGTCGACAATGACACTTTTCCAGCAACTTGTAACTGGATGATTAACTTCCGGCTGAGTAACAGCATCCATTTCAAGTTTAAGCCTGTGAAGCGTTCGCAACTTTCGTTCATTACAAAACGCAATAAAATTAAGCGAATGGTGGTTTTAAGTGTTTCAACATTACTTTCGCCCATACTTTTCCTCGCATCTTCTTATCTTCCAACTGCAATGCTTGTTTGACGTTTGAGTATAACGCGTTTCTCATTCGTTATTTGCTAAATGTTATTTTACCGTCATTGCCAGTCAAGCAGCAACATGTTGTACAAGTGCCCATGATAAAATGTAAAATATAACAGTCCTGCACGACAGAGTAAGGGATGTAAAGTTTACATCCTTTTTACTGCGGACGCGGACAGATGTTAGACCTCAGTATATCGACTCGAAACGCGGGTGTAGGCAGATACAGACTCTCAAAACGCTCGAAACTATGTTAAATCTATTACGCCTTATGAATTATTTATTAATATCTTTATACGCACACGAAGCAGAAAGTGTAGATTCCAACAAGCGGGATATGTGAAACAGTGCCTGGCAAAGGATAAAATTTTAGAATATTAGAATATTAAATGAAGCCTTTTGCTTCTATTTAAGTTCTAAAGTTAAAAGTTTCACGTGTGATGAACTTGTTACTTCATAATTGCTGAAATTTATGAAGAAAAATTTAAATTAAAAGAGGTAAGCACGAAAATGAAAAATTAAATATTTTGAATGATAGAAAATGTTCCAACAATATTTAATAACGGATAAAATTACATATAAAGAGTTTTTGTTGCAATTTTGTAAACTGCAGTAACAAAACATTATCATTACCAATAATAGCATCGCTAAATGATAATGCTGATATTATTGTATGACTGTCGATAATGAATGTAAACACATTTGTTGTGATAGTTTCCATGCGACGATTCATTTCAGTATTTTGAATTTCCACGACTGGAGGGGATTCCGCACACTCACTCCTATTGTGATTTTAATGGAAAGATAAACATTTGCGCTGAACTGGAAGCGCGAAAGTAAAATATTGCCCAATCGAGCGTTAACAATGCGCGCCGATATGAAAACGTATTGCAACTAGCGCGAAATTTCGCGACTCCGCCGTTCAGTGAGCTTGCAAAAGCCGGTGGCAAATTTTGCAGCATGCCAATGAATAACAGGTGTAAACCTGACATTTACGCTTATTTACGCTCTTTACCTCAACAATGGCGAGGTTTAACTATGCTTCAAACTACAAACTACCGATATTTACACTAGTATATAAATCAAACTCAACTTTTAATATACCAGCAGAAATTTTACTTAATACAGGACATTATGATTAATTAAAAGATATCAAACGTTTCGTTTTCAGTTTTGCTATTTTAAATGTCATGTAAAATGTTAAAATATGTTGAATGCTAGTAAGAATAGAAATATTTTTGTAACTTGACTATAAACAATTTTGTATGAACATAAATTATTTAAAAAGTTAAACTAACTAAAACAATAAATCTAAATATCCTCACAATAACTTTCCAGCAAAAATGCTTAACATAAAATAAACAAATATAAAGATAAAACAAATGCAATTTATTATTATTAATGTGAAGTTAATCTGTGAATGTGCATTTTCTTCAATTCGGTGAAATTGGCATGTTTGGCGCAACACGCACAGGTGGAATTGTAATAATCCACAAAAGGGTTCCTTGCATTACACATAAGCTTAAACACAACGGCCGCCAACGGTCGACAACACAAGTATCAACATTTCCCAGTTAAATCAGAATTAAACCTGTTTTTCATGCCGGCTTCAAACTAGTTTTAATATTATAAACATGCGTTAATACAAACAAATATTAAAATTTCATTATATCTAAATAATGTATTATATTGTATATAAATATCTTATTTTTGTTGGTTGAATGTGAAGTGTTTTAAGCACCTTAGTAATTGATATAGTGGAGGCGCCGGGCGATCTCAATTGCATTCCGTTACCGGACACTTGCAAAACGACCACGGTCCACGACCACGTTTTGCATGTAATTGTTAGAATAGGTATTCGTGCTTTATTACTAAATTATTGCAGGTATGTTTAATTTTTCAATGGAATTTCAGTTTATTTTTAGTCAAATTTTTCACTCTTTTTACTTTTGTCGAAAAAAATGTGTCCTGTGTTAATTTAAAATATAATTACATGCTATGATATAAAAATATTATAGGGAATAATTAGTCGACTCACCTTAGCGGCTACATCCTGGTGGCCAGCCATGCTTCATCCTCAGTGAACACATAACACTCTAACTCCTGGAGCTTAGCTAGGTGCAGCTGGCACCATAGGCGTGGACTGTCCGGGTTGGCGCCTACGAAGCCGTCGTTCTCCCACCACTGCCGCGCGTTTGCCGCCGCCACCGCCGCTGCCACCGCCACCCCGAGCAAGAGAAGGATTGAGGCCCAGGACACGCGCATGGCGTTCATTGATTTTGCAGCGCACGGGCGCGCGCGGGATGCTGTGCGAGCGCCGCGTTGCACGCCGCCGGCGGCAGCAGCGGAGGGTGAACGCGCCGCGCCGCCTACCTGCTGCCTCCTGCCGGCCGCCCCGGCACAGCTGCCGTCGCTCTAGCTGAGAACATTGTCTTCCAAACAGCGCGCCGTCGATTTACGAAAGTGTGCTGATTCCGATGACCATTTTGCGTCGTATGCTCAGCTTGATAACGGCCCAGATGTGCCAAACGTCCATCTAATGTCATCGGATCTACTTAATGTAAATCTTACTCAATCACAGTCATTATAAGCACAGAACAATCAATACACAGATACACAAAGCAGATGTTTTTGGTTATATACAAATCTAATCTCAATTTTACGCTAAATTTAAAAGTAGGTTAACTTAACATACGTAGGTTATTTAGACACTGCTTAAATTACCAGTATGGTAATAATTTTTTATCCCGTTTACAATTGAATACGTCAATTATCTTCCCTAATGACAACAGTAGTACAAGATTAGTAGTTACATCGGCATTCATTACATCTGCTCCCCTTCAACCCTCAAACGCACAATCTTCCACTCTCTCGCTATCTCTCATACGTCTATGTCCGCGTATTATGTGTCTTGTGTTCTTCTACGGTTTGCGCCATGTTCACAGCCGCATACCGCCTCCCGCCGCCAAGATAAACAGTGTCACAGATGCTCTTTGTGCGCGCTGGCAGCTCCCCGCCGCGCTGTCCTGCCTTGTGTATCTTCCTGTTTCGCACTCGGCGCGCCGCCACCGCTCTATTCAACTTGAAAATTCATAAGCGGCTCACTTTGTGCGTCCGCGCGTTCGCTCCGGGGCAATTAAGACGCAAACAAAATCTAGCTTCAAGTGGCCAACGGCCACTCGCGAGGCTTTATTGACGTCGCGTTTTACTAGATTTCTGCTTCACTACAAAGGATTCCCATGAAAACGCAAAAATGAAGTGGCAAATAAAGGGTATAAAGTTAAGCAAACTGAGTCCGTAATTTCTTTATTTTAAGGAGAATGTCAGTAAAAACAAATTAAAACTTCATCGTAACATCGTAGCAAAATACTGAGTATATTTTAATATAACTACTAAATTGTGCATAGTTTAAACTTTTAATGAGATATTAATATAATGCACATACATGTTTAACCGGAGTAATGAGCAGATGGTAATTTTAAATCAGTTTTCCATACTTTCTGCGTTAGACAAGTTTACAACAATAATTGGACCAGTTTTCAACAAATTTTAATTTGATGTTTAAAAAAAATTCCATCAAAATATTATTCAATAAATAATTACTTATCAAATTACTCGTATTCATAGTATTAGCCACCAATAGCTTCGATAACACTCGGTATATTTAGCTTTATATTGTAATGTTATATGTAGTCGCCACATGTGACATGTAGAGCGCTTATAAACGAACATATTTAGACTGGCATAGCATGTATTTATGAAAATGATAATAATGTATTGTGAGACCCGTTGTCTCCGTGATATTTGCGTCCCGCGGTTCGATGTGGCCGCCGCTGAGAGGCCCATAGAATAAATGCCAACGACGGCGACGCCAGTCAAACATCACTGAACGCACAATGTCGCCTTCGATAACATTCATCGACACGTGTAAGCGCTTAGCGAATGCGATGCATTTTGCGCACATTGCTGAGTGAATGTGATAGAAATTGAATACAATGCAATCAAAAATGTGTTCGTTTGCATAAATACCGGTGCATTCACGTTCCTATTAGCGCTAAGTACCTTAAAATTTCACAGAATAAAAAAATGTTGAGAGAGCAAAAACTGCTGGAAATTGAATAAATAAAACTATTTCCTAGAATACATCAATAAATAAATGTCTATAGAATTTCAATAAATTATGAAAGCAAATAAAAATTTCTGTATTCACTAATTCAACATACATTCAATCAATATACTCGTATTTGTATTTAATGTATTTCCGTAAATTGTAAATTACTGGAAAACATATTACATTACTCTGCGCGTTTAATTATTTCCTATTTTCAAAACATTTAGGTAATTACCTGAAAACTCATAATGAGTTATTTTGTAACTTTCAAATTATAGTTTTTAATTTAGCTAAGTGGAAGCTAATAGGGTGCCGTATTACCATCCCTCATTTATTCTTGTCTTGTAAGCATCTTGTTCTTCCATAACTCGCCAAAACTGTACTCAGTATTGGCATCATATTGGCACTATGTATTGTTTTGGTCCTGTTGATCATGCTATAAATTTACATGACAATCCTGCTCCTTATTTATGGCCAGTAATAAAAAATAGGGCTCTATAAATAAAATGGTGTTTTCTTTGAACTGAAAATAAATATGATTTACTTGCGCTATTGCCAAAGACTTTTTATAGAAAAATTGAACCAGATATTGATTAAAACTTAAAAGACTTAGTCAAAGTTATGGCAAGTAATAGGAGAAATATAGCTTAAAATTGTCTTATATTTTACACTTTGTCAGTATTTTACTTACCACAATCTACTTAATGAAGGTCGTAATACTCGTAACCACTAGAATGATGCATAGCTACCGTTAAGACAATGATATACAATTTTTGTGCCAAAGTTTGCCACTTTACTTCGTTAATTTAATAAAAAATTAACTGTGAAACACAAAACCGCAAATGTTTTTACTTTATCAAGTCTATAAATGTTGTTAAATCTATGTTTCTAATCCGTTACAAATAAATGTATTACTGTAAAAAGTACCCAAAATCTTTGAATACTGGAGAACAAAACTAAGAATAAAATATTGAGCACTCTCAATTTCAAGTTGTCGAATAAAATTATCACACGCAGATTGACGGTAGGCAACCAGTTTAGCACGCCTTTTTTCTGCTACATTCACATCAGTCAACTCGTGTAGCCCGTCCTCGCCGTACTCGTACCTTCCAGATCCTTTGCGGTCTTCTAGAAAATTCGGCACGTTTCTCTCAAACACACCGCACATTCTCAAGCTACGCTTGTCGCCGGTGTTTACAGTGTTCATAATTGCAGCGCGCCTCTGCCGTTACTCATCGTGATTATTATATCATCATTTTAATTCAAAGTAAGTGCGAAAATATTAATTTTGACTAAACCAAGATATTTAATTAATCTTGTTTCAAATCGCAATTCCAATAGGATTCGCATTTAACAATGGCCAAGTGGGGTGAAGGTGATCCGCGGTGGATTGTAGAGGAACGTCCCGATGCGACAAACGTTAATAACTGGCATTGGACTGAGAGAAATGCATCACCATGGTCTCAGGAACGAATGAAAGAGCTTTTCAATAATGTGCCTGTTGCTAATGAGACTGCCAACCTTGTCATTAAGAAAGTTGAGAAACTGGATGGTGAAGCATCAGCCAGTAACAGGAAAGGAAAACTTATCTTCTTCTATGAGTGGAACCTGGTTTTGAACTGGGAAGGCACTTTAAAGGATGGTTCTGGGGCTGAACACACTGGAAAGGTTACAATTCCTAATTTATCAGAGGAGAATGATGTTAAGGATTTGGATGTAAGTGAAAATACTATTCTCTATTCTGCTATATAAATATTGATGTGTATTTTATGCCTATTGGTTTAGATTCAAGTTTCAATTGGAGATCCAGATGAAGAAGGAATGATTCTCAAGGATATCATGTATAGACAAGGTCGAGAAATCATCCGACACAAAATTCAACAATACATTGATGGTCTGCGCGTAGAGTTTTCCAAGGGTATGATTTTACCCAAGAAAGACGAAGTGAAACCCGACTCGGTAAAAACGCTCACGAGTGGCTTTAACAAAAAGATCAACATGGAACCAATCGTATCACCGAACGCGAATGTTGGTCTTAAGATCGATACGAGCACGATTAAAATCAACCAAAAGTTCCAATGCAAAGCGCGTGAGTTTTACGATGCGATGACTCGCATAGAGATGGTCACGGCGTTCACTCGAGGTCCAGTCAAGTTGGAGTTGTTCAAAGGCGGTAAATTCGAGATGTTCGGTGGGAATATCACTGGTATTTTCGAGGAACTCGTGCCGAATAGCAAAATAGTCCAGCAATGGAGATACAAACAATGGCCGGCTGGGCATTATTCGCTTGTTACTATCGATATCAACGAAAAGGTATAAAATTCAATTATTATTATCTAAAATTATATTATTTATTTCGTTTGGTTGCAGGACGATCACACCGAAGTGAAAGTAGTCCAGGCCGGTATACCAAAAAGCGAAACAGACGTGACGAAAGAGAATTGGGAGCGATACTACTGGGAGTCCATGAAGCGGACGTTCGGATTCGGCGCGTTCATCGCGTGATAAGGTCACTCTAAGTGATCAGCGGTCTGCACACATCTGTACTGAAGATGGACGAGAAAACGCAACTTTGAATATTTCACAGTTAGGGAATTACGCGCTATTAGTAAATTTAATTCGATTTTGCGGTACCTATGTTGAAACAGGATTTACAATAATTGAAAATAATTGGTATTCGTGTCTTTGCTACAAAGATGTAAGGTGTATGTTTCTCACATGGTACTTAACTTAATTTTTCAACCGATCAACTTGAATGCGTTCTTTGTATCATTTACACATTATCGTTGCGCATGTATTCAACTGGAACAATGCTGGAAAAACCAAACCAATTGATTTTATTCTCCCTAGATTTAATTCTTATTTCTTATCACACTTACATACATGCATAATTAATTTATGTAATATTCTTAGTAGAAATTAACCTAAACATTAATTCTTAATTCATTGATTATTCCGACGAATAAGTTAAAGGTATACGTTGCTTATACTAATTGGCACATCAAATAGTATTGGCTTTTTGTATGTTAAAATTGTTTCGAAGTTTAGTGGTCCTTTTTCTTGGGTTTTTTGGGATTACGTGAGCGCGACTTGGCTTTGCAAAGTGGGCAGATGGGCGCATTGCGATGGATCTGCTGATGACAACTGAGGCAAGACTTCATCGGTGGCGGTTGTTGCCTGGCAAGATAAATATAAATATTAGTATAATGTGAATATGCCAATATTGTAATACTAAAATGTAGGAAGAAGGGACACCTCATGTTGACAATGTCGGACCTGAAGGTGGGCGCCGGTGGCCCAGGATGCTGTTGTTGTGCAAGTGGAGAGGGCCTGCCCTGCTCTGGCTTGTTTGCAACAAGACGTAGCGGACTCGGCGGAGGCAAAAACGTAGGCGGCATTGGCGGTGCCAACGGCCCGATTTGATTCTCGGGCGTTTGGAGTGGACGCGTCCACTCTGCGCTGTTTTTGTTGTACTGCGGCGGCGGTTTATTATTAGCAAACAAGTGTGTTAATCGCCTGAAATTATTCATCTTTAGAAACACCAATTTTAATGCTTATTCTAACATACTCTGCTGAAATGTGAACACCTTCCTCTTCATGCAGCTCTGGTAAACGCTCCAGACCTAAACATTCTCTTCTTAATCTGTTTACCTCTTGCTTTAGAGGCAAATATTCCTCATGTAACCTTGAAGCATTTGAAATGGCCCTCACTCTGCTTTCTTCAGCATGTTTAATGACACCTTCCATCTGAAAAATGGGCATTGTGAACCAAATTCATACAAACATTGATGCAATATATCTTACTGCATTAATATCAGCATGAATCTGTCTTAATTCTTCTACATGTGACATCTTTTCCTGCAAGAGCATCTCCATCTCCGACTTGTATTCAGAAAGACATTTCTCTTCCTGGTCTTGCCCTTCAAGCTCAAGTATAAGTTTTGCTTTTATTTTCTCAAGCTGAATTGTTTTAGACCTAGTAACGACAAACAAATTATTATGCTATATACCTAAATCTAGTAGTTCAATTATTCATTTATTGATTTTTGGTTTTCTTTTGCATTTTCATGTTTTTGGCCTCACCTTATGTCTTTAATAGCTTCTAACTTGGCGTACACAGAGCGCTCGTGTTCGGTCATTGTGTTGAATTGTTATTAAACGCAGGTTCAAAATAAAAAATATTTGTTTATCGAAAAATAAGTTGTTAAATGCTTGTTTAGTTAGCGTCTAATTCTGACGCGGATATAGAATGGAAATGCAGATGTCAAAGTTGTCAAACTGATGTTAAAGTCACACAACTTCTAAAGCGGGTAAATCACAAATTTGAATGAAAAACGCAATAAATAAATTGATATCTGTAATGTAGGTTGTGAATACAATAAAGTTTATTAATAAATATTGAATAATATGATTTAACTCTTCATAACAATACGAGCCACCTGGATTGTAAAGCCTGTACTTACTGTTCACGAAATCAAGTCCGTGATTGCGCAATAATAAAACAAACAAAATATAAAACAAAATACTGATTAACACACTGAAATATCAAAACAAACAGTCTTGGTATACAATCTGTATTTGAATTACAGTATTGTTATTAATTTAATAATAATTAAAGTTGCTTTGAACCGAATCAAATACAAAACGCATGCGCCACATTCGTACGTGGTTCACCGTTCTTGTGTGATCCGTCTGATTCCGAACGTCGAACACGGACATTTGCAGTCGCAATTTGTCCGTGTGGAGTCCACCGAATCGTCCTCATCGAATAATTAAACAATTACCAATCTTGCGCTTCAAGTTCGATATGCACCGAACAATGAGAACTCATTCCGTCGTTACCTCCGCTGTGATAGCTTCCCTCTTGCTGAGCTACGCCTGTGCATTTCGTGAGTAAACTACATTGTAATATATTTCATAATTGTTACTAACAATTCTTTTGTGTTGTTGCTTATCAGCTGCTCAGGAGACGGGCGTACCAAAGGTCGGAAACACTACAACGACAATTGCACCACATGGTAAATTGTATTAAAACCTGTTTTATAGAATGTATAAATTTTTATATTTGTGTTTAGTATCATTGACAACTGTTGAAGAAAAAACAATAAATCCGTCAAACAAGGTGCCCACAAATGTAACTGTTGTGGTTGCTAATGTATCTGATGCTAGTACCACACCAAACATTTCTGAACCAGTCCACCCAGAAAATCATTCTGGTAAGATTTTGAAGAATGAAAGAACTTTGATACTGATTGTACATTTTAATGACTTTTAGTTATCACGACATCCTCAAGTACAACAGCACCTACCACAACTAAGCCAATAACAACTTCTTTGCCTACAAAACCTACAACATCAGAACCAACTACAGCTCCACCCAAGCCCACTGATGCTCCAACCCAGCCTACGTCATCAACGACTTCCACCCTTAAACCGCCGACTTCTACTGAACCCAGCAAACCCACCGCCGCACCAACTGCGGCGCCGCACCACAACGATCGCAAGTTTGATGGACCCAGCTTCATCGGTGGCATTATACTCGCTTGCGGTTTATCTGCCATCGGCTTCGTCGCCTTCAAATTTTACAAGGCCCGGACCGAGCATAACTATCACACGTTGTGAAGACGCATGCCGCCATCGCTTCCCTTCTCGCATTCGAATGTTCTTTTGATCTTGTACTTTACTCATTTTTCACTGCTTTCTATTGTTAGCAACTGCTCGAATATGTTGTTCAGCTTTCTTCTCATTTGATTAGCGTAGTCCATTCGAATCAGCGGTTGGCCGCAGTTTAGGCAAACAAAATTCATCCTTTGTGTGATAAAATGTAAAAAAAAACGAACGGCGACAATTTTTAATGACAGTAGTATTTTATATCATTGGGGGTTACGAGAACGAATATCAACGCAGGTATAATTGGATTTGGATGAACACGTCCGCGAAGAAGTGCTCTTATATTTAGAGTAGAAATTATTGATATTTGTTTAATATGTTTACGTTTTTTTTATGTTTGTCTCTTTGAGCGCTGGAGAATTTCGTAGCCATTTTATATTACTTCAACGAAACTTTTATTCGAATAACACTTACTTTATTCTTCACCAGCGCTCGTGATTTATGGGTGACCTAGTCGGATTTTTGTTTTGTTTCTGGAGTCTATTTGCGTTCGGTTGTCGCCTTGGTTCTGACATAATACGTCGAATTGATAAGCGATGACTACGAAATATACCAACTTTTCCTGGAACAGATAATGTAGATGCATCCGCAAGTGCAATGAACTCTTTTATTATTACTTTTGTTTCAAACATTGCTTTAACTTTGTATTATAGTTTTTATTAGTAGATGAAAATATGGCGCATCAGAATTAAAATCAAAGAAACGCTCATTGTCTTAAGATGGATATAAGTTTATTGTAGATAGGGCTGTAGTTGATGTTATGTTTGTACGACCAATCTTGCTTGTATTCAACATTTCAAATTTAAACTCAAGTGCACAGTTCCTTTCTGTAATGTATATACATACATAATTATAAATTCACCTTAAAACAATTGATTGGTTGAACATTTGTATATGTTGTGTACTACAATAGAATCAGAATAAACAAATTGAATTGAATACACATTCAACTCTTTAAATCCTCAGGAAATGCCCTAAATGTCTATCAAAACGACTAATATTTTCTATACTTTTGATTTCAGGTCTTTCTATTTTTAATTCAAACAGCGCCTCCACCATGGAGATGTTTAAAAATTAAATGGTAATTATTTCGTTAATTAAAAGCGCTAGAAAAGATAAGACTTGATATTCTTAATCTTTAAGATTTCTCAACGTATTTCATTCAACTTAATATCCGAAGTAACGCTTTACAATATTTATTCATCAAGATTACATAAGTGACATCCAATTCCATATTAAAATATATATGTACAAATTTAAAAATGCGTATGAAAATAAAATCTAATCACATTACAGAATAGGTGGCCATCAGGGCAACATGGCACTCATCGCACACACGCACCGGTTTTGCAGACGATGGCAATGACATAGAATTATCCGAACAGGGGTTGCAGAAGATTTCACCGCAGTGCCGACAATGGTGCTAAATTAAACCAAACCGAAACAATATTTAATAACACTTGTTAATAGATAATCATTATCGCAATATTACCCGTCGTCGAGTGATGTTGAACTCTTTATTACACGACTTGCAGTTCGTTGCGGTGGCGTCCTTGGCCCACATGCCTTCCTGCAGTTTAGCTTTATTCTTATTCGAATCCTTCAATTCAGAAAGTTCCAACCTGGAGACACTTAATTGCTTGCCTAACTCCTCTAGAGTTTGGTCTTGTTCTAAACTGTGCTCTTTTAATGAGTAGTATTCTTCTTGCAACGTCGCATATTTCTTTAAATTCATAACAATTTTAATATCTTCCAATGTTTAACAACATTTAAAAAATAAAGTAGATAAATTACCTGTCCGATTAGTTTGTATTGTGTCAATTCGTGATTCAGCTGTGAAATCTTATCGCGATCCTGCTGCATGGTTTCCTGAAGAGATTGCCGCCACTCGCGTTCAGTCTTTAAATCCACCTCCACCGACGTCGCCTGCTCCTCGTTCTTCGACAGATGCAGATTGAGCTGTCTTCGTTGTGCTTCGATTTCCTGCTTACAACTTTCGCTCTCAAAATATCTAAAATAAAACGAAAACAAATCATAACGTAACGTTCTTCATGCTTGAAACCAAACATAAAAATCCACAGATAATAACCGTAAATGCTCTCTGGAGTACAAAATAAATTGGGGGAGAGTGACTGATTGTAAATATATGTTCATTTTATTTTTAAATTGTTTCATTATTAGATATAGATAGAAGCAATCAGCTGCAATTACAGCTTCTTTAAGTTGCTTATCCTTAAGCTTTAACATACGAATTCAATACATGTTGGTAATATTTTACAGAGTTAGTAGCCACTTCATCAACACACTGAAAATTGCTTAGCAGATTATGTTACTAACTAGGTCCTTTGATTATTCGACCAATGTCTATCACAGATCTATTCATTTTGAAAAAACACCACCTCATAATACACTGAACAATTTTCAATATTCAATGAATTTCCTTCTTCTGGAATGCATTATTTTCAAACAAATCAAATTGTTTATTTATTTTCTGCCCTTTTGCTCAAAAATATTACATCCCCTCATGTTAATTGTTTTTCTCTCTCTCTCTTTTGATTGATAACATGTTATAACAAGTATTAGCATCACATCCTACCACATTAATTAATTTTTACTCTCGTGTTGTTGGTTAATGTGTTAGTTATGTTAGTTAATAGAGAAGTCGTAAACATTTTATTTTATGAGCTAAACCTTTTTTTAGTTTCGTTTGCTTGGTTATGGCACCGAGTAAAAGCGATTACAAACAAAAGTATATGCTTGAATAATACGTACTTATTCTCAAGAGAAACAATTGTGTCTGTCATGGATTGGGTCTTGAATTCGAGTTTTTGTACCAATTCGGTTTTGTGTTTCAGCGAGCTCTCGCAATCCTGCAATTCAACATAACCAGTCTCATAGTTGTTTCCACAAAGAAACCGAACACAAAGCGCGCGCTGTGCGTTCAAACATACAAAATATTACAAACTCATAGAATACGAGTACAGACAGACAAAAAAGTAGCAAAACTTTGCAGTGAACTGGCGCATGTGATCAACTTTGGAATTATTCCTGGGTCGAGAGGTCCTGCGCCTTCAGCGGCAGCTGCAGGTTGGGGTTGTTGCGCGGCGCCGGTGTCGGCGTCACCGGCGACTTATCTGCCGCCTTGAGCGGCAGGAATGGCTTCGGTTTGTCGCTCGTCGGCGTGCGTTTCTTTTCCTGTGCCAAGTGATTAAACTTTTCCAAGTTCGAGAGGATCTTGCCGATCTGGCCGGCTTTCGCCTGCAGTCGGCTCACCACCTCGCCTTTCTGAGTTAGCTCCATCTCACATTCCTAAATATTTGCAAGTATGAATTATCATGGACAGAGAATGAATGAGAAACCAAAAAAGTCTAACAACGTATGATTTAAATAATGTCCACTAGTATGATAAGTTTAAATGCGTATGATTCATGATGATGTCAAGTCAGTTTTCAATATCGTCAATACCTGTAATTTCTTGTACATTTCCAAATTAATCAGCTTAATGTCATCGAGCTGCCGGCGTAGGGAAATGATAGTGTCTTGCTTTTCATGGATGTCTTTCTCGAGCAATTTCATGGCCACCTCCATCTCCGCTTTCAGATCCATCTGAAATTATGAACGTTAACACCTCGTCTTTCTATGTTATTTTCTTCTTTGAAATTACTTGTAATTGAAGTTCTTTATCAGCCTCCTGTCGTAATTTTCGTTCTTCCTCTAAACGCTGCTTCAACTCAACAACGTCTCCGTTTGTAACATCCACGAACGACGTCGAAGAATCAGTTGATTCAGAAAGCACGCTGATTTTCATGCATTTTTCCGGAACTTGTTCGCCAGCCCGCAAACGTTTGTTTTCTTCAAACAGCGAAGAAAGGTTATTCTTTGCAATGGCAAGATCTTCCTTCATTAGCGCGTTTGTTGTCGTCAGAGATTCCACTTTGTTTTGGAGATTTGTAACAGTCGCACTGAAATGTCGAGTAAAATAAACAAATAAAAAGGTAAAGTTAGCAGTAGAATTACTTAAGATGTCGATTCAATTCTTCAATATAATTCTTCTGATCCAATACAGTGACCATATTGTTATCGCCCTCGTCACTGCCTGGTTCTGTGAGACTCTGATGAGAGGAACGCAGATACAATGAGAAGTCAATTACACCCTGAGGACAATCGAGATCTTCTTCCTTTACGCAGAGATTGCAATCGATTACGTTCAATCCGACAAGCAGACCGATTATAATAATGGCCTCGTCGCTCAGCATCAGCGCGTCCGGCTCGAAATATTCCACCAAGGCGACATCTTTATGATCAATAAGAATTTTGAGGTAATCAGCCAACTTTTTCTGCATCAAAGCTAAACGAAGCCAAGCTCGTGCGCGCCCCATATGTGTACTGAAAATGTAAATTTAGCAAAAAATTCCTACAAAACAATATCTTGATATTTACTGTACTGTTGGTAAATCCCTAACACTAGCAGTGATATCATGTGCTTCAGGTGCATATTTTTCTACAGACTGTAATATATCCCAGAGTTCCTTTTTGGGACCAAGCAAACCCTAAAATAGGCACCGTATGTAATGTTCATTGCAGATATTCAAAGGTTTCTGTTGTTACCTTTTTAGGTCTCAACCCATGCCGTAACACATGCTCTAACACGATAAAAAAGTGTTGGAGTGGCATGTGGTCAGAGTCTAACATCCTGCCGAAACGTAGGCTTTGCTCGATCAGCTCCTTGACCACCAGTTTACTGATATTCACAAGATTGCTGCGCTCAATCACAACTGGATCACGTCCTGTAAGTTCCAAAATTTTTATTTTTTAACCCTAACAATTTTTTTCATTTTCTTGTGATTATCCTGGACAATTCTGGAAGAGTTACCAAAATTACCAAAGTTGTGATGTGGGATTTCCGGTGAGGTGATCATCTGTGGTGGATATTCGACATCTTGCAGTTCCTTCAGGCAGAGCCATTCCCCGTCGACAGAAACGCGAAAATTGCACAGGTAAATAGTATCCTGCGCCCCGGCCATGTCGTCCGTTGGCGGCACGCCATCAATCACCTCCGTTACCCTCATCTTGATTCTTTTAAATACGCAAAACTCGTCAGCCGTGCTTTAAAACTCAACCCACGATGTGTGGATCGTCGACCATATTTTGTTTTGCCGACAACGAAATGGTATTGATCCATGTGCAGAGGGTGCAATTCACAGGATACAGCAGGAAAATCAATGCGCCAATGCCGCCACCTGTGGCAGGGTTGTTGAAAACAACCATCTTGAATTCATGTGCTTTCAAACGGCCGGAATGGATACACCTCGCAATTTGCGTAAACAATTTCGCAATCGTCAATGGCAACACGTGCAAACATTCGCAAAACATACAACCACTTCGCCTAGACAAATACCACCCACAAAACTGTACTATAAAACGTTGCAACGCGTACAAAAATGCCACTGCATATGTCCATAGGTATCAAATTTCACATTTTATTGCTTATGATAAGCGCGTAAACAAAACAGGTCGTATGTAAGTTGAGAGAGATTAATATAAATTTCCTACCTTTGGGGAACTTTTTTCGACGCTTGTGACGCTCCCGTGATACCAGCATTGTGGGCCAGGGGAAGTCCAGCATTGACGAAAGGGATGGTGAACTTGTTGAGCCATTTTGCATCTCGTTCTCGTCACTAAAAGAGCCTGAACCTGATGCCATTGCACACGCGAGACACACGACCAGACCCTGAACGTGACTGAGGCCCGAAACCTGACGCGTCGAAACTCCAACAGCCGGCCACACAAATAACGGTATCAGACAAGTCTAGATTATAAGACCTTGGAAATAAACGAAACAATGTTAGGAAAACAGTTGGGCGACCAACAAACAGCTGACTGACGATATTCTACAACAAAGTTTTGCTATGTTGTTATAGATGGCGGAGAGGTTTGTGGTTTATTTTAAAAGTTTGGGAAGAACACAGGACGGTGATGATGAATAACTGCATGACTCAAATGTGACAAAGCACAATATTCAAGTGAAAACTTTGAAATATATGTTTGCAATCATGTTGTGCACACCTATAATTAAGTAAATAATAATTATCTTGCTTACATGTTATTTATTATAACAAATGCGCATATTTCAACAAAATGGCGGACGGATCTCATAATTTTACAAACCAGTTATCATAATGTTACTAAAAAGCTTTCAGACTATTTCTTGTTCTTAGGTACTTACGTATAAATGTCAGAAAAACATAAATTTATAGTAAATGCATTTTATTATAACAAATATCCTTCACGCATATGTTATTCAACATGTCCGCCTCCGTTAGGACATCAAGGCATGTGTTTTCTTTTTCATTTCGCTTTGCACGTCTCCTTAAAGCTAAAAAAACTTAATAAGAACTGTGGAATGAAGATTTAGTTAAAATTATATCTTACCAAAAGGTATAATTGCTAAAAGGAAACCAAACACGATGAAATACTTCCAGACAAACATTGATCAACAATAACGAACAATAAAAATGAAATGAAAATTATCTTTTAGAAATTGTTTTTATATAGAAGTATCCAACAGGAAAGTTACATTATAACTGTGATTGTAATGCACACGTTATCACTTCTTGGATAGGTAATCTTTCCATTGTATGTTTGCATTACAAATTGTATTATTAATTTAATTAATTTAAAACAGATAAAAGAAAAACAATAAATACAATATTACGTACGCGATAATCTGAAAGATTATTTCATTTAATATAAGGAAAATATTCGTTCTTTTTTTCTGTCGTAGGCAGATCCAAATGAAACCTCGTCAATACTGTAAATAATCACTGTAACATAAGACACCTATTAGAATATTAATACATATTTAAATTTCAACCTGTGCGCTGAAATGATATTTAAAAATAAACTCACTACAGTATAGGATTAATAACAGAAAGTTGACAATCAAGAACATTCTTTGATGGTATTGTCCGAATGCCGTCATCTTTAATAAAATCTACAATGAAATTAACTTATGATAATTGCAAAATTGCATAAAATCTATACAATCGTTTGTCAAAATCAAACCTTATTAGCAAACTCACCAAAATTTGCTTTAAAAATGTTTAAATACTATTATAGGGTATTAAAACATATAATATCTTTATATATTCCAATTGATCTTATATAAAATGTGCCACTCGTTTTTATATTTGTTCGTATCTGTTTACAACAGTAGCGACAAACAGTTGAATTGTTATTGTACACAGTTTCATGCTTTGTTTTCCTCGCATCTGATCAAACAGTAATTCTCATGCGTCAGGTATCATCGGAGCTTATTATCTACACATTTCCATTTTGCTATTAAAATTGTAGATATAATATTAAAATCTGATTGGCATTCAATGAGAATAAATCACTTTTAATAGAAAATTGCTGTTAAGATAATTTTGTACAGAAAGTGCGTAAGTAATGCGAAATTACGCCACAATACTACGATTCTCATAATAGTAAACCTAATAAATAATCCATTCATTCAGTATTTCTACATGCTCTCAATTTTTAAAACAGGCCTATAAAACCGCAGACTTTTAATAAAATAAGCAAGAAAAACCGTGATAAATGTATGTTTTTTTTATTGATTTTAAACTACGACACAGTCATTAGTCCTAAAATGTAAAACGTGACACACAAATTAAATAAAAAGTGAAATTAAATCATAGCGTAGTCGAAGTTCCGACTCACATACAACCTCCTTATAAACACGTAATCGAGGTAAGCATCGGTAATGAAGAAGTCCAAAAACGAAATTCGGACATTCAACGAACCAGAACCAAACGAAGTCGTTCGAAAACTGTTTGTATTCTTATAAGCGTAAAGAGTAAGCAAACGTGTGATCGAAAACGAAAGTTGTTGAATCTATTAATAATATTTATTTTATCTGAGCACCGATTTAAGTCTGTCAGTCTGTGGTCCATTTTCACATAATATTATTTATCGATACATCTTCTGCTTGAATAAACTAACAAATTTCCCCTAAGGCATGATAAATTAAAATTTTAATTTTTTTAATTCATCAATTGTTTATTTTGTATCTTCATGTATTTCACATTCACGTGTTACGTGTTCTAATTTACTTTCATCTCGGTTTGAGGAATTAGCATTATTGCGACATTGGCCATTAAAATGGTAGAAAAACTAGTAAATGTATTGTAACTATTTTCTGAGAGTTGTTACCAGGTCACAATTACTCATTATTAATCACACATTTTACCGTTTTCTAGCAAATATTAAAATATACGCAATAATTAATTCAATAATTATTTATAACTTGTTTTAAAAGTGTGTTAGCCAAGCCTAAAGATTTAAAATTAACAGAAACACTTGGCAGTTATTGATATGGCATTAAATTACACACATTGTCGTTGAAACTGATCAAACTGGTTGCACACATAAAATAATTCTTATTACTCCAGTTGGTAAGTGCTAACGTGTTAAATTTAAACCATGTTAAATAAAAAGTTGAATTGTAGGTACCTTTCCAATTACGCTGGTTTTTGCTTATGTCTGTTAATATTATCTAACGTTGAATTGGCATTGAGAAAATTACTTCACTTTAAAGAAGCAAAATATATTAAGTAAAATTGTGATTGTTTTCCTCTGGGATAAATTTGATAATAACAATAATATCCTACTTCATACAAAACCTTCAATCCTCAATTAAAATTCTTATTACATTTTTAATTCATACCTAATCAAACACATTTACATAAAAGTAATGTTTTGCGATAAGAGTAAAGATTTATGATCATTTTATGCAATAAACAAAACTTTTATGTGCATATTTTATTAGATCCTTATTTTAATGCATATTGCGCGCGAATGATTCAAGTTAGATTCTACCTTCAAACACGAAGGTAAATTACCACCGCATGCGTGATTCGGCTTATTGTTCGTCTTATTGTTACAGAATATTTATTGCACCTGGAAGAAACAATCGCTTGCGATAAACCGAAATGTGTAAGAGGAAAGAGAACGTTCTCATGATTAACATTTTTATGTAATTGTCTTACATATATTTCAATAATTAATGAAGCACAAAGCATCACGATCACAAACAAAACAATAAAATATTATGAATTTGTTTGTTTAAGTGGAAACAATAATATTTCAAAATATTCAAGCAAATTTACTTATATTTTACTTATAAATGTTCATACAGACAATTAAAATGGTCAAGAGTCATTTAAAATTTTAATAATATACATAAAATATTTTGAAAATAGTAATCGCATACAATTTATACAAAAATAAACATTTTTACACGTGCAAAAGCAAATTATACTTAAAATTATTAGATAGTAGCTGATATAAAAATATTTTTTTATAAATATTTGATGCTGTACATAGAAATAATAAATTATCAAACTTATAGCTACTTACTGGTTATGACTATTACACAAAGTACGTATTTAAGAAATACATATTCATAAAGTAGATCAAGGAAAAACAATTCGAACTTCAAACTTGGAACTAATCTCTGTTTGTCTGCTGTCTGTCTATCTACTCGTATGTCTTTAATTCATTCTCATTACAAAAGTTTGAAATTTAATTGAATATACTTAATAATTTCATTAAATATTTCACAATATTAATCCAAATTGTCTCAACTTGACATTGAAGGTCTAAATTCTTCAAATAAAAAAGTTTCAAAACTTAAAACCCAAAAAGTCTATAATTATGAACAATAAAAGAGTCAAAGTACAAATTTGGTATATGATTCGGATGTTACGACATTTTTTGCTTTCGTTACGTATCATTGAAAAGTGAGTAAAGTTTTAATTTTCAACTTTTACGACCAAAGTAACTCATACTTCGAGTTTTACGAGACGCTGCGCAATCGATAATAAGAGGGCAATCCATCTCAATACATCAAATCATAAAGTATCTTAGCGTAATATTGAATGGAAATTAACATTTAAATTCCATTTTTATGCAACGTTTCAAATTTTAACTGCAAATGCAAAATATCTATTAAATAAATCAACGAAGCAGAGAGACCTTAAACCTTAAACTATACACGTCAACACTCAACACTCAAGTGAAGTAAGAAGTAAGATAATAAAAGTTAAGTTAAGTTTACTCATGTGAAAGCATGATTTGATTTTGTTACGTTTATAGTTTTGTTAGGTGTAAAACTCGAGCTGGTTGAGGTGCAAAGGTTAAAACTGTTAAAACTCTTGCGACAAGTGTACGCAAATTGCACAAACCAATTAATAATTACGAGTATTGTGTATTATATTGTTCGAACCGACTGTGCAAGATATCGCAACTTGAGCAACTTGACGTTTAAGGTTGCTGGCAAAAGTGTAACAGCTTTCAGTAGACATAAACGTAATATAAATTGACTTTTTAGTTTATAAAAATAAATTCTTACATATTTGGCTTTTAATTACAAAGTTAAGCATATAAAGTGTTTAAAAGGATAATGCCACAGTATCAGAATTAATGTATTTAGTACTATATAAAGAAATAATTACTAAACTGTGCATTGAAATGTAATTTTACTCAAAAGTAATTTAAATTTTGAAATGAAAATTATAGTATGCGGTTTTCAACTTTAGAAAATGTAAAATTACAAAGTGTTTTTGACTAAACTCCAGTAGCCGTAAAACAGCACGAAGTAAAGTGAAGCGGAGAGAACTAAGTGAAGTTTATTGCATTGCTATTCAAAGTATTTGCTTTTTGCAGCAGTATTAAAGTGTTTGCGAGTGCCATGAATTTTTGATGTGGAGCTGACCGCTTCGGTTGCTACATTTAAGTATGTATTCACGTTTTGTCGGAAACTTTAAAAGTGAAAGCAGTGTTTATGAGTTTCGGTTGCACTGATTTTTAAGAAGCATCTCGATTTTATAATCTTATTATATTTTATCTGCGACTATTTTAAATAATTTAAATATTTACTTACTTTTATCCAATTATTCAAATGCACAATTCACGATTTTTATTTACTTATTTATCTTAGAACTGATAGTTATAGTGACGACTAGGTTGTCCAAACTTTACACTAACATAACTCTTTGCTGGTTGCTGGGATCCTTCCAAATTTGAATAACCGGTGAATCCATTAGCGAACGCTGTTTGAGTCTGTTCCTGTCCCTGACCTTGCAGCTGTTGCAGTTGCTGCTGCGCTTCTTCTTGCAGTGCCTTGTTGAAGTTGTCAATCTGTCCGTTGGTAGCAGCAAATTCCAGACCACTTGATGGGCTGAACAAAGGTTTCTCAAAGGTGGGCAAATCACTACGTTCTCCTTTAAAACCACCTACTCGGAAGAAACTGGAAGCTGGTTTGTAGTTGTATCCGCCATTGTTAGGGTTGTGAATAACGGGCACGCCATAGGAATCATGAGGGGTGTGAGGACGCTGTGTGGGGAAGAATGGATATTGAGGATAACCATTGGGATTATTGTTGCCGTTGTTATTGTGATTGTGACCGGAACCGGGTGGACCATATAAATTATTGGGGGGACGGATTATCCAGTCGTTGTAATCAAAACCATTTTGAGGACCAAATTTTTGAGATGTTTGGAAACTGCCAATAGGGTTAAATTGTTGACCGAAAACTGGAGGTTCAGTTGATGCAATTGAGATGAGAGTTAAAATCAAAACTTGCTGAAAGTTTAAAATAATAATAAAAATTATTAATTAAATTTGGTTAAGTTGCAAATTTATCAAATACTTACAATTAAATACATTTTCACTCTTCACAATTTTGTGAATAAAAAAATATCCAAAAATCAATTGTTTAACGCACTATATCCAACATTAGTATTAAACTAATAGGTGTAGTGTTCCCAGTGAGTAACTTTTTTGTTATGCGATGAATTGTTAAGCTCACATGAATTTAACACTCTCAGCTTGCTCTGTGTCTTTACCGCACGAGGTGTAGGAACGAAAGAACTCTCTTCCCACTACCGTCGTCTGGCTTTATAGTCGATTTGGACTTGTGACGAAGAATTTACACACGTGCCACCACACGGTTTCAATTTCATTTTGCAATGAAATGTATTCCCCGATAAGCACTATCAACTTCAGAAGTAGTACAGAAGTACAATTGTCAATTGTAGCAATGTTAGAAATAGAGATAGGTGAAATGAATCAAGTTGTGAAATTCATGTGTCATGTGCAGGTTTGGAATTCATTAAATTGTTCTGTTACTCGTATGTTGGTTGCTCAAAGCAATGGGTTGGATACAGAAATAAGAGCAAAACATGCATAATTTAATTAAAAAGTGTAGAGAATAAATGTAAATTGTCAGCACCCACATATATGGTATTTCAAGCTGTGGAGTAATTTTGCGAAAAATGTTAGAAAATACGATAAGATACGAAAGTCATGTTTCTTTTGTTACCACAAATTATATCTATTTGAAATAAATTAATTTGATGAATCAGAATTACATTTTTATTTTGATAATTGAGATGTAAAATAAATTTTGAAAGTCTACTATGAATCCTTTTATTCCTTTCTTATACTTAATACTGAATTCAAATCAATATTTTCGAAATGAATTAATATAATTTATGAACTATTAAATTTGAATGTGAATTCATAAAAAAAACAAACCTATAACTTACCCAAAAATTCACATTACATTTTGCTGATAATACAAACATTCTTTAAGAGTATGCTTGAAGTTTTAACCAGGATATGTCAGTACCATACATATTTAGTTTTAACTTTTTTTCATTTTTCAATTAAACACCTTCCAGCACATTTTTTTTACCACAATAAAACGTTTTATAAATCAAACATGATTAATTTTGTAGGCGAAAAAATAAGAAGTCATGCTTGAATTCCAAGCCTAAGATCAAATAATAATGATTAAACACCTAAAACTATTTTTAAAACATTGTTTTCATACAGAAGGAGCAATAATCGTGGCCGTGCAAGGTTACATTTTTTTCGTCCGCATTTACATTTACAAAAACGTGGAAGTACTCCTGCTTATTAGTTCTGCCCTCAAACCAATCTTAGAACAAAGATTTAAACAATAAAATGGTTCATTGCTTCCACTCCAAATGAGTAACACGCTTTTGCTGTGCAAATCAATATCCACTTAATAAATTTATTATTACTTACTTCAGTGTAATCAAAATGCCACAAAAATATTCTATTGTTTTACTAAACTACACTAAACTGCAAACAAAACTTTTTATTTCTTTTGTTTTGCGATTATTGTTTAGTATTGTAGTTAGCAATGAACTCAATTAAAGCAGGTCTATTTTTATTTTACGAATTCAATTACATCCTGTTTAAAATATTGTTTTTAAACATTTTAATTAGGAGCAATTAGCCAAGTCTGTTTGATTTGTTGATAAACTTTCTATTTCTCTGACTTGTGGAGCATTATTTTTTATTTTAATTCATGTAACAGACACGTAATTGCGCAATAGATGATTTTATTTTATCAAATATGTGAAAATATTTTCATCATGCGTGCGCAGCGCGTTTCTATTACGATTTTTAATCCGTAATAGGTAGAAATGATCCGTGATCAAGTAAGTTTCAACCTGCATGAATAGGTTGGTGACGACTTTCTTTCTTACATGAATATTGCGAATTGATACCGTGTTCATGTGGAGGAACTATACCATCATATTGTTGCGACATGTTCGAGTTCAATGCACAAATTGCCGATATTGCTATAAAATAGAAATTTCAGGTACAATAAATACATGTCAACTTAATAACATGAACTTAAAGTATGAGAATGATCATAGCATCAATAAAAAAAGTCTCCAAAACTAAATTCATATAATATTTCTAAACCTTTTTTTACTGTAATTAATATTTCCGTAGTATTTTTGTACTGTTAATGTCCTATTTATAAGAAACAAATAATATTGACCAATGTTTTGTTCCTGTTGAATCTGATTGCGTTTAATCTGCTAATATTATTTAATATTATTACTCTAGAACACAATTTAGATACATATTCAAGAATCCAATGTCAATGCGTAACAGAAGGCTGGCCTTTCACTACATTAGCATTGCGATTACAACTGCGACGGATTCGAAGGAATTGCTCAGTAATGAATGGTCAAACGCGCGTTGACTCTACTCTTAACGTCGTTAGGAAACTAACGCACAATGGCAATAAACAAACAAACAAAACAACATGCGACACGCATACTAGATTAATAACGACAATCAATATGCGAAAAGAAAATGGACGTGAGTAATTTGAGTGGGTAGGCAGGCGAGTGTAAAAGGGCAATCATGATATGGTGATTGATTAGCACCTTTAACATATTCAAACAAAACAAACAAGGTTCAATATTTTACTTGCCATAACAGCACGGATTTGTTTTGGAAATGCAAACCAAACGTTTCTTCGCTCTTGATTTTGTAGCTGGAATTAAAACTTTACAAAATAATGAAAAATAAAACTAAATTGCATAGAACTAGAGAACAATGAATACAATTAGTTAAACTAAATGCTGAATTTACTTTCCTTACTTACCCAATAATTAAATTTTCAAAGTTGTCAAAATTCAAACCACTGCACATCCCCGCATTATCCAGAACAAAGTATTTTACCATTTTCAATTTTATTGTAAACTTTTTACATATTTTGTAGTATTAATTATTAAAATGTCAAAAAAAATAACCGAGTGAAGTAACAACACAACATATTTGATAAGCAGGAGAAAACCCTGCGGACAAAATTTGCAAAAATCGGTCCAAACCTTTAAGGCTATGTGTGAAAATCTGATAGCAAGTAGAATTGACTCAAAGCGCACTATACCACAAAGAGTATTTTTACGAGTTTTAAATTTTCCTAGTCGTACCTAAAATCAAAGCGCGTACTTGTTTTGATTTGATTTGAAAACTAGTTTTGGCGTGTTCATCAAACCCCGTTTTGAGTGAATTCGTTGCTCAACTGACCCACCAATAAAAACTAATCGAACTAATTAATCCCGTTGCGCACACACACTCACACATACACACACCGCTATTTGAGATCTGTGTTTATTGTTTGTCATTTGCAAATTATCCACAAACGGACGCATACTTCGCCGAATGTGTTTTTTAAAGTTCAACCGCTTGCAATTTGCGAATAATATAAATATACTAAGATGAATAATAAGTAATTATATACGTTCGTAAATTGTTTAAGATAAAATACACACATAATCAGTAGTTTGAGTTGAGAGAAGTAGAAATTCGGGTGGATGCGTTCGTCATTCGTCTCCTCGCCAGGTCGCCCGCTAGCAAATCGTTTTCGTAATAATTTTATTATAATACACCTAGTTGAACCACAAGACCTACACATTAGTAATTTATCTAACAATTATTAATATGAGTGTGTTTCACACACCTGGGACGCACGCACGCGCGAGTTTTTCATATAAGAACTTAATATCAGACATGGAAACGTAGATGGATGACTGGCTGCTTCACGCTTCGAATTACGTGTGCAAAGTAATGTGTTACATTTTATGAATTTTACATCTCGTGTTGAAACACTCAAGTTATTCAATTATACAGTTTCTGTAGTTTATTTTAAGTTGTTTTGTAAATACGAAATATTTATTATATATGCACCCCGAGAGCGTTACTTATTCTTTAATCATCGCCAAAGAAAGAAGTGTTTGCTCGGCTTACTTCGCTAGTGATTCGTGATTGTGGGATAGATGAGCCGACAGTGACCAGAGATGAAACCGTAACAAGCACATTTTTTCACATTTTTTGTTCATTTTTCAATTCAAATCAATCAGATATCAAAAAAGAAAAAACAAATTAAATGTAGCGATAGTCATCTAGTGTCTAAACAATTAATAAATAATAGTCAATCAAAGTGTTGTGTGATCGAAACAAAAAAAGAGAAGAAGAGCGACAAAACCTGTGTGTCTTTCTTATCCACTGTTGTTTGCATACTCGCATACCGCTGTTACCTTTGCTTGTTTTTATCCTAAAGTACATTTCTTTATATATATATTATCGTATCGTAAATCGTAATTTAATAATAATATGTATGTATCCCGAACGTCGGCCGCGCGCACAGGGCACTCGCTTTACTTAATGTTATCATATAAGTTTCTTGTATATATAAGCAAAATGTACAATCGGTTGACACTAATTGTAAGAAATGAAAAATAATTATGTTAAATGTCGGCCGTCGCGGTGGTCCAGCAGGCGCTCCCGACCGGCGCCCGGGCTACTGTACGTACTCGCGGACATCACCCCGAACGACACCATCGGCCCCCAGGTTTAAAAATCAAGACTGAAACGTGTGTGTGTGTTTGTGTGTATGTGTGGGTGGATGTTTTGTATTTCTGTGAACAGTTTTGCTTCCAATTGGTATCGGTAAATCGCAGTGTGGCTGCTGAATGGCATGCTGTTGCTGTGGGATGTGTTGTTCTTCTTGTCCCACCGAATGGCCAAATAGTGTTTCGAATCGATTATCGCTTTGCCACCAACTGCAGGTTTACGTTTTGTATTTTCTGTTTATGTATGTATATTTTGTTTTTGCTTTTTGTGTAATTTTTCTCTCATTCAATTAAATATTATTATTATAGGTTGTTTGTTGTTGTTGTTTTTTTTTTCATCTAACGTGAGAAGTGCGGGTCGGGGGCCGGGACATCACATAGCATACTTGCGAGTCCACTCGCGCGCCAGCTCATTGTACTTCTCCCGATCCGTTTTGTATATCCTAGCAATCTCAGGTACCAGCGGGTCATCTGGATTTGGGTCACATAAAAGTGAGCAGATTGATAACAGTACTGAAATCAAGAAAACAACACATCAGTTTTGAATGGTAGCAAAAATAGTACAATATTTTTAAGTTATCACATGACCTAGGATTAATTATTTAATCATTTGGCCGACAAAGAAAAACCAACTCAACACGCGAGCACTAATCCATATATCGATCGAATGAATAAACATTTTCCCCAAAGAAATGATTATTTCCACGTCCTTCAAGAGGACAATCAATTTACAAGATTATATTTCTGATAAATTATAATTTCTACTGATAAAACAACCAAAACTATATTTCATAATAGCTAAATATAGAAAAATAATATACGCCAACGTGAAATTGCGCAATTGCAAAATTTATTATCAACATTGATAAATATTTCAAACGTTTTGGCGCAAGTTTATCTGTGATGTACACACACAACCAAGCATTTGCTCTCGTCACGGTGTGAACGTCTCAATGAGACGATTCATTGTCCTCCCGCAACTTAGTAGCGGCTGCTGCTCCAACTGAAGACGCAAGAATTCACTGTTATTTGCTATTGTTCTCCACTAACATAACTGCACTAAACTCCACTCAACAATTTCTTATTGGACTATGATTGTAAATATTATATTACACGCATAGAGTTGAGATTTTCCGTGCGAAGTGTGAGAGAATGTGACAACTTATCCAAATTGTTATTGTTTCACGTATTAAACATATGACTACTCAAACTACTCATGACGAACAAATAGTTGTATTTCAATGAGCGACACGTACCTTTTGAGATTGTTAGCGCTGGCGACCACTGTGAACGTAATATATCAAGACAAATGCTTCCATTACTGTTAATGTTTGGATGATAGATCCTAGTGGTGAACGCGACTTTAGGCGGCTTGAATGGATAGTCTGTAGGAAAATGAATCGTTAAGAAGAAAACGCCACCTTGGTACGGACTGTCGGGCTGCAAAAACACATTATTATTGCACATATTGTCTATAAAAGCAGTAAAATCCAGTTAATTATTGCAATACTTATCCATATAACTTATTCCTCATAGAAAAACGAAACTTGCATATAATAAGTTAATTATAAAATTATACAGTTAAATTCAAACAGAGTGAAAGTTTTTGTTAACTACAAGCAATGCATATCAGAATTGCTACAATGCTTGGCATTAAACTGAGGTCTAAACAATTAAATGATTACCAAGCATTGGAACAGGCTGATTAGTCATCTATACATTACTTTTAGTTGTAATTTTAGGTCAATGGTTACCATATTGCAAAAATCTTGGATTTTACATAGCTGAGTAGGTATAAAACAATCTAGTGTAGTTGTAAATCACTTACTGGTCCCATAATTGTTGCTTGCCAATGAAATACTGCAACATAAATAGAATAAACAAATTAGAAACAGGAAACTGGATGTTTTGAAATGAGTTAAAATAGTAAACAGATACTTACAATCATCTCCAACTGGTCCTGCTGAACATTGTGCTGGAGGGTCTCTACCAAGGTCTTGTAATTCCTAAAAAATGAAACAAATTCTTGTTAGCTGGAATAGTGCAATGACTTGCATTGTTCAATGAATATAATATAGAGGTTATGCACAATGAATTAAGTTGGTTCTATATATTATTGAATAGTCTCATATTAGCTTTGGCGACCACGATGTGCACGAATGTACGAATTGTTTTGTTTCAAGTGTAATGATATCATGAGAAGTGAAATCACGATGTAGCCGCAGGCAGACACGTGTGCTTTGTGTGGCAAAGGGAAATCACAGAATTCCCGTTCACGTCGACCCCTGGTGCCTCATGTAGCCCGGGCAGATGGAAGTTTCGAGATGATCGGCATAAATGTGTCGATTTGCACAGGGGGGCCAGGCGTCCGCGATGACACACGCGCGCCCAGGCGGCGACGGCGAGGCGCGGGCACACGCGCTGCTTTGCGCCTTCAACGCCAGCAGATGAGATCCTTGTACACATACCTTATTGATTCGTTTTAAAGCCATTTGATGTGGTGTGGTATTAAATAAATACTGGTTCGTTCCACCAGGCAACGGGCTCGCAAACCAAGGACCTTCGATAGCCGATTGCAAAGATGGCCACCGTCAAAACTCGCAGCACGACGTAACTCAAATCAGCGCACCACGACGAGCAGAGCCGAGCAGCGGCGCACGCACACAGCGCCGACGTACGTTCTGGCTGCGCAAGCCGACGGAGCCGACGGGACCGCAACGGGACGTTGAGGGGCCTGGTTTGTTTGACGACCGCTTCACAGGGCGCTGAACTGGCTGAATCACCGGAGTTAGGTTGCACTCGTTGGTTAGCAGACGTTGGCAAGTTGGGATCGTCGGGATGGCGGCCTGGATGGAACGCGCGCGGCGATTTTGTTGCAAATTTGGAGATATCCTAGAAAACGATGACTGATCACTTCCGTGACTAGACACGCATTGCAGACCGCTGTAATGACATCTTTTGACAGCGTAAAATGGCGCTCGTAGCGTAAGATATATATTAGTGATACTATATGTTCCGAGATGGCGCAGTTTTGTTCAAAACTTTTGAGTTTTCGGTTTACTACATTTTTAAAAACTTCATATTGATGTAAATGCAGTTAATATGAACTACTAGCTGACCCGGCAAACTTTGTTCCGCCTCGCTTTGCTCTTGTGATTGAGAAGCACGAAGTCGAGTCATATTCGCAATCCTTCGAATCCTAGTTGCATTACGGTTTTGTCGGATAAGATACGAAGCATCGCACAAAGATGAGACGGAGAAAACTTGTTTAGTACCTATCTTCCAAAGAAGTTTTCACTTCAAAAAGTATTAAAAAAAGTATCCTCCACTTACTAACCGGGCAACTTCAACCAACACGTACAAACCCACGCACGTCTATGCTTAGGGGGAAGCTACGAATCGCACAAAGAGGAGAGGGAGATAATAGAAAACATTATATTTGTGTGCTCTTTTTCTCCCGTAGGCTAAACCATATAAGCGAATATGTTTGTTTCCTTTTAGTGTCGTTTAGTGTTCTCCAAAGAAGTTTTCACTTCAAAATGTATCCTTGTAACCTTCTCCAAACAAAAACATCAACCGGTCAACTTCAACCCACACGTACACACATACACACGTCTATGCTTAGGGGGAAGCTACGCATCGCCCAAAGAGGAGACGGAGATAATAGAAAACTATGTCTTTGCGTTCTCTTATTCTCCCTCAAGATAATCCATATACGCAAATATGTTTGTCTCTTTTTAGTGACCTTCTCCTGGCCCCCTGGCCCTAAGCTACCTCTCCACCAATTTTTAGCTAAATTGGATTAGCCGTTCTTTAGTTATAAGCATGGTAACTAACACGACTATCTTTTATATATACTCTAGATAAAATTGCTTTTAATGACACAGTAAACAGGTTTTGAATGCTTTGATTTTAGTAATAACCCCTAAATTACACGTTATTATTTATGTGGGCATCGGTTATAAAATGGGTTTCACTGATTCAGTAATTCACTTTGACTTCAATTCCCGTCAACAATGCGTATCATTCAAGTACTCAGTTTAATTCAGCTATTATTCCCTTTATTAAGAGCTTTTGGAAGTTTTGATTTAATTTCCAAAACTTTATTAAACAATAATCTTCATGTTCATATGGAATATTATACTTGTGGATCAACTCAGGAAGCTGCATCAATATACACCAAACTTTCAACATACTTTTTTGTTAATATACATCGTATTAATGAAAATGAAACAAATTTTACAAATTTATTTGGTTCGGACTACGATATTGAACATAACAAGTTTTATATACTTGATGTGGAATGTAAAATAACTCCACGCATTCTTCAATCCGCAAGCAGAAAGAAAATGTTTTTACCTCCTTTTAATTGGATTCTTTTGAATTTTAACCAGGATTTATATAATGTTTTACAAACAGTAAATTTTTGGACAGATAGCAACGTTATTGCAATTTCCTCAAACTTATTACATCCGGAGTATATGATGGAAAGTAAGATTATAAAAATATACAAAGTTATATCAGAAAACTCAACTTTAATCATGGAAGATATCAATAAAAAAGATACAATTTCATTATTGCAAAGAGATTCTATTAAAAGGATAAATACAAAAGGAAGTTTATTATCAATGGCTGTTGTAGTAACGAGTAATAAAACTTACGGGTACTTAGGAGATCGAAGGTAGGTATAATATATTATAAATCGTTTTAATATTTGACGCATATTAATAATTATAAATTTTAAGAGAAAAACACATTGATATGTACACTAAAGTCTCTTACATACTATTTGATCATATGAAGGACTTTATAAATGCTTCAGCACGCATTTTTTACGAAAAAGAATGGGGCTACCGTAATCCAGATGGAACTTATGGTGGTATGGTGGGGCGTATTGTTTCTGGAGATGCTGACATGGGAGGTACAAAATGATTTCTTTAAGTCTACATAATCTGATTTACTTTATCTTCAAAGGGACTGCAGTTTTTATGAACAAAGAACGTATCCACATCAGCAGATTTATTGCGCGCTTAAATCTCAATGTAATAAAATTCGTTTTCAAGCAACCGAAACTTTCGGACATTACCAATCTTTTTCTTTTGCCATTTACACCAGAAGTTTGGTTTGCCCTTATTGCATTGATGATACTATTAATGTTATCTTTTTACATTTCATGGAAATGGTTTAAAATTAAATCAAAGATAAATTCAATTAAGACCAATCAAAACCACGAAATTTTGGATTCCTTTGATGTTGTAATAGCTGCAATATGCCAACAGGCATCCAGCGTGATCCCGCAGGACATTATCGGCACAATAATTAAGTTTGTGACTTATTTATCTTATTTCATATTATTTGTCTGCTATAGCGCAAATATTGTTAGTCTATTGCAATCGCCATCGCATAAAATTAAAACTTTAGAAGATATGTATAAGAGTTCGTTTGAATTTTCAAAAGTTTTCTATATGCAACCATATTACGAGGTAGCAAAAATAAGATTCTAACATTTACTACTGTTAATTATTAATTCACTTAATTTTTTATTTAGTCATTTGCTCCAAGATATCCTAAACTTCAACAAGCAATTTACTACGAGCGAGGAATGAGAAATAAAACATTTGTTAGTTTTTATGATGCAGTCGTGGCCATCAGAGATACACAAATGGCGTTTATCACTGATAAATATCAATTATATACAATTATTGGTACGAATATCTAGCATCATTTGTATTGGGTGTTTACACTACTTTTATTTTTTAAGATGAAGTTTTACTGATGCTGAAAAATGCTCTTTGGATGAAATGAAATTTATTCCTGAATCTGAGGATTTATACAATCCCGCATTTAAAGAATCACCATATTTGGAACTAATGAAAATATCGTAATTATTAAAAAAATATTTTTAATCAAACTCCCTCTTTAATTTACTTGTTATTTGTTTAGCTTTCTATTGTTTCAAGAAAATGGCCTAAAAGAACGAGTTCTTTTGATGTACATCACGAAAAAACCTCAATGTCATTCTCAGGGACCATTCGAAAGTGCCGAATTCAAAGCGTGTTTACCACTCATAAAAGGATTTCTCTTTGGCATTTGTTTGTCAATCGTTTTTCTCATTATAGAAATTGTGAGCTCAATATTTAAGCAAATACGTAAACGAAATACGCCAAATATCTTGATTATTAATGAAGAATTAATGATAAATGAAAATAATATAATATTGATGGATCTAATTGAGCCATTTTGTAATTAAATTATTAGATTGCACACATAGGTATTTATAAAGTAAGTAGTCAAATTAAACAAATATAAATAATTGATTTAAAATGCTACTTTATGTGAATGTTTGTCCTTGATTGCCATTAATACGACATCGCTTAAGTTCAACAGTGTCCCACATGAGTTTATTGACATTTTTTTGCAGTTTCCGTCTTGATCACTTCCCATCTCGAGTATTTTTTTATTTAAATTAAATTGCATATTGATTTTTGTATGCTTAGACAGTTCCGGCCGGTAGAATATCTAACCTACGAGTAGATTATAACAAGATGTAAATTTATTCGAAACATTTTACAACACATCAATAATTACAATTTAACACTACACTTTTTGCTTACGGCTTGACAAGGTCAAAGTTTTTGTAGCGGTATAGCTAAAACCAGACATTCAAACAAAAACTAACATTCTTATGCTTATTTTGTAGCATAAGCATTTGCTACAAATCGGTAGAAAATTGCAAGTAAACAACTTTCACACCAAAAAAGTAGCAATTGGAACAGATATCTCAATGTCCATATCAAATTTGTTCACATAAGAAATTCATAAATAAACAAAACACAAAAAATAATAGTTTCTTAGACAAAAAAGTCACAATCACGACTATTGTTTCATCAAAAATACATCAAAGCCTAAAATTGATTCGGAGACTAACATAAAATTAAAATTAAAGCTGTGTCTACCGTTGGACGTTTGGCGTTCCCATTCGTGGTTGATTTACTCATTAAATTGTAATCGGCCGAACATCGTCGGCGAATAGGTTGGTATCAGTATTGAGGACGATGAATACTGTCATCAATAATAATGAAACAGCTGATTGATTGGTAATCATGTGACGGCTTACAAATTTTGGGAAATTATAAATTCAAATTTGCCATTGTCTATGAAGTGCAAAAATATTGCCTAGAAGGTTAAATTTTTGAAATACATATGAATGATAGGCAAATGATAATTTTTATCAATTTTGTATTAATTGTTCTTTAAGTTAAATGGAAAATTAAGCTAAAAAAGTTTTCAAAATGTATTCAGAAATATTTCCAGAGAAATGCATTTATTTTTAGTAAGATATTAAAGTATGCGCACGTTAAAAACAAATGAATGCCTATACGACTAGTTGAACAGTGTGTATCTACGTACACCTTCCTTCCACCTTCCGAGTTTCCGACGTCGTCATCGTCGGCGTGTAGCTTGACTTTTCGACGCTCGCACACCAGTGTTCAGGTGTTGACCCGCACCGAGCGGTCGACGTCCAAACGCGTTCATGCGCGCTTTTTGTTTGTGCTAATTCTTATTAAATCTATGCAAACACCACAAAGTTTAAAACGATAAGATTTCAAAGAAGAGTAAAACCGCGAATCATTCAATATTTACGCGAAATACTAGTGTCATTGGACTATTATAGTGTCAAGGAAACTAGAAAAGTAAGTTCTACAATAGCATAATGATGTAGTGTATTAGTGTCTTCATTTTTATAAACACAAAGATATAAGAAGACATAAAGTTTTCTTTCATAAAATTTATGGTAAATTTTTGAGACTTTTTCTGCATTGATATTATATATAGTGATTGTACTGATCGGATGTTGATCGCTGTTGCAGCAGCGCAGTAGAAAGTTACCAAAGTTTGTTCTTGTGTCGAGTCTCTCCGCGTTCGCTCTTTTACGTGCATTCGCATTTACGTAATTGCATCGCGATTGCGACTTGCAAACGACGACGATGACTCGTGCATGCAGCCGTACTGCATTTGCTTCGCACACATGTTCGCAACGTTGCAAAGAAAATTACAACAAAAATACTGTAAATGCTTGCTAAATTGAGAAATAATGACGAACGCATTATTCTGATTTTTCTAGGCAGTTAACAAATATGAAAATTTTCTATTGCTTGATATAAACAATATGTTATGAATGAATAAGTAACTAAAAATGTAAATATATTAATATATAGTTAGAAATCTTTGATTAAGTTCAGTTAAAAACATTTGACATTGGTATGGTGATGAATAATTCAAATAAGTATATCTTTTATTTATCGAAGCCACAAAATATTCTAGTGATAAGATATTGTTTGAAAAACCATGCAAAATTGAAAAATTATTGTTGATTTTTTAAATTCTTTAAAATATTTATAAACATCGTAAAATCCGCAATTGTTTATGAATTTATCTTTATATATTTTTAAATATCTTTTCCACGGGTTTAATTAAACTGTTTACACTATTCCTGGCTAGACCTAATTAAGTTAATGTTTATTATTTTATTTGTTGTGATGTTTCATAAAGAACTTGTGGAATTACATTTCTACTCATAGGTGCCTTAATTATTATATAATTATTTTAAGCTAGGTTTATTTGAAATTGAAACAAATATTACAAAACAGAAATCAAGTTTATTCGTGTAACTATTTCATTACGATTAACTTGGGTATTTTAATTTTATAATGTAGTGATAAATTAGCACAAAATTTAAATTTTAGGACATTTCCTTACATTGTACGTAGTATTGAATCAATGAAAACAAAGAACAATGAATTTTTTAAAGTCTAATTTAAAAGTATTATCTATATACTTTTCATATTACAAAATTAATACGAGTAATACCCTCACCGGATGAATTTGATGCTTACTTCATGAATAAATTGTTAACAATAATTGCGTTATAATTATTCAAGCTATAAAATAATATCAACAATAAAATATGATATAAACTGCGTTCAGCTACGGCACATCATAATATTCTTCGTCCATGTCTTTGCTATAATGATTCCGTTGAATGCTACTGTGACACTACCATATCTAATATGAGATTAGCATATTTTAAATAAATTGATGGTTACATTGGATACGATTGGATCAATCTAATGGGTGCATAATACATTTAAATCATTACCACAACATGAAACATGCATAGAAGCACATTACATGATTAGTTTAATGACGACAGACGTTTTTATTGTTTGATTAGTTTCTTAATTTATCCAATTCACGTGCAAACAACAAGTTGTATGATTGGATAATGCCAATAATAATAAATTTAAAGCATGAAAACAGAGTTTATAGGTTAGCGTGACTGATTACAGAGAGTTTTGTTCATATTTTTATATTACTTACAAAAACAATAATTAGAATTAATATCAAAGAGTTTGCTCCACGCAAAAGTTGTTATTTTAAACAAAATTACTTTAGATAGAAAAGTTTATAGTTTCAAATACAAAACTTACTGATCTATTGGCATATAAAATAATGTCTAATAATTATTATCTCTGAAATAGTAGTATATCCGGCGTAAAATATTTATTTGAGCATTTCTTTGTGCAAATTGTCACCTCACTAGTGAGAATGCATTTAAAGCAAAATATTTCATCACCCGGTTTACTAAATTTTGTGAATGTATAGAATATACGATGGTAAATTACATTTACGAACGCAATAACTAAAGCAATGCATTCGCAACAGTGCCAATGAGCAAAAGAAAAGTTATATAATCCGATGTGCAATAATTTGAACTGAAATATCATGCAGTTGTGAAGTAGTAAAAGACAATTTCTACACAACTTCAAAAGTCACATTTGAGTGTTTAAAATACCGAATTTTCTAGTACAATTTCCCAATGTTATTTCTCAATTCAATTATCTTTTTGCATAGCTTGCATCTTGAACGGAGAAAGTGCACAATTTTTAAACAATGAATAAATGAATAAATCACTTGTTCGGATGCAAATCTCTCTGATTGAATCTTGTATTCACTGTCGAGGCAATTAAGCTTCAATTAATCAGAACTAAACCGATTTATCTCAAACTAATTAAACTAAACTCATCATTTACTTGCAGAGTGTGCGGATCATCAACACTTACCACGGCAGAATTATTCATTCATTGAGATCAAAGTAATTAATCTAGAATCAATTGATTAATTGGATTTCAAAATTTTTATACTCCAGCGGTGACGATGACAGTGGCACTGCATCCAGATGTGCCGAAGACTGAAGTCGAAGAAGTGGAGGTGGAGGATGGCGCACGGAACTACAGCCGGAACGACACTTGTTACCTGTCTAAAAGCAGCGCTAAGGTGAGCTGTAGCATTGACTTTCTCTTCGGCGTAATGATAAACTTGCGCAAATCAAGCTTGCTAACTTACACAAGAAAAATGCATACAAAGAAACTTTAATTTCATCGTGTATCTTGTCATCACAGCTCAAATTGGTTAAAGAAACTCAAATAAGACTTGAATTCAACGCACATGAGCGCAAAAGGCCGTTAATAGGAAAAAGTGTCAAGTCATTAAAGTTTTTCTGTAATTATTTTAACAACAGTATTAACGTTTGGTTAATTATTACAAAGCAAAGAAAGTTGGGTTTCCACTGAGATTGAAAATGAAACTGAAATTAGTTTGTGGTGTTTTTATTATTTTTAGATGTTTTTAGAATAAACACTTGTTAAAAAAATTAATTAGTTGCGAGCGCCACATGCCTAAGAATAAATATTTAAAAACATAGCATAAAATACGTAAATAAATGTGGTTTTCACGCAAATATTGCTTAATTTATCACACCGGATATTCAAGAAATTAGAAAATTATTTGTTTAGTATCGGATATCATTAACTTTGATCATTTTTGTTTAGTTTTCAATTATGTGAATTATTTTATTTCCTTTCATATAATCATGGTGCTTATTTTAACGCATAATTTGCAATTTTATGACTTTAATTAATGTAATCCAATGCATCCCAATGATTTTATAGCTTTATCACTTTCATAAACGTCAGTTTCATTCATTTTCTTGAATTGCCTGTAAATATATAATTATTACTCTTGTTTTTTTTTTAATTTTACACATCCGCAAATAAATTATAAAGACATTGAAAAAATAAAATCAAGGTGCACACAGTTAATGAAATCCACTTTTTTTAATTATTTTACAATGCACATGAATCAAGTTGAAATCGTTTCATGTCATTAAGTTTCATTCGGTTTGCAATTGAAATGAAACCAACGTAAAATTCAAGTAAAGTGATTACAAATAGTAATTTCAATGATTGAAAATACGATCGTGCAAAATCGGTTTGCGGTTGATAAGTATACTCGTACGTGTGTGTCTGTTGTGATTAACGCATGGAAAGCAACTTTCTTCTCCGTTCCTGAGTAATGCTTAGTAATTTGCTGCCAACTTCCACGATCATGCTAACCATCGAATGCTAATACTTACATTTATGCAGTGTAACAGGTTTCGTTTTGTTTCTTTTTTAAATCATTTACGTCTTAGTCGATGCGAATGTGGATATGCCAACAAAAAGTTGACGTTGGACGTTGACCAGTCAATAAACTGCATCGCAACTAGATACATTGTATGCATTTTCTTTCTTCATTCATTACATTTATGCCAATGTTCGCAGTTGTAGACACCCAACGTTGTAGTTGAATACTTTCGATGTCCGGGAGTTGACGACAGAAGAGTTGCCATTTCTCTGTATTTTCTTCATTTAGGTTTTCATCCCAGTCAATCTTGTCACTCCAAAGTTTTAGAATTTGTAGTTTGATTATAATGATAACCGGTGACAGCCATCCGAGAGGATCGAAGATTTTAGAAATGTCTGATAGGATGCTCCGTTTTGTTATCTTGGTGGAAACATTCCTATTTATACGGACCATAATTGTATCTTCTTGTGGGTCCCAGGTGGTCCCTAACGTTTTCTTCGTTTCACTTGAACCCACGTCGTACGTGGATTGGTCAATCAGTTCTTTGGGTAGATTTTCAATTAATCCCGGAAGTTTACTAGACCATTTTCGAAGAGTGAATCCATCCTTTTTCATCACTTCGAGAAAATCCAATTGGAGTTTCTTGGCCGTCTTTAAGTCTTCTGCTCCTGAGAGCACGTCGTCGACGTAGAAGTCCTTTTTGATGATATCTATGACTGTACAGACAATTGTATGTTTTCTCCATCGAAGCAATAGATCCGCAATGTCATTCTGGAGCTGCGGACCAACATACATGCATTCATTCAAGCTAAGCTTCGACGATGTTTGGCATGATGCATCGAAGACCACTCGTAATTTGGTGGTGCTACTTTCTTCTTTTATCACTGCGTGATGAGGTATATAATAACCGTTTAATTGAGATTCTCTCTTATGTACCTTTCTCATATGGTGCAGCTCTAGATACTCTCGCATGAACGTGTGGTAATCTTCTCTTAATTTTGCATTGCACCACATCTTCTTTTCCAATTGGAGGAATCTTGCCAGTGCACGTGATCGTGACTCTCCAAGTTTTGGTGGAAATTCTTTGAACGGCAAGCACACGGTATATCTTCCGTCCTTGCTTCTAGTTGTACTTTCTTTGTACCATACTTCACAGTTCTCTGCTTCTGCCGTGAGTTGAATACTGCATTCAACTTCTTCCAATTCCCAGAACCGTGTTAGGTCTGGTTGGGGGCCGCTGACAGTGCATACTTGTGCTGAGATTTGTGGGGATTTGTGCCATCCCAGCTCTGAATTTTGTGCCATATATCCACTAGGTTTTTCTAAGCCATCCAATAGAATGTCGATATTGCCCGGCCGGTAGAAGTATGGATCGGCTAGTGGGCGATTTTCCCACAGTTTAAACGTGTTGAAGTCTAGTGACTCCAATAGTAGGGTGTCGGTGACCATAGATTTGGAAATCTTGGGCTCCTCGTCGGGTATTCCGAACACCTCTGCTCTCGCTGATTGATTTCGAATCCCGATTTGCTGTACTGCATTTTCGGTAATCAGTGAGAGTTCTGAACTTGGCTCCGATGGGAGAGTGTCGGTGACCGTGGATTTGGATATCTTGGGCTCCTCGTCGGCAATTCCGAACACTTCTGCTCTGGCTGATGATGCTGTTGGTGCACTGTTTACTGCTGGTGTATGCAACCATGCTAGAAAGAAGGTGATTCTTCTTCGACTTGTCTCGAAGTGATCATTGTCAGCTTGATTTGGATCTACTTCGCCGTAGATTCGGTATTGGAGCTCCCGTGCTAATGACCATTCCCGGGATATTCCGTCTATCCAGAATTGGACGTTAAATGATTCGGACTTTTTCGCCTTGTCAGCTTCGCACATAGCAATCTCTTCCTCGGTATATTTGAGGTGAATGTTCCTTTGTCTTACGAGTGGATGCTGTGCGATTGTTGCTGAGTGAATGGGGTCTACCGTGGACTTGTCCAATGCGGTTTTCGCCTCCATATGTTTATTGGTCATTTGGCCAACATTGTTTGATTTGAAGTAGTTATGGTCCGGAATGTTGAATGAAACTAGTGAATCATCGTTATTCCTCGTTTCTGGCCATAATTCTTTTAATTTGGCTTGTACAGCCATTATTTCTGCTCGCGTTTTTGCGGCTGTAGCCTCAGATGTAATTAATTTAATCTGTTCTTGCCTTTTGGCAAAAGAATTTGCGGCTTCCATGATAGTCAGTGCTTCTTTGGAAGTGCGCTTGGAAGTTGCAGTCTTCTGTCTTTGTAATGCTGCCCAGATGCAATTGCGATTCTTTTCCCAATCAAGAACTTGCTACTCGATCCACAAGTCTTAACTGGACGGATTCGCGAGGTACCACGGGTCGTAAATCCGGGTGCCTATATTGCTTTCTGGTGGAGCTTATATAAATGAAACAACCAAAATCAAACCTTAGTTTCCTGATTTCGTCGGATCCGGTTCGAAGGACCAATGTGAAGCCAGCGTGCGCTCTGAAGATGGCGCCGGGTTCAAAGTTGAGAGCAGAAGGACTGATGTGTGGATTTTACGCTGGTTGTAAGGCAGCGGAGAGTCTTAGAGGTGCTCGGAGAAGTGAGGCGATCTTCACTCGATGCTTGCTCGATAACTACTACTTTATTCATCCAAAAATGTCTAAGTGCAAAACTTTGCGTACATACTTGCCCAAGGGCAGTGACCCTTCGTAATTTGTAATCTTAAGATAGCTTAATTACTATACAGCGATATATATATAATTGTTAGCACAAGGGTCAGTGTGTGACGTGATGGACCCTTGCTCATCTGCGAATGTGTTTACTATCTACTGTATCTACGTAACTACTGTACTTTCTAAACATTAAGTGTGTTGATATACATATTACGATGTTAGTCTTGTGATTGCACTATGGTATAACTTAATTGTATTTATTGTCTAAGTTCCCGGCGACGCACTATCGGCACTAAATAATCACACAACACCGAATTCGTGAGAAGTTGGAAACTTCCGCCGCTTTTCTGTTTGCGGTGCAAACAGCATGGAAAGCAACTTTCTTCTCCGTTCCTGAGTAATGCTTAGTAATTTGCTGCCAACTTCCAAGATGTAATATTAGCATAAAAGTAGGTCGCAGTCTAAACTTTTCTTTGAGCTTAATGAATGGGATGAGTATAGAATGTATATGAAAAATTGAGAACGCGTTGCAAATAATTTACTATCTATATAATAGAAATTCGAAGAAAGAGAAATTGATTTGCAGGTTGTAATTTTTTAGTTATAATTATTTAGAAAATTGCTAAATTATCCTTTTATTTTATATTTTTATCTGTGTCGAAGTCAGCGATAGACATTCTATTGACACTCAATCTCTAAGAAAGACTCCTACTATTGTTCAAGTAGCTCTGAACGCTTTTGGTGTCAATATAATTATATTTTGACACGCAATGCAGTATTTGCAAAAAAAGTAGAAAACGTATTAGAAGTTAGAAGTTAATTTAAAAATTTCTTTCATTACAAACAAATGTTAATGGGTATTGGTTAAAATTTGTGGAATCTATCAACTTTTAATTAACGATTTTCACATTATAAGATGCAAAGTTTACGCTTTCATTATTAACACGCCTAAATTTTCTTTTCGTTGGGGAAATCTAAGTGAAAATGTTTGGTGTTTAATGTTTGTTTGTTTCGTTTATAAAATTACTTTATCCGGAGAAAATTGAAGATCTAACCTTTACAAAATTTACGAAAACATCAAACACATAATTATATTTTAGCATGCAGTAAATTATAAAGAATTTATCCATAAACTTATCAAATTTAGAAGAATTATCAGTTGTAATATGTGTGCTTAAATTGATTCAAAGAATTTTAGCGTCAACCAAACAAAAATGGCATAAACTATCTTTACTTTCCATTTTATTCGCAGATGTGATTATGTTCAATGAAATCACGGCCTTTGAATGCTATGTTTGCACATTTTATGCAAGAATTTTCGTCATCGTTAACCATGGTATAGTTTCGATGTTTTCGGGCGTGAAGCAGTAAATATTGCGCTGATTGCATTGCAATGTCTACGCTTCATATATACTCGTATCGTAATGAGTTTGGCAACTATATATTTCCCAAGCGTTCCTATGCTTATTGCCACAATTACCAATTACGTGTTAACATCATTCTTATTCACACCACGCCGCGTTTGATATATATTTCATTGTCAAGGTCTCGCTTTCTCAAAGCCAAACATATTTATGTAACTGACCAATATAGTATTACTTTGAACACAAACAAATACGTAACTGAACAAAACCTAAATTCAATAACGAAGACGTGAAAAGTTAAATATATTCCGTGAAGATTTTAAGCAACAAACACATGTTACACAATTAAACAACTTGTAACTTGTACGTCTAATAAAATTTGGTCAGACGGTGAATAAAAGTGTTATTGTTACGTGGTTGACACGCACTAAATACTTTTAAATAAATAATGATTATGTACGTCCAGATTGAAGAAGTGTTTGTTGAGTTTAAATAAATAATAAGTATCTTGGCGCCTTGAAAAAAAAACTTCGAATAGACATAAAACTTTCACTCAGTGTCACTTAAAATATAAATGTTAAATAATTATATACCTAATTATATACTATGTTAAATCTATTTGCATTTAGATAAATTATGCGGAAAAAGTATTTATCTTTTAAGTTACTTCTTTGAGAAAACATGCTAAGAGTCTGTTTATCGATTACCTGACAAAGAAAAACGGGCTGTCAGTCACGTACGACTCAAAACGCGTCGCGCCGGACGGTTTCCTACCAGGCGAGCAGGAAATCAGCAGGGAGGCGTGCGCGATTCTAGTTTTCCACCGAAGTTTCCCGCGCATTTCCACGCTGTGTGTTAGGTACTCGCAAGGCAACCAAACCTCGTAGCATTACGTTTTGAGTCATACTCATTGACTTCAAATTATTTACACTAAATTAATCGTTTTTTAATGTTTTAGTTGTCAAACATCAAAGAACTTTTCGAAGAATTAAACAAGGAGCTAGACAAATCATCAGGAGAGCAAATCACCGATGTTAATCAAAACCAGAGCGATGAGCAGCTGGAAGAAGACAAACTTCGTCGCCTCCTCAACTTCAATGAAGCACCATCATATTTAGCTCATAATCGATTTATATTATCTGGTTACCGTGGATTATTAACAACAAAATTATGCTTAGAAAGGTACAATAATAATTAATATATTATAAATAATTAAAGTTAAATAAAATATTTTATTACAGTGTTTTTTGGTGGACAAACGAAACGATAAACATATGGTCGCACATCTTTGGCTTCTTCCTTTTTAGCGTACTCACAGTTTACGATATTTTTGCATTAGACGTAGACGCGACAAACACCGATAAAGTAATCATTGCTCAAGTGCTAATTTGCTTCATGGTGAGTTCACGCGTGAAAATTATTAAAATTATTCAGTTATTCAAACGTAAACGATAGCTAATTTAATATTGCTCCTTATTGATGAATAATTAATGATTACAGGTCTGTATGTTGCTGTCGGCGTGCTATCACACATTCTCCTGTCGATCGGAATCAGATTTTCACTGCTTCCTCAGCTTTGATTTATTTGGGATTGCTTTAAGTTTATTTGCAATATATATTTCCGGTATTTATTTCGCTTTCTGGTGTCATCCGGTGAGTAATTAAATAAATATTTATTTTGACAAATTAATAATTAATTTGATTGATTTTTAGGGTTTAAGACACTTTTACATCTCAACAGTGTCATTAATATTTGTAATTGCAATGGCAATGCAATTACCGCGATTTAAAGTTGATTCTCACGTCAAAATGTTAGTGTTTGTCGCGTGGGCGGCTTACGGAGTTGTTCCGACCATTCATTGGACCATCGAAATGGGTGGATTGAGACATCCAGTCGTTTCTGTAAGTTGTTTTAATATTTAGTAGATTAAATTACCTTAATTAATATAATTGATATATTTTTAGTTGTTGCTACCCAGAGTACTTGGGATGTACGTAATAAGCGGTACTGCATTCTTTATATATTTAACTAAAATTCCTGAGCGTTTCGCCGCTGGAAAATTCGATTTTCTCGGCCATTCACACCAATGGTGGCATGTTATCATCGTGGCAGCGTTGTACTACTGGCATTGCTCAGGCATGGTATACGTCAATTATCGCATTAATCATACATGCTCCGACAGCATGCGTATAGACTTTTACTAACATTTTCATTAGCAGAATCATTTACTATAACCCATCTATTTGATACAGAATTATTTAATTTGACTACTTTCTGGCCATTTTCCATGTTTCTAGTAGATGATAGCACTTTATTAGTCGTTCTAGATCTTAAATTATTTGGTCTTTTATTTGAAAAGACTAAAGTAGTTGAAATTTGCTCATCATTGAAATATTTGTAGTTGCTAATAATTGATTAACAAACGACAAAATTGATTACTTCGAAATATCGGAGTCTACCTGCAAAATGGCCAGAAAGAAGAATACTGCGGTAAAAAACTTCGTACAATATTTATGTATAGTTGTATAGGGTATATGTTACAACGATGGCTCTGGTAAATATATCTGTGATATTCTGAGCCCGGTAATCTGTTATATAGCGTTTCATTATTGTAATTATGGAGAATTATTGCAAACATGTAAATTAATAAATTGTGTTTTTGTTACTATTGTTATTGTCTTTCAATGATTTAATTAACAAATACTAGATACATCTAAAAAAAAAGAAATAAAATTAATAATTTAATACTACCTTGCCATTTTTTGGGAACTTGTTGCGATTAGGTTTTTTCAGTTTTTCAATAAAACATTCACGTTTGCAATTTTGATTGTTTACCTAAGAAAAGATGGAAACATAAATAATAAAGTATACTGTACTTGTATAGGAACCCACTAGGTTTAATATTTTCAGCTATCTGCACTTATGTAATAAATGGAAAATGGTTAATAACTCGAAAACTAATAATAAAACTAACAACACAAGTAACAACATTCTACACCAGGATGGATAATCTCGGAAAAATCCAGGTGGTGATTTAATTTGGTTAGTTACAATTTTTGTCATGCCGTTGAGAAATTATGGTGAAATTATTATCGGAAAACTGACTAGACATCATTCATCCCTTTGCAATTCTTGCAATTCAATATTGGTGGCGTTTTCTATTTTCTTCCAGCTTAAAAATTAATTTTGAATCAAACAATAGTCAAGTCGTACGTACTCCTTGGCTATTTTTGAGTGAATTTGGTCCAACTTGAAAAATAAAAAACAACTAAACCTGCCATGTTATAGATCAATATCACGCTATAAAAAAATGAGACAAGTTTTGTTCTAACTTTAAAATCGCGTGGGAAATTGTTTTATACACGTCTTATGTTTAAAATTTTGAAATGTTAAACAATCTAGGATTTAATACTGAGAATCAGAGCGATTTTGCTTTCGGTTTATAACAATTAGTCGCTAAGATAATTGATTCTAAAGTCACGCCGCGAGTACGCATTTCACTTAAAGCCAGCTACAGAGAAACCCCTTGATTATATTAAATGGAAAGTTGTATAAATAGGGTAATTAAGAACCTCTTTGCACAAGGGTGTTATTAGTTTTAATAAATATTATTAATATTAATGTTTTAATTATTTAATTATTCATGAGACAATATTTTTCATATTATTATTTTAATACATAATTTTAATTTGACGAACAATTTAACCAGCAATACACGACAATAGCTCTTTAAAATAATTTCAGTTAAATATAATATTTTCAACCCAATAGGGCCTAAACAAGGCATTTTAGGAGCAAATGTTACTAAAATTATTTACTTAAATTTAATCGTTTATTTAGAAGTGGTAATAAAACATTTGAAATTTCAACTTTTAATTTTGAATTTAAAATAATGAAGACATGTTTTTTTACGCGAATATCATTTCTTTAATTTTTATGCAAATTTGATCATTTTTAAGAATATGTTGTAGGAAATTCTTCAGAGATCATGAATATGAAGTCCTTTCTTTGCTAGCCGTTTTAGTTATCGAAATACTAACCATTTAATATTTTTAAATTTTTTATGGTGGAAGCTCATTTCGACGATTTCAACCTGAAATAATTTTTAAGGAAAAAAATATTTCTTAATATTGCTTTATATACACCGATAATGCAGCACATGTCCGTGAATAGTGAAAACCTGCTCATTAGCAATACCTAACTATATAAGTTGAAGTAAGTTTGGCTGCCTATAAAGAATCTCTACACCTCAAATAAATTTTCACCTGTTAAAATTACCTTGCTATAGGCTGGTATATATACCAGCTATACTATACTATGAGTATAGTATTTCCAAGTTAAAATTAGTTATCATTAATGCATTTAGCGTTAATATAGTAGCATCTATTTAAAACCTAATATCGTTTGTCCAAATACTTTATATTTAAAAGTGTTGTTATTAAGATGTTTAATGATGAAAATATTATACGCATTGCTTTCAGTAAATGTCTAAGCAGATTTCTAAAATAGTTGAGAAAAATTTGAAATGTGCTTGAATGACTTCTCACAATAGATATCCAGAGAGATGCCTTAAATTACTTGCAAATAGTTTGCTGTCGTTGTTTTCCTGCATAATATAAATTCAATAAAAATAGATCGAGGTGAAGACATCAAAACGCGCACGGACGACAATTAAAATAATGCGTACCTACATACTTTTATAGCAATTGGAATATCAGCGAGTGCGTTCGGAATGCACGCGCGGGTCGCGGCTACACCAAATACGCGCGTTTTTCTCATGCGACAAGCAAATTACTTGGTACTCGTTACGCTTCGCTCGTAATTCAGGTTCGCGGGCGCGCGAGATGCGTAAACGACGACAAGGACGCACACAATGCGCTACAATGTGCATTATTCGTACTTTTATCGCCGCAGCATTGGGCTCGATTTGGTCTAAATTATTTCGAAGTCAATGCGGCGCGCATAAACGATTAGCTAGCACCTGCAGAGCCTCACCTCAGTAGGTGAGCTGCACTTAGATGGATTTATCGGTCGCTAGAAAGACGGATTGCAATGACCTTTGATGTTATGATACCGCGATCGTTCTGAATCGGTTTCAGTGACTGTATCTGCAGCGTACACACGGCGGCAATTAATTAATGACCTAAAACAATTCGTTTCACCTTCTCGTTATGAGAGATTTCGTTTCGTCATTTCGATGCGCGCCATTGACGCATTGTTGGCTGAGGGATTTATTGCGCACGGGACGTGTCACAAAGTCAAATCGAGCCGCAATCCATCCATCAAGCCTCCGACGGCGAACGCTTCGGTGGAAACTGAATTAATTTTATGTATTCGATTGAAAGCGAATGTAGAAAACGACAATTTATTCGCTAGCTGGCTTTACCTGCAATGATAGATGCGATTCTATAGCGCATTATCAACACCTTCACCCACCGATATTAATAATTGAGTGTTGATTTAACGGATATTAAGTCAAAGTAGCGCCATTAATCTCAATTCATTCACGGACGTCGCAAAAGTAAATCGTCTATTTTTTTAGTTAGAAAAATAAAAGTGGCACTCATTCATAAAACGCAAATAAAATAAAGTATTCACCAAGGCACATAAAACGATCACACATCGCAAGACATCAAAATCATCAAAGCCAACAAAGTATCAATGAAATAGCGGACCAGCTGCGGTATAAAGAATAAACTTTCCCACAATTGTGCGTTGTGAAGTTTTACGAATAAACAAAAATAAATAAAATTTACGCGCGGAGTTACCAATAAATGTTATCTCTTTGCTACAAGAGAAGCATGGCTCAAATCGCATGCCCTGCAAATAATAGGTACAATGTTTAAATTTAACGTGCAGACTAACCTACGCATGCACAATAAAACAAATAGTTAACATTAAACTTTATGCATTTAATTCGAACTCAACATTGTTGTACATTTAACAATACCACATATAAACTTTTGAATTCATCAAATTAATCAATATCAAACTTACCTGTTTGCTTGACAACCACATCCTTTCATACCTGCAATAAACTTCACACATGATTAAGAATTAATATTAAAATTTTTTAATATTTCTACAATTGGAAGTCGGCCATATGGACAATAATGACGAGGATTCTTCCTGTATTACCCACGTGGTGGTATTAATTCATGACAGTCTTCGACGCACACGCTCAAGCAAAGAAGACAATTTGCGGCGCAACGGCGCACGTTCCGTGGCGGCATTTCTATTATCATTTGAATTGCGCCCGATGTTTATTGTGACACGTGCGATTAATGCAACGCATTGCTTTGCAATTGCAGCGCAACGCAACATCGCCTAACATACAACCAGCCAAAACAATTCGCCTTTCGGCTAGATAGACCATTTGAATCTTACCAAATTCATTCATAACTCAACAAGATCTATTGTCATATTATAATTTGAATGGAATTACCAATTATAATATATTATTAAATAACTAGGTATGTTTACGTTCAGTCCAATTTACCACTAATGTCTAGAAATTCATTATTTGTAGTTGTAATGTTTAAAATTCGACCACCGAACACCACTTTGTAATGCAGCGTGAAACGATGGCGTGAACTTCGCAAGAAACTTTCCGGCAGCTTTTTCAACTTCGTCAGAAACGCACTCGCGCAGATTGTATGCGACGCGTCGCGACTGATCGGTGTCGGGTGGTGAGTACGTAATTAATTTATGGAAATAATTGCGGATGGCCCGTCGGATGCCCAAATCGGGCGGCGCGTTTGCCACTTCGTCCGGAGCACTTCGGATGCATATGCGTTATGAATGTTTAATGCGAATTTAATGCAAAGAAGCTTTTTGTTTTTCGGCAGCAGCAGCGAACAAAAACCCGCGTAACTAAAGAGAACAACAGCGAAAAAAGCTACCAGCAAAAAAGAAAACGATGGCGAGGTGGTGGACTAAATACCCTTTGGGCTAACAACACCTAGTATTATTACCACAAGCACAAGGAGACGTTTGAAGCCGCACGGAGCGTGGTTAGTGTTATAATTTTCTTCATGCCGCGGTTTGATTGATTGGATTGATTGATCGTCTATTATTACAATCGACGCGAGCGCCATGCCGACTCAGGCTCCAGCTCTGGTCAAGATGTCGACTGGTTATTTATTAAATTAATTTATGTGCTTCTACGTATCATGAACATGAATGTGAACATGATCGTAAAAAATAACACAAAAATGAGTTACAGAACTGATTTTTACACGTTTTTCAAACACTTTTACGCTATAGTATGGTCATCGTAAATTACACCAGACCACCTTAACACCGCATGTTTTCCGTTTCAAATGACTTAACTATATTTTATTAAAATCTAAAACGTTGTTCTTTTCACAGTTTCTTCTTACACCTTCAAATGGGGAACGCATACATCTTTGTTGTGACCCCTAGGCGATATCAATTTCAAATTGGCGTGTGTATCGATAATTTATTTCCCTAACTTTCCAGTGGATTCAGCGTTCAAAAAACACATTCACGCATAATAAAATCGACTCGTTGAGTAATACGATCAGGCAAAACGTAGATCTTCGTTCACGTGTTCCTCTTCCTATGTTCGCAGCAACATAAAATTAGCGAAAAAATTAACGACAACGACAAAGAAATGCAAAGTAAGCCACAGTTAAGCGTGTCAAGTTAAGTAAGCTTGCGTGGTAATAACACAACGTTAAAACTTTAATTGGTAATTAACTACGGCTGGTTATTTGCTCGATGTGCGTATAATCGAGCTGAAGATGACTTCACATTTAATTATTGATGGTTCGATGCCACCATTCGATGGTTTGTACCTTCGTTAATTGCTGAAAGCAGCCAACGGCGAGCGTGAACGAATACTTCTTACGTTTAACCCTGGAATACTAACACAAAGGTTTAAATTTTAAAAATATTTATTTAATGAAAGCCATTCGAAGAATTTTGTCAATAGAATAGAATTTAATAATAGGATCTTATATTAAGTAGAATATGGGCGGAGCTGCGCACGCGCTCTTAAGTAAGAAGGCGGAGCACAATGTTTAAAAACTCATTATAACTTAAGAACTATTCATTCGATTTAATTTTCTGTGCGAATATCCCTCAAATGTATATTTACAGGGTTAAAACATAACAAGTACCAAGTAATTGGTAAATTCTTATAAATGAACTAATGTGTCATCGATGCCGAGCGAGCATCGAATATCTAAATATTTTGCGCTTAATAAATTTTAATGACAATGCCTAATGAATCAGAGGCAATCTGACAATCCCGGCGGTAAATACTTGATGATTTGTTGTCGAACGCACAAATACATGTAACTAGCAACTACTGAAAGACAGAAATGCTTCTGGTGTTATAGATATTCTTAGCTAGTGTTGGTTAAGTGATGGGAAGTCGGCGTTTCATGGGCTCATTGCGCATTCGGAGCGATGCGTACGCGTTGCGCATTGCACGCGGCGCGACTCGCTAAAACCGTGCGACGGGCCGTTCGCGTTGTGCTAATCACCAGGACGCGCGACGATTAATAAGCGAGACAACGCATAACCGCATGGTAGCACTTCCACTCGCATGGGCTGCAGTCGCTGTGGCAAGAGTGTTAATTAACAGCCGAGTGATATTTCTAAATTGTTTTCACATGGGACGCACTGAGAAGTTAATTTCTGAGGATGAAACTAAAAGCGTTTAATAATTCTTACCTGTTTTAACAACGCGTAAATTGGCAGACGTTTTACGAATCTATTAATATTTAGAATAATAATTATTAGACACTACGTTTAGTTTTTAGCCATAGTAAATTCTCCTATGGTGAAAACTCGAGAACAAATAAAAGCGCTGCTAAATGCGTTTTATTTTTGTACCGTACAAAAATAGGCAAACCAGAGCTGTACGTGAGACGGCGGCATGGCGCGGGGTGTGAAAATAGGCATAGATTTGTGCTGGTGCCTATGAATGCCTTTGCGGATGCCACGCAGTAGGAAAACCTCAGCTCACAACTACGTACTCACACACAAATACACAGAACACAACACCAAATGTTGGAAGCTGCGCACATTAACTACTGCTTGCTGGATGTATCAAGAGTGCTGGCCGTCGGGTCTTGCAATGTCCATTCTCGAAGTGAATGTTCTAAAATTTAGTGATCTAAATTTATATCTACATTCATATAAGTAAGTATAAGCAAATGGAATCGTGGATACAGGAATAGATGTGGTCGGGCGCACAAACTAGGCTCCAAGAATGGAAAATTAACACTGTGCTGCTTAAAACGGAAAAGGCATATCAGACAAATTAAATTGGTTAATAAAATTATATACGCTTATATAACAATGCGAATGATATTTAAAAATTCAGTTAAAATATTTCCATTAAATAGTTTTATTTATAAATAAAGCAATTTTACAAAAATTATTACATTTCATGTCAATATTATATGTAAGGTTTTATTATGCATTCTTACATCCTTATATGTAGCACTTGTTTTGTTTAAGTTGTAAATGTAAATTAATATGAAATATTTACAGCTTAGGTTTGAATTCCAATTATGTACTTTGTATTGAGCATTTTGCATTTCCCATACTAAAAATTTGTTCGTGCAGAATGTTGAATTCAATATTTGGCAGTGGATTTGTTCCTAAAATAATCGTGCTTTCTTAAATGAATAGAAAATATAATAATTCGTGGATATGTTTTGCAATACCCTCATTCCATACTTTCCGAACAAAAATTATTTATCCACCACTCTACGAGATAAATTTTTCACTCGTAAATACAATTCTTTTCTGAAAATTTGTGCAAACTTAAATTTGATTATCCCAAATTTTAATTACATTCTAGTCTTCCTTTTTCTCAAAAAGGCACTTGCTCTAGGCATTTCTCCATCTCTCTCAACTATATATTAATACAATTTATTAACCAATTAACAGCAACGAACAAAATCGTATTAAAACACACAGCACTCGTTTCCTCCCTTCAAATTTGATCCGAATGGTTCATAAAACATACTCAATAAGTCACAGTGTCAGAAAAAAAAAACAAATAAAAATGAACCATTCATCAACTTAAACTATGTACGCATACGATACGTTAAGTGACTAGCAAATTGATGAAAATTATTTAAAACAATATAATTCTACAAATATAGATACGTTCAGTCGTCTTTTCGTTATTTAAACCATATTACACTGTATTATTTGGTATTTTCATGCTCTGTATTCTGTAATTTTTTTAAAAGTTAAGTACTCGTGAATATTTTCGGTCAGTTGTAGAGTATAGAAGACTGGATTTGTCAATAATACAAGTAGTAGGCCCAGTTTAAGCGTGCGTAATTATAAATAGCGCAAATCGTGTAAATACCGGCGCATATTTTTAGTTTAGGCAACAGTGTACGCGCGGGATGTTAAATGTATAGCAAGTTTTGCGTAATATATTGCTATACGTTCAAAAATAGGTTATTTACACCAAAAACTATTTTAAATTCCATCTACAAGAAACTTACTCACCGTACACACGAATTCACTTCCATTTGGTTCAGAAACAAAATATCAGACTCGCAATTTCCAGGATTTTAATATACGTTCATAGTGATCTTCAACACGTGTTTCTTTTGCCATAGTTAATTTCTATTTTTAAATTGTTCTTGTTTTAGACTATAATTGTGTATATTTCATCCCGACGCTGTATACGACATAAGTATAATAAAATTCATTGAGAAAATAATTCCCTGCGGCTTAAAATATTTTCAAATGTTCCGCCTGTCCGATTTTACATTTTCATTCAATCCTTGGCGCTGAATACGTTAAAAATTATGTACATGATGGATGGCTAATTAGCCCCACGTCGTTTAATTGCTTTCGCTAGTAATTTAATTAACAAATTAACGCGATTTTATGCAAAAGGTGATGCTGTGAGCGTTCCGGATAGAATAATTATTATTCAACTTCCCGAATGAAAAAGCCGTATTCTAATTTGGCAGAAATTTTGCAATGAATCACAAACGACAAACTTTAATCACATTCACAGTCACACATGCATCTATTTTTATTTCTGATCTTGATTTTATATTGCTTAAATCTATTTCTGTTCAAATTGGAATTTCAACCAAAAACTGAAACATGAAACACTTGCGACTCATTTCCTGTAACATTCTGTATCATTCAAAACCCAATCCTCATGCACTCTTGATCACAAACCGGGCGGCGCCTTCGGTTTACTATCGCGTATGTAACTCTTGGCCGGGGGCCAAGCCGCCGCTCCCGAAATACACACAAACACACTTTTTTATAAATAAGCGCCATTTTCTCACCGTTTTGGTCATAAGTCTAACGCTTAAACTTATCTTTCAAAATTGTTGATTAAAATTGATAAAATTCTTTGTTGTAGGTGAAAGAAATATTTAAATTTATTTTTGTGTTGGTCTCTGATAGCATATTAATCACCGTACGGTTTTTTCATCGATGCCGGAAAGGTAAGCACGCTTGCACGCGCGGAAATCGGAAACACGTCCTAGGTGCGCGTCACTTCCGCTTTGACAAATCCAGCTCGCCCTGACCGTTAGCTGCAGCCATCAGAGATAACGGTATCGTGATGAACTGCCCAAGTGTGGGATCACCACTATTCGCTAAACTAAATATCATTCCGTTGCTCGAAGGGGTTGCGTACATGACACCCTGCGGGGTTTGATACAACAAGGGCGAAATAATAGGTGTAGTAGTCACTGTTGAGCTACTACTAGTAGAAGTACCATTAGTTTTATTACCGTTTGATGAACCACCACCACCTCCTCCCCCAGCTGAACCTAAACTGGAAACTGTCGATGATCCTTGTACTGGTGTATTTGTCGATGTGGATCTACCCTCTGAAGACGGTGTCACTGAAGTAGATGAGGTAGTCCTGCTGCTGGAAGTGCTCGATGACAAGGTACGATTTTGTCCGGATGATGTAACTGTTTGCGAGGCGGTTGGTTTCGACGATTGTGCGATGATGGGCGACGTGGTGGTCGAGATGCGAAGTTCTTGCTCCTGATCGCCGCACTCGCCATCACTGCTATCGCCGGATGAATCTACCGTCGACATGTTTTCATCCTGGAACAAAACAAACAAGGCATCAGTAACGCCACACTTAATACTTAAGATGAGAGATGAGTATTTTAATAGTGACTATTATTGGTTTGCCACATGCGCACCGAATATGAAAAAAAAGTATCCGAAGAATTCAGTGATGGAATATGAAATAAAAAGCCGCCTAATGTGCAATGTCAATGTTTTTCAAGGAACTATGAAGATATGAAGATGAAGACAAGACTTCTTTGAAATCGATAACACTTCTTGTAACGTGATGTGCGTTATGATTAATTACAACGACTTACGCAGAAGAAATTCAATATTTAGTTAAGAGCAAGATAATTGATTATTTTAAGGCGTGTTCCGTCTGATAATTTGATTAAAAGGTATTTATGTGTTTCAAAAACAATTTCATGGTACAGTCTGCGTTTTCTTAGCGTAAATCTGTCGTGAGTGAAATTATCCAAAGTTGCAAACTGCAGCACTCCTTCGAAGCAAGATGTACACGCTGAACTCGCAGCGTCTGACAATAAACTTAGTAAATAACAATTAATTCATGTAATTAGTAGTCGATGCTCGATCGGCGATAGACAGACTCGTCGGATTTACGCGCGCACATCGACGAATCCGATACCAAATTCGACGCGCGGACAGGTTTGCGTCGCAATTCCAATTCCGATGGAAAACCGCCAGACAGCCTGGCTTTTAGCTCTCCTATTATAGCGTTATAGCGCGCGCGAAACGGCAGCTGGTCTAACGCCAAATGGGGAGAAAAGTGCGCATAGCGCATGGAAACGCGTGGAAACATACGCATGGCTCGCTACCGGCTAACGTCCGAGGACAAGAAAAACACCACGCGTCCCAGAGTAGACAAAAACGATAAAAGCATAGTTCCACGCGTAAAAACACTAAATAATGAAAATTTCACTACGACAACACACACAGCCACACAAAAGACTATAAAACCATCAACTAGCAGCTATCAACCAGCGTTCTAACATATAGCAAAACGTTGTTCTTTTTTCCTACTGTTTTTAAACGTTCATCAACCGCCAACTCTTTCGCCTTTTTCGGCACGTTTTTTTTCCTTACCTACGCCATGTTTATTGCCGCGCGCATTACAGGATAATACTCACATTGATAACATTATCTTGAGCGCGTGTTTTACACGAAATACATTCCCCTGTATTTCGCTGCAGTCGCCATTGGCCGCGCTGTTAATGTGCATACGGGCCGCATTCTCTCGGCGGTTTCTGCACAGGACGCGCGTCGGAATCTCGCGGCCGTCGCGGACGGACGATTTCTCAATTTTAGCATTTTATCACATACCGCACGGCGAGCCCACGACGACGCCGCAACGGTGGCGATACGCTCCTTTTTTTGTTTCTCATTCACCAACAGCAGACGTTCATCATCAGCATCGGCTCATCCAAGTCATATTAATTACGGTTTTGTACTCATTAACGCTTTGCACATAAGAGACGCAAAGAAGATAAGAAAAAACTAAGATACTAAACACATTTCCTTCGTGCTTTTTAAAGACGAATCGGGTAAAACATGAGAGAAACGCTGAATATGCAAATATATCTAAAATTTATGATTATTGTCGTCAAAAACCTGACGTTGATAGTAAATTAGAAAGTGTTTAGATTTTTAGATATATACTTTAATTAAGTTATGATAACTTATATTCGCGGAAATAGTTATAAAGCATACGATGAAACAGTTTTTTCTGCCAAATATTAACGTCTAGTAAGTTGTTCGTTGATTAAGTAAACACCAATTTGGGAATCATATTACACGTTAATTGCGCTTTGTCTAATCCTATTTTACACATGTATGAAATATTTCCTTAGGCGTTGGGGCGTTGGAGGTAAGCACAACATAAAACACGTGTGTATCCAAGCATACCCAACCCAACCTGCAGAAACAGTTTGAACTGTTGCGGCGAGGTATTCCGTGCAATATTCCACGGCGGGCTGCACTCCGCACTCGGCATTTGCATCCAAGAGCGCTGTACTTAACATTAATTAGTGTATGGGCGCAAATTGATTCGTAATGGTTCGGGCTCGTGTTGTGCTGATTTGCAAAATAGTTTCCTTTATTTCGAGCGCACCGTGGTGACTTCTTTCCCTTGCGCCACACACAAACACACATACACGCAATATCATACATCAACATGACTGCACAGCGGCCTACCTCTCCTCTCCGTACCACTAATAGTTTGAGCAATTCCGCAGACGAAGCGGTAAGATTTGTTTACGACCGAGCTCAAACGTTTCTGCAATTCAAGGCACACAGTCCAAGCAAGCACCAGCACCTTCACCAAGTCCGCACGTTGCTAGTTGAGAGTTGGTGAATTAATCCAGCGTGAAATATGATTACACAGACATATAAATATCGAAAGCGAGGATGACTCCAGGCGTGACATAATATAATATTAACGCGAAAAAATCCCGAGCAGTTCGCCCAACAAAAACTCGTACGCAGATAAATGTATGACAGAAATACGCCTAGAAAATCATGTCGTTTACAAACGCTCGTAAAAGTCCAAAAACCCTGCGGATGGCAGAGACCAGTACAAGATATACCAAGCGCTCACGCCCGTAAAACTAATTAAAAATACTTTTACTTATTCCATGTGCGCGCGCGGTGCACTTCGAATAAAACCGAAATCCGTAACTTGCGCTATAACTTATGTCTTAGATATTCCAACAGTTAACATCTTGCTGGTAAGGACGAGTACATCAATCAAATAATAAAGCCACCAAACAAAAATCCTGGATGACAAAGATCATTATTATTACGACTCGGCTAAATAATGACCATATTCAATATATTTTAAATTATTTTCAAGACTTAAACCGTGCCAAATAAAGTGGCAGTTATGTCAGGCGCGAAAAATACAACTAATTCACAAATCTCTTCAGTTTAGTCAGGTGCTTTCCGTATTTCGTCTCTTGAATGCATAAAGCGTGCATGTTATATGTCCGAAATGCTCAATTATGTTCAATAAGCAGGTGATAACAATCTGTTATCGTGCGTGGCGCGTGGTACACGTGGAGATCACGATCGCGAGATCATGATCATGCATGATGGTAATCTTTGGCGTAAGCACAATGCCCGGCAAGACGCAGTGCGCGCGCGCTCCCGGATTACCGGATTGCGTCCTGACGCGCCGCATTTTGTATCTGCCGGCATAATAGGTGCATGTGAGCAGGCGCACGCGGCTTTGCCAACAAACAAAACGCATCCGAGATTCCGAGGCGCAGAAAGCGCATGCTGCCCGCAGGAGGCTAAGTAATGGCCGTTTGTCGTACAATTACACCGAACAATAGCCATTATATTGTTATCGACCCGAAGTCGGCGCGCAAAAATATTGACTTATTATTGCGAATCGTCGCCGGCCACATTTGCTTACAACGTATCTTGGTTTATATACAAATTGTTGAAGGAATTCCACAATCAGGATGTGAGTGACTTAAGTCACATTAAAATAAGCAACGCAAAATAACAACAAATAAGCCTTGCTTATTTTTACCATTTCCTAAACCAACTTGATTGGAACCCAAATACGCATTATGGTTAGAAAATATATTAGTACATCTTAATTATATGTTATTTTGGGGCAAATTTGATGTAAAAACATAATTTTCTTATTGATATTGCCTGATTGAATGCAAATTTCAGCAAGTTATCGACACCGGTCCCAAAATTGGCAGCATGAATCAATCAGATGGTCCAGGCACACGGCCACCGCGACCACCATAGGTCAATACCCGAATTGATCAAACGTGATCCGGCGCCTAAAATATACACCGACACACGCTGACAGCCGGCCAACGCATTGGGCTGCGTGCAATACAAAGAGAATTACAGCCAAAGTCACGGGGAATCGAATCGTCTATTTCGAGCGAGAAAAGAAGGCATCGATGGACGAGGCCGAGACGATGGTGACGGTGGCTTCCCGAGTCGGGTAACAATTGGAAAATAAATATGCGCGCCAAGGCAGAGTAGAACCAGAAGCAGAACAAAACCGACACCGACACGTGCAGAAAGGTAGCAGTAGCAAGCCGCAGCAGACAAGAATGAAGCTTGACTTAAGTCCAAGCTGGACCAAAGCTCGATGTGTTTTTTGCGCGATCCTTCGTCGACGGCAACCGGGGCGATGGTTTCTTCGCCACCGAATCGCCAACACACACTCACACTACGCGCTTCAGTCCGCACCGCCGCTTGACTTAACTTAAGTCACTTTCAGTTTAAAGTTAAACTTTACTCTCGTTACGCGTTCGGCAGCTCGTTTGCGATGGCAACGCAATGATCATCAATGATCAAAGCGATCAGAGCCTCACTCTGGCTTCTGTTACGATCACTTCGGCTGCGAGGGACGATTGATTATTTCTATTAATGACGGCGACGGCGACAGGACCGAGCGAACCCTGTCTGTTCGCCGACGCGGTTTTTTCTGGCAATTAAACAGAAAGCAATGGCCGGTGACATCAGTCGCGATGGAAATTATTACGGACAGTTCGTCGAAGTTTACAAACAAGTCTACGCAACTTTCAGCCTCCGACGGCTGATACCACTGCTGCTGCCACCGTCAAACGTCGCAAAAAAAGCGATTGAGTTATTTTTAGAGCGATTTAATTAGTGCTCATCAATGCAAACATAAGGCACTATAAGAGAATACAGTTAATCAATGGTGAAAGAATAATTTTTACTTATTTTCGCAAAAAAACTAAATAAGGTTCAAGCAAAACTTGAACTTCAAAGTTTAAAATAAAAAAATAAATTATTCGAAAGAGTCAATAGCCTACAACACTAACTATTCCAACACGCAATTTAAATTAAATTTGATTTCTATTCAGTCCCAAAATGTATTCAAATTTAATATTTTCTATAAATTTCGTAAATATCACATCTTATTGTGCTTCTGATTTTTCCACCCTTTCCACCCTTCTGTTACTCATCAAGTGCGAGTAGGAGGAATTTTCCACAGCATAATATGCGGTGAAAATTCAAATTTGAACGCAAGTTGTCGCCGGTTAGCAACAATACACGTACGGGCCGTCCCAAATATGGTCGGCGGCAACCATCTAGGGACAAGAGCGATTTCCTCGGCAGCGCTCGATCGACACGCCGACCGCCACTGACTCATGCGGATAAGCCGAGTACCATCGCCAGTACACCATCGACCATCGCACCAGACGCGAGTCCTACCTGCGCGTCGCGCGTGCTCATTCGGCGCGCAGGTAGGACGATCACACAATCTTATCAACGCACGTCCAGAATTACGAACGAAAACAGAAAGAACAATCAAAAATTGCCAACGTAAATAAGTGAGTGCAAAATTTCACCACAAAACGTAAGTACGTTAATACTTCAATTTTTCCCTAAGTGCTAGTAGCTGACACAAATATTTATTGTAAATAAAATTAAACTAGACTTTAAAAAACGTATAACTTCCTTGGTAGATTTTGGACTGTCTGAGATGTCGACAATGCAGAAAATCAGATTTTTGTCAAAATCAACAAGTGGTGAGTACAAATCAATATAAATAAATATATCCAAAAAATCCACCCTTAAAACTAAACAGAATTGCTTTAAAAGTACATTTTATGAAGCAGTTGTGCCATTTTTATATCCCAGTATGTCTCTTTAAACTGTCCTAAAACTTTTTAATTTATATCTCCGCTCCTTTCCAACTTTTCCGAAAATTTTCTTCGCGCATCAAAATTTTCCATCATTTTGCGTGTTTAGACCCAGATACAATCGTGATACATTGATAATAGATAATAAATAAAACAGAAAAATCGTACACATGTTGCGTTCCGTCGCAGCGCGCCGGTTCTATTACAGACACGAGAGGTTGTTATTGGTGCGTATGCCCGAGACACGATCGGACTCGCGGAGCCGGCGCGACGACCCGTGACCACCTGGCGTCGAAAACCATCCACCCGCAGCGGTAGAGCGCCGCCCCCGCGTGCAAACCACCCTGAATGTGTTCGCCTCGCGTCAAAACACCCATCCCGCAGGGTGTTGCGCTGCGTGGGGCGCGCACTCCTTCGCAAGGGGATGAAAAGTCAACAGGTGCGCACCGCATGGTCCCCACTACATATACCCACCGACGGCTGGTGTATGTGTGGGTAAGCGTAGATGTGTTTGAGGATCGGACGCGAGCCGAGCGCAACTCGCGACTCTTGGTTTTGGTCAACTTTGACGGCGAGAGAGTTTTGTTGCGGGTTGAAAAATCGCGTCGGGCGGGCGGTCGACATCAAACAGCAACAAGGTACGTCGGTTTAAACTTTTACTCATTATTCATTACCTAACAATATTAAATTATTTATTAATAAATTATTATTCGTTTGATATACGAAATGTTTCATAATTTTTTTAACAAATAACATTTCAATAAAATTAAATTTTTAAACTTTACTTAAATATTGTCAGTCAATTTTTATGTTATCACAGTTAGTTCAAGCGCATAAAATAAATATTAAATCAACAAAACATACTTAAAAGATAAAAATATTTATGAAACGAATCATGACGACATTTTTCATTTTAAACTAAAATTTGAAATAAAATTTATCCGACGTCTCTTCATTTAGATTAACCACACGTCGATTGAATTATTATCCGCTTTGCTTGACAATAGTGATCCGTCGCATGGCAATTTTGCACATTTTGCAAAAAGCCACCTGCACATAATAAAACTCATAAACCTCGCAAATATCAAGGACTCTCACTCGTATTTGTTACACTTATTCGCGCCGCATATAAATGAAGTAAATTCGTAATTCGAAATTTGCGGTATGAGCAGTTCCACGCATGTTATGTACATTCGAGTCGTGCACGTCGTGTACATTGTCATTCGGTGGCGCACACCCACAAAGACCGGTAGCTCGCGCGGCGAGCGGCAATTATCGGCCGACAAGGCACTCAATAATAATAACAACTCGCTGGCATCCAACCAACCAGCGTGGACATAAGTCAAGCCTTGTGCATGTCGTGTCTCTTGCAGTCTTCTCTTAGTCCTCTTCCAGCAAATTCTTTTTGTTGTAGTTGTAGGTTGTAGACTGAACCCAGTGGTGTGTAGTACGCATGTAGTATTTCAACTTTACATGAATATGCATTGTTATATTGACTTAAGTGACTTAAGTCACCAACGTTCAACTCTCATCCTTGGTCTTATCCTTCTCCTCGAGTGCTTCGTGTCCTTGTCTGAAGCCAAAGCCAGTTCATTCATATGTTCATTCGAAACTCTGGCGGCTTCTGTAGATTACGTCAAAGCTCACGTACATATCTGTATGCATATGTATAAGTTGTTTCTGTTGCAGCCGAAGAAAGAAGCGTAGGCGTGATGCTTCAACCCATCGCAAGGTAAGAAGTCTACATCCAAGAACCCAAGAAGAAACAGCTCCGGGAGTGTAACAAAATGTTACAGTTTTTGTTCGTGGTTATACTCCATGTGCCATATTAGTTCGTAGTTATTTTATGATAGATTTAATTTACTTGATAAGTTCGGGCGATGTGCATTCATCATCAAATCTTATCTTTATCATAAGATATGTCATTAAATGTCAGAAATATTTACATTTACATTACTCTGCGAACATCTTGAGAAGTCTTTGAAATCAAGACGGTAAAACCAACAATTATAACATGGAACATGTATTGAGTACTCTTACTCTTCCACTCATCAGTTCTACTCGTCATGTGAGTGAAAAAGTTAACAAGTCGTTTTCAAGTAGCCGCTTTTAGTCTGAAACTCTTATAAACCTCAAACATCTAGTTCGCTTATCGCGATCGGAATAATGCCCGTCGGATGATGATTGACAGCAATCGGATCGCTATCGTCATAATTTTAAATTTTAATTAGCCGCCGTCTACAATTTCACAGACATTCCCCGACATTTATAAAGCGGTGGCTACAGACTAAATACAAAACTAATGTTAATGTAACAGATATTAATTAGGTTCGAGTACGAAACGAAGGGTAGCAGAAAAATACGCGAATGTCATCATCAAATGTCGCAGACACGGAGATGACATGGCTGATAAGCTTTAAATATTTGTAAGTTTTACGTTTTTTAATGATTGGATAATTTTCCGCTCGGAAACTTTTCATTAAATTTATATATTGTATTGTAATAAAAATTCATTTGCAATGTCGTACTGTATGTATCGTGTGTTTTATTTTGTAAAAAACCTTCCTGCAATTTTCATGCACTCCTAAATCAAGATTTTTAAAACAAACTTTTCACTTCCTTTTCGAGTCTTTTTGATTGAGAAAGTCAGATATATTTCACAACAATGTGAAAACTAATTAACACCCACTTGTACAAAATAAGAGAACCATAATGTAACACAGCTCTTAAAAGGATATTCGACAAATCAACTTCGAGAAAAACGCAATTTAAAAAAGGCTAAAAAATAAATTAATTCATTAATTTAATCTTGGATTTCCTTTCCCTGTCGAGCTGGGTTCGTGAAAATCACACACAATTACTGAATGAAAAGCTGCATATGGTTTTGGCTATTTGTGGATGTTGTTCACAATAATTAGTCGACTGATAAGGTCGTCATCACAAAAACATCCTGGGAAAATTAACTCTCGGACAATTTTACTCACGCATTAATCAAATCTATGATGAAATTGTTATAATTGACTTTGGTTTGATTCGAAACGAACAAAAATACTTCATAACTGTCTATAATTCAAGATTCTTGTAATTCCTATGCGTATTAAGAACGTACAACTCTTAGTAGATAGTACTATAATTTAATTATTCGTTTAGAAATCAAAATTCAATAAAATATAAAACATTTATCACATTTACGGAAAATTAATTTAACGCCTCATCTCATTCTCCACTCGATTGATGGCTTATAGTTACACTTCCAAATTCGTACCCTTCGCATATTTCGTCACAGACAGTCGTCATGATTCGTATAATAATATTTTAAGTTTAATATTAATAATATTCAAATTCGTTCGTAAATGAAACACAATAAAATACACACACAAAATAATAATAAAAAAACAAACATAAAAGACAATAATAACAAAATAGAATTCGCCCTTAATGCATGACGCGTTTCATAAACGCAAAGGACAAACATATTAGACGATTAAATTAATTAAATTATATTAAATCAAGTAAAGAGTTCCATGTGTTTTTGATTAGCTGATCAGACTAGAGAGCACAATTTAATGCTAGTTTGAAACATTTCTCATCTATGTATTGTACTTGTATCTATTCTCAATTGTTCGATCAACTAACCCTCTGCTAATTAATGTTAAAATTCTCCATCAGTGTCGTGCGTAATAATGGCACAATTATTAGAACTATTTAATATTTCCGCATTGAATGCGCGTGAAATAAATTCAATTCAAAATGGAATGCACTTTGTACACAATAAGTCATACTATGTATAAGTTATCAAAATAGATTAATATATAAAACTTTAAATCGTATATACACATATATCTTTTGAAATTTAATAATTTTAATAATATCAAATAGCCGCCGATAACCGTTTCGACGAACGCTGGGACAATAAATGGCACAACGAATTCGTTCAGATTCATTTTTCGTTTCGTTTCGTTCAGCTGCTGATAATTTCTTGAAACGGCGGAAATTGCACCGAAATCGAAATCAAAAATTAAATACTTATCCGTACATACACTCACGACTATAAATACAGCGAAACAAACAAAACAGATTCTTGATTTGTACTCACAATTCCCCCCATTCGTACTCGTGTGGTGATCAAGGCAGCAATTATGTGGATTCGCAATTATTTACAATAAATATTAATATTTAGCACTTTGCGCTTAATTATTGCATTATACTATGTATTATGTACACAAAAAGTCTTGCGCCCAGGATTAGAGTGCGCATCATCAAATGGACGAAATGAAGTGTGATTAGCACCTGGACTTGCGGGTGCAGGTTGCACTTTTGTGGTTATTTTTGGAAATGATATAGTTTCGTGTGGCGGCGCGCGGCGCCCGGGACATTGACCTAAAAAACGCGGCGCGGACACCAACGCACGGCCTCCCACATGACTATACCTGGCCAATAAACGAGAGAAAGATTTCGTAATACGCGTATAAATCCGTCGTGTGGTGGGCCGCACATTACGATTACCCGCCGATCTAACGATTTCATACAATATACTTTTGGCTCTTTTCTTGCTGCCCAGTTACAGCATCAGCAGTGACACACACTACGCATGTTATGTGAGCATGATATTCATGATCATTGCGTTGCAATGGGTTTGCAAGGTTTTATATCTTCGTGTTGGTGTTGGGCTTGAAGGTGCGTAACTGCAGCCGAAATTTCAGACTTTCACTTTGCTTATCAGTTTTCAACAAACCGGTTTAAAAAAATCAAATTGTTATAAACATTTTTCTTTGAGATTAAATTTTTCCACGACCAATGTTGCTACAGCTGCATTTTAATAGTATTTTTTATTCAACAATCACGCGTTGCCTTTCCGTTTCCTTCCAAAACCAACGGTGCACGATCCACCGACGTCCGGAAGTACTGACCGCTCACGACAATCGTCAAAAGACGTGTCATTAGGTGCCTATCCGATGGCCATAACAATCGATATAAATCAAGCGACAAATAAAAGTTATACGGCGATGATGTAAAGTATAAACACTGCCAACACGCGGCCAAGCATTTACAGTTTTAACAATGATACATTAAGAATTTAGATGGTGCATATCATATAATTTAGCCGCGATCAAAATGAATTTATCGGTGGAGTTGCCTTTGTCAACGTCGGCGATAGCGACAGGTGGACGCAAGCAGATTGCCGGACCCACGCAAAACAAAAAATGAGTGGCGCCTCGGTCAGATCTATCTTTACTCGCGTCACGGTAGATTCAACTAGCCAAAACACTGATATAATCGACGAATAGAGGTTTTAAAGTGACTCATATAGAAAGTGTTTCACAAAAAGACATAATTTAGCAAATTTAAACTGCTCGCAATTCGACTAGACGCGTAAAAGAATAAAATCTTAAATTAAATACGGTTTTAAACTTGTACGAAAGTTGAAAATATATTTAATTTCTTTTGTTTCTTTTTTTAAATTTTATTGCTTTTTGTTTGTACTCTGTGTCTTTTATGAAATAATTTTATTGCAGCGTAGGTCGTCAAAAACTCGCAACATTTACTCTTGTAAAGTCTCTTAAAGTGCTTGGTTGTCTTTGGATTTAACCGCTTTAAATCCCAAGTCTGAAGAAAACATGAAACTATCGCGCTGCTCGTGCGCTGTACATTGAGCATGAAATATTTCAGCACAATTGGACGCACAATGCGCAATGCAAACCCAACGCAAATGCACGCACGCATCGGATAAATTCCGAATTCAATCAATGCACACGCAACCTGCAACAGCCAGCCAACTACCGCATCGGGTCTCGTGTCTTTGGGGTCTCGGTCGTCTTGACTTTCGATATCTTTTGACGAGCGGAAGGATTCTCGAGACGCGCGTGCAGCGCAGCACAATGCGCACGAGATGACTCCCGATGCGGTTTCGTAATTTAGTGATGCTGCGCGTACATGACGCTTTCGCCTCAAAAGAGCCAAAGAACATCGCGATGAAACTGCTGCTTGCAAGTGTCAAAATTAACCCGAATTTCCGCCAGTTGCGTAATTGTTACAGGACGCAAAGTGTCGGGGTTGGTGTGAATCGCCCTAGAGTTAGATCAAGAGGCATAAAACACCCGAAAGATGCTCGGGAAGATGAAACATCTGTTCGGCGGCGCGCGGTGGGAAACAAAATAAATCTCGCGTGTGCCGGTGCTCCCGATGCGTGAGGTCCACGTAGTCGGCGCGATGAATTATTCAAGCGCTTCGTTCAGACTTTTTCCGCGCGCGCGCACACACTCTCACACGATAATATGATTGGCATTTTATTCTAAAAATAAGTCGCGCGCGATATTAATTGACGCGACTGCAGCCCTAGAGCGCATGCGTAAGACGCTTATCGCTGATGCGACATATGCGAATGCGCATGCGGATGCTGCGGATGGCCGTACCCTTGATGAGGCGGTAACGGGCTAGGGCACGCCTGCGAGTAGCCGGCATGCTGCGGAGACCCGCCCAGCCCCGCCAGGTGGCTCTGCTCTAGGTGCGAATAATGCTGAGCGCCTAGCGAGTGCGCGTGCGCATGCGCATGTGGCGAACCGTATACCATTTGCCTTACTTTCGAATCATCGTCGCTGATGTTGTAGGTGAGCTCCGTCTCCTCGAAGCCGGTGGCGGACATGCGTTGATCGCCGCCGGAAGCGCCCCCTGGTGGATCGGGACTGTTGAGGCACGTCTGGATGAGCGCCTTGCCCGCCTCCGAAGTGATCATCGGCTGCAGCTTTCGTGTGGCAAAGGTGTACACATGGCCCGTCTCCGATGCCACCAACAGCATCACCTGCGTGCCGGTTAGCGTCGACAACTCGTACGCCTGCAAGCAACAAAAAAAAAACAAATAACAAATTATCACCCAGTCGGCGCACACACATCATGCTAATTGGTAATTAATTAAATGAAATACACCACATTGGAGCCCATTGCTCAATAGAAACAAATTTAATTAAACTTTAACTCGATTCGAGCCGTGCATTGAACACTTCATTCAGTAGCAGCATTGTGCAAGAATCTTATTAATTAAAAAGCTGAAATGTTAATTGCCGCGTATTAATTACGCTCGCAGTGAAAAACTACCGACGCGTATGGCTAATGAGTTCAACTTCTGGTTCTTTATTTTATGCCACCTCAGATACAATACATAAACTTTTTTTTAAACTACTAATCACCAGATGGCGATCTACCCAAAAATGCAAAATAAAAAAAAGAAAGTTTACGTGACGAATCAAAATGACACAATACATTACAATTAGTCATTGTTTGCGAAAAATTAAATCCATGAACACACACTTCACACTCCCTGATTTTCACAAAATAAAGTACAAAACGTTTACTTTAAAATAACAAAAAGAAGATGTCGTGTTACATTTTTTGGCTACGTTCTTGTATTCATGCGATTGTTGACTGTGTGCACATGTGTACGTGTGAGGTAAACACCAGGCGATGAGTCAACAGGATAGTGTGGGTTGAAACTGTTTCAAATAACATTAAGAACACATCGCGGCATCAAGCCATCAGCCGAAATTTGCGAGGATCGCTCACAGAATGTGAGAACGCCACAAGAGAAACGCGCGCGCAAGAGCCGCGCATGCGCAGCAAGTTAAGCAACATTGCAAACTTTACATCTATAAAGTCGTCATCTGGTGAAAATTATAAATTAACAACATGTTTAATTCGCCAATTCAGCCGGGCATGGCAAAAACGATAATTAACTTTCGGTTCTCTCGTACCACGCACTCCAACAAGTCATTTAAAAACAGTTGAACAGTTATCAATCTATTAACATCAATCGGTTTTTAGTTTTAAGACTTCAAAGAAGTTGTAAACAAACCTACACTTGTCCCAATAAATGGCTATCTCTCTTTTATATGTGTAATAAAATTTTACTCCAATAAAAGGACATTTAAATTTAAAAGAATATTTTATTGTCTCATAAGAAGAACACGTAAGAAAATAAAGAACAATAAATTCTAATTAAGTGACATTGGAATGGATATAAGTTCCTCGGCAGCGTTTCAAATCGATTAAAAGTGCAATTGAAATGGATCTACAATAATTTCCGTATGTGTATCAATGAAGTTACGTTTGAGGAAGACGCTTCGCACAAATGGGCATCCCTCTCCGTAAAAGCGTTTTCGTCTCTTTTTAAGGTGCACCCAAGCACGGAGTAACGCGCGTCGTACACGATGTAAATCGCTTGCGGTTTACGTTTTACGCGCTGACCAAAAACGACGCATCTATAAACGGCCGAACGGCGTCGGTGCTCAATGCAGTGTGAATGAATTGTTTTTTCCACGTATATTTTGTATTTGGTGTAAATGCTGATATGCCACGCGCCACTACCAAACTCGTGACGACAGAGAAGACAATAAACGTAACTGCATTTAGTAAATGTAAAACAACTCAATTAACATGATTTTATAAACGTGCCATTATTATATTTATATTGATAGTAAATATGTGGAAATAATTTGTTAATAATTATTAGATTGCACCTCGTTTGATGTGTTTATGCCGCACATTCCCGCGAAGAGGTGATTTATTGCAAGAAAGTTTTATTAATATGGGTCTTGCGTCCATTAATTTTAAGCGTTCCGCCGCCATCGACGCAACATGAAGATCACATTAACACAATAAAACTTTTCAGCTCTATGCGTTCATCATCAGTTGTGACATTAGTAGGTCTGTGATATTAGCTCAATCACGAGGAATTTACAACTTTTATAAATTCCGCATGCAATCAACCATAATATCGTCTTATATTTCGGCGCGGTTCAAACGAAAACAAGAAAAGCTAGCAAAAGTTGAAGTGTTCCCTCATTGAACACGAGGAATTCCTCGTAAAGGCAGTGCCTTCGATTATTTATTATTATTCGGCTTTGGCCAATAAAGCGCGCATAAATTGACTTTGCCCACATTATCAAAACCAATATCGATGATAAATTTTCACCATCAGCACTATGCGAAATAGCGGGTACATCAACCGATCGTCTTCCACCTTGAAATGCCTACGTGTACCTGCTGTACGGCACCGCCGAATGCTAATTATAATCGGCATGGGCGGAAGGTTAGGAGGTTTGTTCTCGTTCGGTGCGCATCGCCGGCTACCAGCGGCATACGGGGCTCGCTATTTACGAGTAAACCGCGGCCGCGATATTTGTTACGTTAATTATTACTTAGCGTAATGGCCGTTTATTAGCGATACGCGCTTTCCAATTTGCATCGAAACGCGGAAGGTAGGTGCCCATCTCATCTGCATCTTTCGAGTGCGCGCGCGTGGATAATGAAAAGCAAAATTAATCGATAGAAGGTATTTATACTTTAATTAATCCTGAATGTATAGGACACAATATGTATGCAGACTACAAGGAGATCATTCCAGGGTTAATTTTATCTATTTTATGCACTCGGATTAAATTTATAGACACAAAATAATAGATTTTCGCCCTTTTGACGACCATGTGGTCAAGTCGCGGGCCGGTAAAAACGTGCGTTCCGCATTTTGTAATATATTAATGCCGAGCGGGTTTCTCGCGGACCTCCGAAGCGCGGCGTCGGCGTGCAGCTCTTCCACTGCTCCGAATAAAAAGTAACGCGGGCCGCACCACAGATCAACAGAAAAAGAAAACACAGTTACAAGAAGCATCCAACTACCAACATTCTACATGACTCAACCGGACTGCAACCCGGTGAAAAGCCAGCAAAGCGTATAAAAATCAACAAGAGTTAAAACAAAAGCCTCGCAAAATGAATCGCTCGACGCGCGCAGCACATGGCATACAAATGTAGCCAAATGCCACACATACCCAAACAAAATTATGTAAAAGCAGTGTACGATCCGCGCATCGCGAGGGCGAAAATTCGTTAGAAATGCACTTAAGTCAGTCGCGCGCGCGGGCGCGCTTGAGTTAATAAATCTTTTCGCGGCTTTTTGCGCGGCGTGCAGCTTTGGAAATCCGTGGCTCGCGCGCTGGGCCACGGCGTAAGTCATGCGTGCGGCTGAAAAATTGCGCGGAATCTCGGCGGAACCCGCCGGATAGCGCCGCGCGGCGGATTCCACGCGTCGGCCGCGTATTAATATTAATCTACCATGTCCGATGCGCTCGTGCATACGTTTAATGAGAGGCGTTGTTGGCGCAAAGTGCGTTACATTAGCGTGCATGCCGCCAACCGCGCGAAGATATTGCTGTAATATGTGTACAAGATATCTCGTCAAATGTCCAAAACCATCTGCTGCAATAAAATTGTCAAAAGTCCCAAATAAAAGTACACATAAACATTCAAACAATTCCTAAGATAGATACTTATATTCTCGGTAGCTATTAGTCTAATAGTTTTATTGGAAAGCAAGATACTAGTTGATAAAGTGCGCGGTCTTTAATTAATCTTTCAAGTGCAGATGAGGCGCGTCTACGTTTTTTCCGATCGTCATTCTCCATCAGAGCATCGCCGACCGAACGACAATGAAGCTCTTAAAGGCTATCGCTACCTCACACTTCAAGGACCCGCAAAAACCCTTCGTCCCTCGTCCTCGTCCTTCAATCAAACGACTGTTGATCATCTATAACTACCACTTTTTCACGCCAGAAGCAGTATAAGTTGGTAATGAGCACGAGAATAAGCATCATTCTGCATACATTAAATTAGTCGCTTTTTTTCTCATCCTTGCTTTTGACATAGCGGCACGAACGCATGCAAGTCAGGATAATAACAATAATTTCATGATTATTTCAACCACGTCCGAGCGTCATTGTATCGTGCACGCTCCACAAAAGCAGTCCGTCCGTCGCCTCGAATTACCAAGAAATTTTCGGCCTTTTAATTTCTAGTCTCATTAGCGATCGGCTTGATTTGTCTTAGTCATCTTCTATGATGTGTACGCACACTTGGCTGATCCCACGTCAGTGTTTTTAAAACTCATCAGATTCGTGTTCTCCAAGCACGTTGCTCGCGCTGGGAATTATTGGCCGCTCAGCGTATTTAACTATCAACTGAAAATTATCAACAAATTGAAGCGACGCAATCGAACAATCCGAGCGGAGCAATCAATTGGAAGCTGGGATCTTCGAAGAGTCATTGCGTTAATTCGTCGTAATCGCACGAAATCATCGCACGAACAGTAAATATTTAAAATTTCGAACGCGCAGCAATCCTTGAAATTTAATGTAAACCTCCAGAGGAGTCCGACGAGTGCGTTAATTACTTCTTGGGCCCAGCGCACCGCCGACTTCACGCTGATGATGATGTCATTTTAAGTAGGTAGGAAACATGTGTGATTTTATCAGGGATTTCAAAATCGCATCGGCATCGGCCTTCGATGAGTTTATTCTAGATTTAACCACCAACAACAACCAACTCACACGTTTTTATTGATGTACGTCAAAAGCCTAATCAATTTTAATATTCTATATATGTATACGAGAAAATTTCACAAGACATGTCTTCATATATTGATTAATGCAGAATTGCTTCAAATGGGTCATTGATTTTTTGCATTTTTTACGTGTTGCACTCGGTCTAATGGCATTTCTTTGTTTTTAAATTATTGAAATGTATGCGCAATTATAAATAATTATTACAAATATTTACTGTGTCGAGATTCGATTAAACAATCTTTAATTAATGAAGAAATATCGCCAACCCAAACCGACGCGCGTAGAGGTGTCCGTCGAGTATTTCATTAACATTTTCATTGAGCAACCGAGCCTTTACTTTGCTTGCTGTCTTCTCATTAAGCGCATTATGCCGGTGTGGTTGAAAAACCATACGATGCAAGCGCGAATTTGCTCGCTGCTTGTTTGCGTCGCTTGTAATGCGATTTCAATAAATCAGACGCCCATGCAGCGTTTAATCGAATGACGTCGACGACTTCATACTTCATAGCGAGCGGCGAAACATAACGATATGTACGAAATTCACTCAATGCATTTGTCAACTGCAAACAACCAGAGGGTCAGAGGAACAATTTCCATAAGACCGCAAGCAGGACCGTTAAACCATAAGTTCCATACTGGCAAATGGTTTGCTATGGCGACACGCGATGGGATGAGAGAAGACGCGCGGGTTCACACTTCCGTGTGTTCTCAGGCGTTTCCCCATTATGCGCGCGTCAATAAAAAGCGCAATCATCCGTGCCATCTCGACAAAACCCGCTCTTTAATATGATGCAATGTGATCCTAGAAAGATCATGGGAAGGCGACACGACAAAACTATCAAACAGATGGACAGCATACTAATATTCTTTCAAAATTGACCAGAAAAAGATACAATATGAAAATTTCTACCCAAGAAATGATCTAGGGATGATTAATTTTTTGAAACTATTAAAAGAAACTATAACATGACAAATACTCCCAAAAATATAGATGTGGATGATCTCCGAAAATTTTGACCCTGATTGAAAATATACCCGCAAGCGTACATCACTAAAAAGTGAAGTATTGGGTCCGCAACGCTCGCGAAATGTAATTACGCCTGAGATATGACCGGTTGGCGGCGTCGGCAGTGTGTCGGCACCAGGCCAACGGTCGGGATCCCTATCGGCTGTCAAAACGAACATATGTTCGTAATTTGAATGGTATACGAGATGAACACGATCGCGCGAGACACAACATAACGGGCCCGCAGCGCCACAATGGATGCCTCCGATGCCCCGTGAGCGCGCCGCGGCGGGCCGCAATTATCGGAGTCACGTGTTAGGAACGGCGCGCATTACGGCGGCAAGGGGTGGCGGAGAACGCCCGCCGCCGCCGTCCGCAGCTAGTTCACCCCGAGAGTGACGCCCTGGCGGTGCGCGACACCGATTCGCACACGCATCCGAGGGTAAATTCGATAATTGCTCGCAGATGCATATCACGGCTTATTTTTTATGCCCGACTGGTCGGAGAGCGCAGCTCGCGCTGGTGCGCAGTACGACTTGTGCGCACCGCGCGGCTTCACGTGTATGCGCTACTCGCAGTCGCACGCATGGCTTCGCAGCAGGCAGCAGGAGGAACGTAAACAGCAGCGCGCTGTGTGCGCAATGCGCCTATGTCTATGGTTTGAGGTTAGGCGACAGACACACTACACTACAACAACTGATAGCTTTATTTACCTTCTTCATAATGCCGGTCTTTCGCTTGGAAAAAGTGGTGTACCGCCGCAGCTTGTTCTCGATGTACTCCATTTTAATCTTGACACGGCCCTTGGTTTTCTTGCCGTTGCTGGGCGGCGATTTCTTAACCTGCAGCGCACCATAGGTGTCATCGTTCATGTCCTGCACGCCGCAAGCATCCAGGCCCATCGCCTGCGAGGTCATGCCTCGATCGTCATAACAAACATCCGACTTGATTGCCACTCGCCCGCCGCCACCGCACGCACTCGGCACCATCGTATGCCGCGGTGACAACTGCTGCAAGCTGGTGGACGGCCGGCCCAGGGCGTTTGGATTACCGTAGATCTCAGGCGCGGTTTCGCCCGACAGCAGGTTCATGCTGTAGCTCAGGTTGAATCGGGAGTCCCTCCCGCCAGGCGGTTCCATGCTGCACCACAGTTTGAACGACTTGGAGAAGATCACCAACTATAAACTCGTGATAGCACACAAAATGTTTCGCCTTCTTTTTTCTTGGTTAGAATATTGAACTGTTGATGATGTTGACGTCTGTTACGGAATCACTCTCGTGCCACTCGTGTCGTCGCTCCTTGGCAGCAAGGAACATACACACAATCACAGCTGAGCGCACAATAGAATCTGATACCTCGAGCGGCGCGCACGGTCGACGGCGACGAGCAGACGACACGACCGCGCCTCCAAACGATTGCGTCTCGTACCTGCCAGGCGCAATGCACCAACGCGCAGCTCGCGACTCCCCACAACTCGTCGCGGTTCCTCACCAGAACCTATTCCAGCTCTCTCTAACTCCAAGCTTCTACATTTATCCATTCAACTGTTTATCCTTGTCTTCTCCGAGTGTACACGATCCGCGAGCACGATCGCACGCGCCAACTTGAAAAGTATTCTCGCGAGCTGGGCCTGGTTGTTGCATCCGTGATGATATCCCACGTAAGAGCCGACTTCGACCTAAATAGGTCCAGACTAATTACTACTACGTTTGGCAGCCGCCGCTGAAACACCGAAAAGTTGCTGCCATTCCTGCTAAAAATAGTGCGCCGCTGCTGGCGCACTATCGAAAAGTGGGATGTCGGCGCGAGCCGCTAGTCCAACCCAGAACCATATTTAGAAACGAACGCTACCATATATGGTATAGTTGTCCTTAAAAGGACACGCGTTGATCCCTCCCCTCGTCTGCGAAACGCAAATGTTGCGCGACGCGGAGGTGACAGTGACGATTCAACCCGGAAATAAGAAGGGGATCAAAATGAACAAATACTTTAAACTTTAGAAAGGGTAGAAGACAGAACTGATGTTTACCACATCAAAAGAAAAAACCTTGACAAGCGTGAACTTGATCTATGATCATCTAGTAATTGAAAACCCACGCCCATCCTTGAAACCTCTTTAAAGTTTCAATTTAATCAAGAACAAACAGTAAACCACCGAATTTGCATACAAAAACAATTACCTACTTACTTCAACCGACCGAAGCAAGTCTTGAATCAGAAGTAATCGATTACACAAAGCGAATGGCCATTGTAACAGTTGATTTTCTCGTGTCGTTATTTTTTGTTGTGTGTTACATTGAAAATTGAAAAAAAGCGCCGCATTTTTGCGAATCCTCCGAGTCCTGAAACGCAAAGCCACCGGAGCACGTAAAGACAACAAGAAAAGCGATGAAAAGCTATGCGACAACTTGGAAGCGTCGATGGCTGAGCATTGAAGGATAATAAAGTTTACATTTTGCGACGAGAATACTAATTGCCGACGAACGCCCGTTCGTTGCATTTTTTTCCACGCATCGGGCCAACCGCGACGACGTGCGCGCATCGGCAAGAATTAAAATGTACGAGAGAAATTATACAGGGCGAGATCAACAACAACATCCACATCTACTGCACATCATCGATCATTCGATTTTATAATCTTATCTCACAGACGGATAATTTTATTTGATAGAAAATCAATATACTATTGATAAAATCCGAATGGAGAATCGAGATAAGATCGTTAGATGCTTGTCGTTTACGTGTATTCCTTCTGCTAGTGATTTATTAGTTTCGTCGACTGTATTGCGATGTGTGGAGTGACATGCGGTAGCAGAGGGTAAACACAGCTAGAAGCGACCAGAAGGGAATTCGCGATGGAAAAAATGCCAACAAGTCATTAATGTAAATGGCATACCGATCGGCCGCGCGCAAAAATTTCTACGACTTTCTGTGACCAATGGAAGCAGCACTGGTCCAGGAAAAAAACAAGCTTTGAGAGAAACGGAAAAAGAGTAGAAAAAACCGCGTAAGACGTGGTACGTTTGTTGACGTACAACATTGAGCGTAGCTAATATTGAGCGTCAAATATTAGCAATGGAAAAATTATAAAAAATTTTCAAAACGCCAGAAACAAATATTCTTATCATAAATAAATAAACTTTAACAACCCGGAAAGCTGGTTTTAGTTCTGCTCACCATAGTTCCAAATTATTTTAAATCATTTGGTAATCCCTAAGTTAGGTTATGTGTAGGAAACTTGAAGCGCAACCCTCCTAGCAGGTATGAACGTCCTAGTTGTAGATAATATACATGGATATATATATGGATAAATATTTGTCACTATTTTAGCAATTTTCGCATTATTTGATCAATAGTTTTGTCTTTTCTTGTCATATTCCGCAGTAATAACTATTTTGTTAAATATTTGTAATTGTTTCAGCGATTATCCATTATTTTTTCTTTTTTTAGTAATATTCAAGAATAAAAAGTGTATTCTGATAAAAACTTGTCACCATTTTAGTAATACTATCATCATTTGATGATTATTTTGATTTTTTCCAGTCATTTTCAACAGAAACTATTTTGCAAAACCCGAATCAACAACTTTTCCTTCAGTTTTTCTATTTTGTTTTGTTGTCCGTTGACTTTGACTATAATTTTGATTTCCGGAACATTGTAACCAATAACTTTAGTTTATAACTCAAAATCAATTGGGTTGCCAATAAACCAAGTTTCAATTTCTGTCAATTTGATTTCATTTCATACCGCATAACCTAACTTTTCACCGTTGATTTGCTTCGCTCAATATTCTTGCCCATTATGATAGGTTAGGGTTATTTAGATTATATCGGCTTGTGTACACTTGTCAAATGCAAATTAGTATCATTTGCAATAGCAAATCATGAATTTGCAAATTCATTGCCCTTGTTTCATGTGCGCCGTGGCTGTTATTGTTTTCTTCGCTCCCTATTCTCACTTCTTCTCCTCTTCGCCTCGCTGGTACTATGTAACAATGCGGCTCGTAACGCATCGAGCAAAGCGCAACCGAACAACCCACTCGGGCGCTCTTTTGTCGCCGCATTGCGATTTATTAAAACAATGCGCCGCAACCTATAAGCATTTAAATACCTACATTACCAGCAACGCGAGTGCGCACACATTGTGCATGTCGGTGCAGTAAAGCATTTAAATCGGCGGACGCCGGTAGCCTAGTTACCGAAAGCCAGCAGCCGAAAGACCGAATGAGAGGACAATGAGATGTCGTTCAACCGGAAATTAACGTTTTGGAAAAATCACAATACAAAACAAAGCAGCGCCGACCGATGGCCGAACGAATGGGGACTGAAGTAATGAACAAGCGAAGAGATAAATTAAGCTTATCAGAGTAGGTATCGGGTATGCATGGTAGTTGTAAACTTTCATTATTAATTAGATTCAATTTACAACTAGTCCTGTTTGAAAGTATTCACAATTTTACTGTTAAACGAAGAAGAATTGCAACTAAAAGAAGTTTGTAACGCCAAGACATTAGTATTCTAAATTCTCAAGCATTTTCACTAAATATCTGCATAGATTCTCATCAAAATTTTGACATATTTACTTTACTATACAGTAATAAATCAATTCGCACCACTCGCGCCTCCACCATTTTTTTTTTCATAAAAATTCAACGCAAAATCTTGACTTATTGCCTTGTAGATCTAATGTTAATATAATTATTAACATGTTAATTTAAAATTATAAAATTATTCTTCTTGAGTAGTTCTGTTGATGCTGTGGTTATTGATGGCGCAGAACTTGGCTCAAGGTTTTATTTGTTTGTTTCAATATTACAAGCGCGGTGTGCGGCGCGCGCCACGATGATTATTAATAATCATATGTTTTATACGATTCGTACGTGGGATTCATGAATCATCGAAACGTTTAGTGCAAGCGTAATAATCTTGCGAATTGTCAGTTGCGATACCTGCGATAGAAACGGTAGAAACCGCACAAAGAAACGGCCAGAGACAGTTGAGTAGAATGTCGAGTCAACAGTTGCTACAGTCAAGCAAGCATTCAAAACAAGTTGAATCAGCTGACAGTCTTTTGAATAACAACAACTAATTAGTTATGAAAAAGTAACTTAAAAATGTATTTTTTATGACTAATAATGTTTCAACGTTTAATTAAATGTTACAAATGTTTATAATTCGTAGATATCTAGGATATGAAATTGTTTGTTTCTGAAAATGTATATTAAATGAAATATTGTAAAGTTATTGATATATTTGTAAAATATCCGGAGTATATTCAGGTCTTCTTCAGAGAGTAGAAGGCTAAGAAGGACCCGAAAAAGTCAAAGGAATGTTTGGTGCAAGTAGAGAAAGGAAACTAAAGATAAGAAATTTTATTAATGCTGGAAAGATGCTGAAAAGTTAGAAGATGCAACATAGTTGAACAAAAACCGAAAGGGTAATTAATATTATTACTGTAGAATTCTTAATTCCAAATTTTAATTGCACTTCACATCCTAGCAACACAATTTAACCTACTCGTAATATTTCAAAATTTGATCATTTTTTTCGAACATTTACATTCCTAGATTATTTTAGTATAAATTTTGCTCAATTTCAATTACTGTAAGCCCCGTTTTACTACCCAGCTCTCCCTCATACTGATTTTTAAGGGTTTTAAAAATAAATTACTTTTATCCTGTATTGGAATAAATACATCCCCCCAAATGAAATGAATCAACTACAAATTTCTTCCAAACACCATTATCCTTGCCATCCTAACTAACGCGCGAGTCAAGTCAGCTTAAGGCTAAATCGAGTGAATTAAAGTGCGCCGCGCAGCTTTGACTTAGTTCTCATTCTTCGTTAGTTCTACTCTTACCTTGCGCGCCTTTCCGTGCGCATTCGTTCAGCTAAATGTTAAATTATTAACTGAAAGAACGCCTGCGATAGAACATAAAACTCACCGACGCAGGCCGCGACGCTAATTAAGCTTTATAAAACTCGGCCATTATGTAAAACACCTAATTAGGTCCATTGTTTTTGTTATAATAAACAAAACGCGCTCTGCGGCTGAATGGACGCCGCCGGCTTGGGGACAGCGTCCCCGCCGCATCGCGGCGTGTTTAATGGACAAGTGCGAAAAAATCCGCAACATGCTCATGTACGTGCACCTGAATTACCCTGCATACACTTTGCTCCCATAGAATTATTATCTGGTCGTTATTAATTTAATTAACAATAAAAGTTTATCGTTATATTGGGCAAATCGTTTCATTTTTATAAATATTGACTAATATTATGATTTAAGCATTATTATGAGTAAAATTAAAGAAAATTTTAATTTTCTGACAATCCAAACACACTGTGTGTTTGTATGTGGAAACATACGAGTGTGTTCTATTCTCTTATTATTTTATATTATCTATTCAATTGCA